CCTAAACCCTAAACCATAAACCCTGAACCCTAAACCCTGAACCCTAAACCCTGAACCCTAAACCCTAAACCCTAAACCCTAAACCCCTAAACCCTAAACCCTGAACCCTGAACCCTAAACCCTGAACCCTAAACCCTAAACCCTAAACCCTAAACCCTAAACCCTGAACCCTAAACCCTGAACCCTAAACCCTAAACCCTAAACCCTAAACCCTAAACCCTAAACCCTAAACCCTGAACCCTAAACCCTAAACCCTAAACCCTAAACCCTAAACCCTAAACCCTGAACCCTAAACCCTGAACCCTGAACCCTAAACCCTGAACCCTGAACCCTGAACCCTAAACCCTGGACCCTAAACCCAAAACCCTGAACCCTAAATTCAATTCAATGTTTAGCACACCTGCAATCAATGTGGCTGTGTTGGTCAAACTTTATCGGTATTGTGGAAACTCAATTGAATTTTCAATTTTCAACTTTTGTGTTTTTGTTACTGGTCTTGCACAAATTCGTACCATCAATCTAAATCAGATTGTTCCCATAACAAATCGTTTGATCATCAATGTGTAGATTAACTTGTTTGATTGCAGAGCTTTTACAAATCAAATCAAGGGTGCAAGGTAAAAACCAGTGACGAAGCCATGAATTTTATATAGGGGCATCCTTAACCTCAATTGCTTCTGATGACCGGTGAACATAGTTTAACTTGAGATACAAACACGTAATTAAAATGCCTAAACTGATGTAATAAATCCCTTCAATAGTTAATTCTAGTCTTCAGATTTATTTTATTTTCTGGCTCCACAATGGGACTATAATTTCTTCTTTCATCTTTTCACCCAAGTTTCTTGTTCATTGTAGGAGTTGATGATAATGAAACAATCAAGGTGCCTAGGAGTGGTGGAGCAGACCCTAACCGAAACCAAGAAACCACCCTGGTGATCTCCTCGTCAACATAAAGGTGGCATTCTTTGTGAAGAAAGCTAAGTTTTATTTGGTATATTAAAGAAGAAGCTTGGCCCTTATTCACAATGCTTATAATACAACTTGTGTATCACTCCTGTGTGGAGCAGGAGTATAACACCAGGCAACATGAATTGCAGGAGGACTTCACCAATAAAAACAGGGAGAACTCGACAAGGGTGCTGCAGCTGGGGCATCTAGTTAACTGGTGGAACGGGACTAGTAAAAGTGTACCATGCACACTCCATGTCCCCAAAGTTTTTTAGTAGAGTATGTAATCTACTTTTCTTTACCAGCAGTCATTCTTAAAGTCCATAAATCATAATTAGGTTAATTGCATGGGTGGTCACTGAGATTACAAAAAACGTTCACGTTTGGTCAGTGGAAATATTTAAATCCAATCTTGGTCACTCAAATTATTTAAATGGTTCAAGTTTGGTCACTCTCCGTCCATTTCCGTTAACTCTACCTTACGTGGTAGTCAACTTTCATAGTTGACCGTTAAATACGTGACGTGGCAATTAAAAAATTATTAAAAATAAAAAAAAAATCTTTTACATTTTCCACCTCATTATTACATTAATTAAAAAACAAAAAATATATATATTTGAACTCGCTCCTCAACGAACAACCGCCTTCCTCTATTTTCTTCCTCTGCTTCGGAAGTAACGGCTGCTTCAACGAAACCCAAGTGAAGGAAATCGCCACAGCCCTCGAAAATACTGGGTTCAGGTTCCTCTGGTCCTTACGCCGCCCACCTCCGAAAGGCGTGGTCTCGTTTCCCCTGGACTACGAGAACCCGGCCGAGATCCTGCCGGAAGGATTTCTGGAGAGGACGGCCGGAGTGGGGAAAATCATCGGGTGGGCGCCGCAGGCTGCGATTCTGGCCCACCCGGCGGTGGGTCGGTTCGTGTCGCAATGGGGAAAATCCATCGTCGCAGCCGTCAATTGCGAATATCAAAACTTCCCCTGTATCGAACAAGCACCAAAATTTCCCACCCCTGCACCCAATCCCCGCGCAGATCCTCCCTTTCCCGAACCCGATCTCGTAATTCGTCCACCAACCCTCGCGGCGGAGGAGCGTGCTGAAACTGGTGTCACAACCCCCGCCACCGTGGACCAGGCGTAGGAGCTCGTCGGTGTTACTAGACTTGCTGAAGAGGACGAGAACGTCGAGGGAGGAGAGGGCGCCGATGTCGGCGTGTAGGGCGTCGACGGGGTGGAGGAAGGAGGCGAGGATGCCGAGGGAGACGAGGGTCTGCGAGATCTTGTTGGCGACGTAGCCGGACTTGCCAACGCCGGAGAAGAAGATGGTGCCGGAGGAGTTGAGGAGGGTGTGGGCGAAGGAGAGCGCCTGCGAGAGATCGAGGCGGCGGAAGAAGAAGTAATTGAGGTGGTTTTGCTGGGCTTTGAAGAGATTCAGGAGGGTGGATTTGTCGATCTGCTGCTGTGGGCTTTTCAAATATATAAATTTTTGTTTTTTAATTAATGTAATAATGTGGTGGAAAATGTAAAAGATTATTTTTTTTATTTTTGATAATTTTTTAATTGCCACGTCACATATTTAACGGTCAACTATGAAAGTTGACTGCCACGTAAGCTAGAGTTAACGGAAATGGACGGAGAGTGACCAAACTTGAACCATTTAAATAATTTGAGTGACCAAGATTGGATTTAAATATTTCCAGTGACCAAACGTGAACGTTTTTTGTAATCTCAGTGACCAACCATGTAATTAACCCAATCATAATTAGAAGAAAAGAAGCACCATCTCTGCTCCTGTAAAACTACCATCCTTGTACATGCCATCATAATCTCAAACTGTTCTTCCTCAGGGCAGTTAAGTCTTGAAGCAAAAGAATGATGATTTAGACATTTGACCTCGGATTGGTGAGAGTGGGTCTTAAGCATTAACAGCAGAATGCTCATGTGAGTGCAATCCACTAATAGATTCAGCTAAAATTGTGGACTTTTCTTCTTGTTGTACGTGTTCGCCTATCTTGAGGATGCTAGGGTTGGTGGAATTGGGGTTTGCGAAAACCAGAAAGAAGCAATAGAGCTATAGTGTTGTGAGAGAATAACATTGTTTTTTTTATTACAGAGAATATCATTGTTAGCATTGATACAAAGTATATATAGGGAGAAACAAGCTGGAACCGTCCGCTTTCATTTATGGGGATGAGTTGTTAGACCTCTCGGTAGAGCGTGCAAATCCAAAGAAAAAAAAAATCTATAATTTTATCCAAACTTTTTCAGATTCTTTCATATTATTTAAATTTATCGAAATACTAAAATTAGTCAAATGCTTATTTCCGTTAGCAATTTTGTTAGTAATATTGACTTGACAACATGATACTGAATTGGAAGAGAAACATGAAGGTCAAAATTTTAGTATTTTAACTAAGAAAATAGTTACAAATTATTAACGATAACGTAAAATGACTAATATTTTGATGCATTAGGAAATATTTAAATAATTAATAGCATTTCAATAGGTTTGAATATTATAAAAGAATCTAAAAAAAGTCAGGATAAAAAATAGACATTGATTCGGGGAGAAACTGAGAAAGAACACAATAACGAACAAGATTGTCAACCCGCGGGTTGATCCGGACCCGGTGAAACTAGTGGGTCAAGGGTTAATGGGTCACCCGGTTTAGCCCGGAAATACGGAAAGAGTCATTATGAGTTATAACATATAATATTACACTAAAATAACATGTCGTACTTAGATCCAACAAATAGTGAAAGTTCACACACAATTATACAACATCAATATTCAAATGTTCAACTTAGGATTTCAAAGATTGAGTTAGGCGAAAAGAAAATCGAAAAATAGGCGCATTTCGCAAACCAAAGAAAAAAATGACACAATTTGATCTCCAACCCGGTACCTTGTAGCGGTCGACCTGGCGAGTGCGTGCAACTGTTTTTCTCACCGGGTCAGGATCAAAAGTGGATCGACCCAGGGTCGACCGCGGGTTGACAACCTTGAAATTAACGAAACACCAGGGTTTCATGGCGGCCCTCCTACAGTCCTACTTACTTAGCAAATTAATAATTCAAGCAATGGGCCAAAACTCCAAAAGTTTGTAGCCGACAGATTAATTAGAAGTTCTTCCATCAACCTCTAGGGAAAGATGTTTTGGTTACAGATCTAAAAGATTCTTTCACCAAAAACATGATGAAAACATGAATAAAAAAGGGAGGTCTAATAGATTGGCAAAACAATTCTGCTGGAGACATGACCAGCTAGCAAGTAGAGTTACGATGTAGATTCCTAAATCCGTAAGACTAGCTAATGCTCTTTCTGGGAGCTAGCAAGCAGTAGCAGCGCACAACCACCTCCATCTTTCATCTTATGGAGGAGAGGTGAGGTGAGTAATTAGGTCTCCGCGGTGGAAGGATTAGTATGTATATGATTAACCAATTACCATATACATCTATCTGATCTGGCTGCTTTGGAGGTAAGCCGGTTTGCTCGTTGATTGGCAAACGACCATTTCCTCTTAACTAGTTACCGTCATAGCCTCTCCTGGGCCAGGACAAAGGTATAAGTGGATTCATGAGTTGGCTTCCTTCGGCTATTCGTCGAACAAATATTTGGTTGGGTATAAGCTCTCTTTTTGGATCCCGCGTCTTCAAAGAGGTATGACTGCATGGGCAGGGGCAGAAACCTATCTACATGCATGTTATCACAGAGATGGTGAGGATGCATGCATGCTCCTAGCTACGAGGGGCGCAGCTTGCGTTCGGGCTAGCTGGCTAATCAATCCTCATGTATTAGCTAGCAGCTGGCGATCATAGTGAGAACCAGGCACAGACCTCAAGGCTCAAGCTAGCTTATCGACCAAGAGAGAAACGTAGTAATACTAGATACCGCAAGATGAGGGAGGCTACGTAGTACGTACGTCGACCAGCGAGACCGCTCCCATGATCACGCCTGCGGCACAGCAAAGCACACTGCGGAGTCGAAGAGATAGATATTAGCAATTACCTAGCAATTAATAATGATTTATAAGAAAGCTGAGGTTGATAACTTAATAATTATTTATCGGCCCAGAATTGGAAATATAGATGCATGTCAAACCTGAATGCAGGGCTGTTGGGGTTGCCCGAGACGAGATGGGGTTTCCGTAATGCTGAGGAGGATAGCCTGGCCCTGCAGCAGCTGAAATATTATTAATGGAGGAATACTGGAAAAGTTGGTGGTGATGGTGAGGGTACTGGAAGCTGTAGCTTTGCGCCATAGCTGCTGCATAGGCGGCAGTACCAAACTGGACAAGTGGGTAAAAGGCCGCTCCATTGCTCAACATTCCTCCTCCTCCCGATCCTCCTCCTTCCACCCCACTCCCATACACCGGGAACTGTGACCCTCCGTATGCGTAGCTCTGCATCATCATGATCCATATATATATAGATTTGGTTATTGTTCTCAAGTTAGCATTTATAATACTAGAAAATAAGTTTGCTCGCTGCACTTCGCATGAAGCTAAATGTAAAAAGATATATGTGAATAAATTAACTTGTAAGGAATACAAACTGAAAATACTTCGCATGAAGCGAAATGCAAAAAAGATTTATGTGAATAAATTAACTTGTAAGGAATACAAACTGAAAATACGGTAGGCCTAGCTCTATGTGATGGAAAAAGTAACATTTGGTAAAATCAAACATGGTAAGAGGCTCCACCAAATTGGAACATCTAAGCAGCCAAATACTAATTGAGGAAAAACATCTTGCAATAAATTGAAACAAACAATAAAAGATGTATTCGCTGGCTAATAAATAGGTACCTATTTGGGGGGTGGGGGGGGGAACTCGAAAATCTTTTTTGATTGTGGGACTTTATTAGAATTTTTTAGACTACATTAGTGTTGTTCACTTGCTCTTCAATCAGTACTATTGTAGCAACTCAATTCTCCCACTTTGTGTGTGTACTCGGATATAGCAAATTACTGATTATTTTTAGTCGAAATTGAGAATGAGATAGTTTCCGTTGTCTTTCTATTTGAGCTCGAGCATTGAGAAATGTGCAAGAATTCAAAATCAAATACGAACAAAGTGGTGAATTTCATCACAATAAGAATACCAAACGGTATTACTAATTATTATGAGTCAAAATTGAGAATGAGAAATTTCTCGTTGTCCTTCTATTTGAGCTCGAGTCTTGAAAAATATCACATACGAACAAAATGGTGAATTTCATGACAATAAGAATACAAAATGGTACATAAAAGAAATAAAAATCATTAAAATATTTCAAATAAAATTAATAAATGAAAATGGTGTTAATTACTAAAATAGGGGATGATGTGGGGGAAAGAAGAGGTTAATTGTTCAGTGGGCCCCACTTGATCAACTTTTGCCCCTAAAGTTTGGATTATTTACAACATAACCTCTTAATTAATAGTAACACCAAAACTATACTTTTTATAATAGAAATTAAGAGAGGAATCAATTATTGTACAAACCGTTGGATAAGTGTAGTCGTGGGGATACGTGGAGTACCTGGATGAAGCAGATATCACGGCAAACATAAGATTAGGCTCTGATATGGTGGGGTAGCTAGGTATAATCCATGGATAAAATTATATAAATAGCACACACAGATCAGATCGTGCGTATAAGCAATATATATGCATGCATGTATGTATTGTATGAGAGACTTCACGCAATTATACTGATGGATGTATTTCTGATTTCTATGTAATAACTACATTGACTAAAAATGAGAAGAAAAAACAAAAACTAAGGCTAGCTAGCTGTTAAACAAGTTTTGCCGTGGGGGTGGCCGCAGAGAGTGAGTAGAGATGGGCATGTGCTAATGTCTTCGGTGTCAAGAACCAGTTAGTCTCAATAACTCGAGTTGTTGGGAGAAGGTTCTGCTGGATCTTATATCACACTCTAACACGCCCCCTCAAACGAAAGCCAACCCATGGTTCATGACATTCGGAACATGGATGGAGTACTAGTTCATATGGATGACATTCCTTGCTGGCATGCACGCTAGCTAGCTGCACAGTTAAGAATCTCTATGCCCACGCTTAATGCTTACCGCACTAATTAATCAAGTAGTAAACATTCTCACTGTCACTGCTAGATACAAAATTTTGGTGCAGCGGTTAATTGACTAAAAGAATTCGAATTATCTGAAACAATTTAGGATTATATTTTAACACGATTCATTTATCTATCATTTTAAACAAGAATTTACTATGTACGAACACTAAGCTAATGTTATATATGAAAAATCAGTTGGTTCTTGACCAAAGCCAGGAAATGTGCGTATGTATAGACTGCTACAAATGGGCAGCAGGTCCGGTCTAGTTATTTACTAACTCTTATGACTTATCCAATAATTAGGTGAAAAGTTAAGTTGTGATTTATTTACACCACCCGATTACTTAAATGGAGAATAATACATTGTATGTTATGGATAAAGAGTAGACATCATCAAATGATGCATGGATGACAATGGAAGCACGCTCGACAAAAGAAAGCAGCTGGTTCAGTTTGGTTAGCGTGAGTTGGCATTCACGTGGTTTCTGAAGATGAGAGAGAATTCAAGAATGCCAAGGGAAAGTAGGGGGAAATTAAGCTGAGAGAGAGAGAGAGAGAGAGAGTGCCCACCCATAAACATTATAAGGTAACGCTTGCTGGACATAATGAGGAAAAGCTGCTGCTGGTAAAGCTTCTCCACCACCACCACGCCCTGTCTGGAGAAAAGGGCTTATTACCTTAAAGCCCTTCACTGGCCCTGCTGCATGCATGTGCCCCGGCCAGGCCACCATCATTAGATTATAGATTAAGGTAGATATATAAGATTAAGGTAGATTATATGCATAGTCCGGAATATTTGGTTTTACCCGAAACCGGATCATATAATTTGGACCGGGATCGGATAGCAAACAATTCAATTTCATATTCGGGCTTAGATTTAAGGTAAAAAAATCCGGATAAAGACCGGATAAGAGACCCCAACACTCAAATTCCCACAAGCACAATCTAAAATCAAGATCAAATTGGGACCGGACTATATCCAATCCTTGGTCCTTATATTCTCGAAAAAATCGGGCTGGGACCGGATCAATTTGGTCCAATTTAACCGGACCGGACCGTATAGCCACCCCTACCTAGCTAGCTGGCTAGATAGCTACTACATATTTTTCCAGCTTGTATAAATCAGTCGATATTCGTCCCTCAACTATGACAGTTTTCTTCGTTCAAATACCTCAATCTATTAATGTTAATAATATAGGAATGACAAATTTATCCATACACATTGAGTATTTTGTTATCCAACCCAATTAGATTGGGTATAAAATCCAAATAGATGGTACCTATACTTATTAGATCTTTAGATTTAGTACTTAATTAAATTTTTTTACATATACAACCTCAAAATATCGATGGAGAATTACATTTGAGTACCTAAACATTTTTTAGTATTATATTTTGATACCTAAACTTTTTAAATTTTATAAATAGGTCCAATTTTTCTATGTGTAGTTAAAACACTCTCAAACAAATGGGTATTCATATCCAACCCATACCCATTTAGATTATAGAAGCAAAATCCAAATCCTACCAAAACCCATCTACAAGACTACAACCCCAAACCTATATATACTTCACCCATACCCTAAAGACCTAACCCATAATCAATGGGTCTACTTGAATTTGGGTAAAATTACCATAAATGGGTAATTGCCATCACTTAACATATGCAACTTGCTTGTGATATAAGACTTAAACCAAAACGTCGAGAATAAATTTTTGTCATGTGCGGAGTGCGGTTTGATATCATAATGAAGAAAAGGATATTAGATACCGGGAGCAGGATGCTTTGGAGTGGAGGGTTTGGATCTCTGAACACCTAGAGAAGCCAAATTACAATTAGCCCTTCTGCCATCGATCACTGGAGCAGCATCGACACAGGCTCTCGCTGCTCCTTCGGGCTCCCGAAAAGTCACCTGCGAAATTGACCATTCACTACTTCTAATTATTGCCTAATTACTTATGCGTATCGAGGAAACTAGATCGACCCAGTAGCAAAAAAACAAGGTAATCTAGAGCAAACTAGCTAGCTAGATCGAGGGTAATGAAAATCATGAGCGAATTCATTAAGTGAATAGATAGATAGATATATAGAGGTCTGAAGAGATCTAATTAATAATAACTTACAAATCCGTAGCCCTTGGATCTGCCGGTGGCCTTATCAGTGATGACAACAGCCTCCAAGATGTCGCCGAACTGCTCAAAGTACTTCTTCATAGTGTCCTTGTGGGTTTCCCAAGCCAAACCTCCAACAAACACCTTCGTGTATGTCGTGTCGCCAAATTGCCCGGCACCCAACTTTGCCGCCGTGCTCATGATCGCACCCACTAGCTACTACCCTTTCAACTTCAGATCGGTCGCTAACCAAAGCAGGGATCCAAGAGACAGATCGATCTGTGTGATAAACCTAGCAACCTACACAGCTCGACTACTATATTCACTGATTTCTCCCGAACAAATTAATCAGTTGGCTTGATGGTAGAGATCAGAAGAGAAGGCGGTAAAGATCAGTAGCGGCGGCGAGGTAGGTAATAGGCAAATAGCAAGCCAGAGAGAGGAGAGAGAGAGGCGACAATTAGGTCAGGAAAAAGAGCCAAGATGGAGGGAAAGCAGTCGATGGGTAGAATAGAGACTAGTACAAAGGAATAAAGCATCGGAGACCGACCGACAGGCACTTCTGGTTGGAAGGGCTAAATAATGGAAAAGGTAAAAAATAAAATAAAATAAAACAAAGGAACGAAAAGACAATAGGAGAAAAGAAAAGAGGGTAGGTAGAGGTTAACATTTGATTTATTAGAAGTGAAAAATACTTATAATGTCTTAAATAAACATTGATGTTGCTAAAGAACAAAGTTTTAAAGAATCGTTATTTTTTTAGAATACTAATATAATTTTCAATTGAATCATTTTTCAACTTTCAGAGTTCAGACACACATTATAAAATCGATATAATGAATCAAACATTGTTGGTTGTACAATTTCTATTGATATTCATAGAGTTGTCCACCTTGAGGCAAAAATGTCTCTTTTATTGGGTGTCCGATTGCATACAGATTACTATTCTTTATTATTGTTGATTTTGTATGTATGTTGTTCTGCCATGCTCTAGGAGATTATCTTGGATAAAAGAAAATTCTCTATTCAACCAAAGCAAATTATACTTAACATACATTTAGGTGCTATATAAATTATTGTGCATGCATGTGTAACTTTCTATATGTAATGGCCTTTAAGTCTGAACAACGAACATGGTATAATTGATTTGGCCAGAACAAAACCTGCTAATGAAGTAGATCGTGAAGTTCTCCCTTGAAGTCATGTGAATACTAAATAGTGGTAAGGCAAATCAGTCAAAATCTCGATTTAAATTCTAAAATCCTACGATTTTACGACTTTACTTACCTGTTTCGATCTTGGTTTTACTATAAAATCTATGCACCTTAAAATCCTATACTATTCATGATTTAAATCCTTAAAATTTTTAGAATCTTGTGATTTTACTATTCAAATCTTAGTGTCAATTTTACTTGTTTTGCCTAAGATTCTTCAAGAGTCTCGGGTCCCCATCAACCATCATCAAGTCACATCAACATATTAATCATCATTGATTCACCACTTCCCACATTCACTTTGATAAATTGGAATATTAACTTTGAGAAATTATCATCGTATGTGTTAGGTGTTTCTGTGTTATTCATGATTTTCCTTCTAAATATGATTCATTCTTCATTTTTGTATGGACCTTAAAATCCTACGATTTTATGATTCCGGTTTTATTTAAAATTCTGATTTTGACTGCTATGAGTCAAGCTAACTTAAAGCAAAATACACTGCTATAGCCACAACTTTCACTTTTGTTACAAATATAACCACAACTTTCACTTAAATTGAGAAATTGGAAATTGGCCTAATCTATGGCAGTACAACATGAGAGAAGAAAAGTACCCATTAACATAAGTCCTCGCGAAAGGAAACTTGTCTAATAGAGAATTGAAAATGTGGATGAAAAAAAAGGAAATAAAAATTATTTTAAGGTATATCTTGTAAAGTCCTATAGCATGATTTGTTCAGTTGGGACGAGTTTATTCGCAAAGAATAGCTCACTTCATCTTGAGTTCTTTGTCAGGAGCGTCGATTTTTTTATTCTGGCGTTGGGTCAATGCGCATAATGATGAGAAAGAAACACCTTGCTCCAATGTGATTGTGGTAGAGGACGAAGACATTAGGACAAAGTAGGGCTGATAATCAGTTCGGTTCGGTTATAACCGGAACTGTTAAGCACTTTATGCTTACCGTTAACCGTACGGTTTAAATTAGTCGATTAACCATAACTGTATAGTCGGTTCTCGATTATTTTGTCGGCTAATCGGATAATCGTTAACTAAGTGATTCGGAAAGGTTATACCAAAATAATTGATCGATAAATTCAACACAGTTCAACACAAGTACACAATAATACTGTTCTACCGACAAAGTATGCTTCGATGGAGATGTATGTTATGAGCTTGAAGGAGAGCTTGAAACTTGCTGAAGAGAAAGTTGAGCGAAGGAAGCAGGCCAAAAAATGTTTGTATGATGATTTAGATAGCATTAGAGAGGAACATGCTAGGGTGGTTGGAGAACTAAGGTTGGCCAATGCACATTTTTTGTTTGTTTTGTTCCTTTTCGTAGGACTGCTTGTTGGCATTGCCATAGAAGGATTGAAATTTGTAGTCAAGGCTGCATATGTAACTTTTTTGTAACTTATGTCCCGAGTCTATGTAGAATGTTGTTAAAAAATTATGTTGGTTGTATGTTGTTAAGAAATGATGTTGCTAAGCTTCTTATGTTCTTGAATTCCTTAAGAAACAACAAACATGTAGTAAGTAAACAAACACTCCTTCACATACATAAAAATCAGTCAACATCATGGAATTGTTCCTAAATTAACATCATAACAAACAAAAGCTTCCATTTGCTAGTTGTCCAAAATGAATCCAATGTTTGGAAATCTGACATGATTTTTCATGGAAATAAGGCAACCTGCCATCCCAAAATAAACCTCACTACATTCAATGTACTACTAAGACAACGTCGGGCTGGTGTGTGCAGATTTGACAGTCATTCGTGTCTTGGAGGTGTCGCAAACAAGACCGAGTATCCAAGTCTTTGACATAATCTAAATATCGGTCCATGTCTTAGGTAAGTTCGAGTTGGCGTGTCTATACCGTCTGCTTAGCGAATTGGGTGTTGATTGTCGAGTCCCAATGTATAGATATGGGGATAAAACGAGTGCGATTCAGATTGCGATTGATCCTGTACTGCATGACAGGACGAAGCATAATAATCCTGGGCACCTTTCAATGGAAGATCAGACTGCAAATTTTTTGACAAAGGTTGTTGCGTCGAGCAAGCATTGGTATTTTTCGTCCAAATTGAAACCTCCATCAATTTGAGGCAGGGTGTTGAAGTTTATAAGTTTGGGTATCATCTTATATTTTACCATTGTCCTGCTGTCTATGTATAAGGTCATACGCATATATATATATATATATATATATATATGGCAAAGGCTAGCGTACGTCCGGGCGTACACTAGCCTACCGTACGCCCCATGCAGTTTTTCTATTTAGACAAAGAATTAATCGGAGTTTGGGACATGATACTATACCCTATCCCCTAATAGGTGAATCCCAGTCCCCAATTCACTAACCCAAAGCATGATATTCGTTTAATCTTAAAAATAAAAATCAACGATTCTAATTCGTTGAATTTTTCATTGGTTTTCATTGTAAGATTAAACGAACCTCATGGTTTGGGTTAGAAAATTAGGGACTGGGGTTTCACTAACCCAAATCGGAGTTTGGGGCATGATACTATACCCTAACCTCTATGTTGGTTAAGTCGATTATAGTTTATAGAGAAACCTTTTGGAGAGCACAACCTCTCTCATGGATTAGTCCCAAACTTCAGCAATACCACTTTAAATCTTGGTGTTGTTTATTATTCAATTCGTACTTCTTTACAAGAGCTTTGTTCTTTTCTTATCTTCTTTCTTCCCTGGCGATTGATCTACACATTCACCACAAAAGCTAAAATTACCTCTCTCTCTCCCCCCCCCCCCCCCCCCCCTAGTTTCTCTCTTTCTTCTCTTATCTATTTTATCTTTCATAGCGACCGATCTTCCTATTTCTTTCTTATGGTCGATTTCTCAAATGCAAAATGAACTTTTTCTCGGTCTCTCGTATCTTTTAATGGACAACATTTTTTTGTTGAATGGTTAATTGTTTCTCTTTGCATTCTACTAAAATTCAGTTAATTAGTAAACTCGCAATTTTTCAACCATAATTCACACTCTCAAACATTATAATTCGCGAATTATGAAATACCTATAAAAAAGCTTGTTTTCATGTTATAGAATGTGTTAGAAACACGATTTTTCTATATTATTATTATCATTATTAGGATAATTCTTATTATGGTTAGTAGTCATTTAATAGAATTAGGTTTATTATTAGGGTTTTCCGGTATTTCCTATATAAATATGTACTTTGTGATTCATTAGTAATCAATAAGAAGCGTATTAAGAAAATCCCTAAACCCTACTCTCTCCCAAATCCTCTCAATTTCTGTTCTTTCCCTAATCTGGCCGCCGGCCATTCTTCCTCGTTCTTCCCCAATTCTATTCTTAATCCCTAATTCTCTTCTAAATCCCCAAATCTCTACCAATTCCCAATTTCCCAACACAATCGTTGGAACCCTAAAAATAGGTTTCCTACATCTGGTATCAGAGCCCGGTTCGAGAATTGAGTTCACCACAACTCTCAACCGGGGACGAGTTCTACAACTGGTTCGACGATGAGCTCTTCAAAGCTCTCGAACCTGTCGTGGGCAGAGCTGCGTGACCGGGCTCGCCGCATCGGCCGTCGTTGGAGCTCCGAGGAGCTGTCGACTGGGAATGCCACCACCGCAGAAGAGCAACCGGACGTGGAAGAAGGAGCAGAAGAAAAGGCAGCAAGCGATCTACCACCGCTGAAGGAGATGGCACGCGACCCTAGCGTGCAGGCAAAGAGAGAGCTGCCGCCGATGATAGAAGAGGCGGCGAGGGGCGTCACCAAGGAGGAACCACTAACCGACTCAGAATCGGTCGCGTTACCCTCCGCGATCCAAGAGAGAGTGACCCCGGGAGCATCCACAGCATCCTCTGCGACTGCTGCTATCGTTCAAGTCACGCCGCCCATGGCTGCTGTAGATGAGGTTGGCATCGTCGCCACGATTCCGACATCGTTCGTGACACCAAAGCCACAATCAACCTTGACGTCCAAGAATCATATGGCTAACCAGGGCATGTCGTGGCGAGAGAGAGCTCCTCTGGGGAAGTTCAGGAAGAAGCGAGAGTCCGACAAAGAGGAGCGCGATACTGGCCAAACACATCAGGATGTGCGAGGGAGGTGGCTCCACGGCGGAATCAAAAAACGAGACGGGGAAGAGGCACCTACAGGAGACTGGGGTGTGTCGCCGGAGATGCGCTCGGCGATTCCGCCGTCGTCCTCTACCCACCTGTTGGAGCTATCAAGGTCAATGATTGAGGCGTCGAATTTGATTTTTCGTCGCCTGAAGCGCCGTTTGTCGTCGGGACTGAGAATTGAGCCGCCTAAAAAGAGAATCACGCGAGAGTCACCATTCTCGGCGGTTTCTCTTACGGCGAGGTCTGGCTGGAGAACAGAGGGGATGGACTCGCGTGATGTTGAGGAGAAGGAAGAGGGCGCTCTCAAGGAGACACAGGATGATGCTGGGTTGGAGATCAACGCGGAGGCATCGACCCGAGAGGAGGCGAGTTCGAAGTCGGGCTGGGTTCCTAGCCGCCGGATGGAGGAATTGTCTCCGAAGATTAAGGCAGGGCTGGTGTTGATGAAGAAGAAAGGCGGCAGCCACTTCCCTTCCTTGAGTGAGCCGAAGGTCGATGACGTGATGGGGTCGGGGAGGCGCGACGCCGGATCGAGGCGATCTACCAGCAAGATCTCGTCGACGGTGAATAGGGCGAAGAGGGCGTGGTCGGAACACGGCGTGGGCCTTTGCCGCCGGGCGGTCTGCTTGTCACGAAGGTCGCGGGAAGGCCCATCGCCGGAGAAGAAGACAAGCACGGCGGCGCTGGGATCTCCACCCATTCGCCTGGTGGTTAGGCCATGGCAGGAGGAAGGGGTGGTGAGGAGGAGTGCCGGCGGCTATCGAAGAGCCGGAGTCGGGCTTGGCCCTGGCCGACTGGAGAAGAGCTCACCGCCGGAGATGGTGGCGCTGGAGAGAGAGACGGAGAAGGAAGGCGGCGGGAGCTTTCTTCTCGCAAACCCTAGAAGCAGTAGAGGAGCACAACAACAGCAACCATTTCGATTGGGCCGAGCGGATGTGGATGCATCTTTGGAGGGGCCGAGAATAATGGGTCATGGGGTGGAGAGAAAAAAAATAATAAACTTGGACTCAGGAATGGGCTTTGAGAAGGGATTTGATGGGTTGGTTCTTGGTCAGAAAAGTCAGCATAGCAGGCCTAGGATTAAGCAAGGTTTGGGTTCCCATGGGCCAATTCTTGGGCCTTACATGAGCAGTCTGACTTGGGCTCTTTTATATGGAGTTGGGTTGGAATCATTAGGCGATGAGGACCAGAAGATTGGGACGCAACTTATACCTGCCTGGGCTGGGAAAGAATTCAGCAATAAGCCAAGCAATGAAGGCTCGCAAGTGTGTCAAGGAGAAGAGGTGCAATACCTTCATGGAGGATTCGAACCGGTAATGGACCACCATGAGCCACCTTCATATGATGCTAGGGAATTTGAAGAATGGCCTAGCGGGTTAGCAAAGAAGTCCTTCGGGAAGGGGGACGAGCCGAGGGAAGCAGAAGGTGTGCCCTTGAAGGAGAGATTGACAGCTCTTGAGCAGCCTGTGAGGGCCTCGCGAAAAGGACAGTGCGAGTACTCGTACCAGATTGGAAGAAAAGAAAAAGACAAAGCGCGAATTGCACGAGAAAAGCGTGGAAGTGGATCAAGCTGATCAACCTTGAGGGCAAGGTTGGTCTGAAGGGGGAGGAGATGTTAGAAACACGATTTTTCTATATTATTATTATCATTATTAGGATAATTCTTATTATGGTTAGTAGTCATTTAATAGAATTAGGTTTATTATTAGGGTTTTCCGGTATTTCCTATATAAATATGTACTTTGTGATTCATTAGTAATCAATAAGAAGCGTATTAAGAAAATCCCTAAACCCTACTCTCTCCCAAATCCTCTCAATTTCTGTTCTTTCCCTAATCTGGCCGCCGGCCATTCTTCCTCGTTCTTCCCCAATTCTATTCTTAATCCCTAATTCTCTTCTAAATCCCCAAATCTCTACCAATTCCCAATTTCCCAACACAATCGTTGGAACCCTAAAAATAGGTTTCCTACAGAATGGGAGCAGCGAATGTCTAACCACAAATTGCGTGACTCAATTTTTACTTGATAATGCAAAAGTTTGAACCCAATATAAATTTACGAATCCCAAAATGATGTTGATAATATATATGCATATGGCTGGCTAGCTAGCTAAAAGTAAACATGTGGTGGAAAAAAGGGAATAAGTTATAGTATAGATGTGCGGTAGTAGATTTGAAATAGCAGACATCAAGTCAAAGTAGTTAGCTAGCTAGCTAACGGTGTCAGGTTGGTCAAAGATCAACATTCCAAACAGCAGCTTCACCTTCACCACATGAAGTATGCACTTGTTTCATTCTCTCCACAGACTTGCAAATTCCACTGCAAGACCAGTCGAACGATGCCACACATACATTTCCTGCTTCTGCTTTCCATTCACAATCTACATCAATTATCAGACATGTCATGATTCATTAAATTACTACATACATGCACATATATGTACGTAAATGCATGTGTGACACTACAAAATTGGGAAGCATTGGGGACAAGTGTTGGGGGACGGATGTCATTGTCATTGTCTGTCTCCGGAAATATAATTCTAAGCAATATAAGGGACAAGTGTATAAAATTGTCCCCATACATTATGCAATCAATTTTTAACTAATCTAGATTTATGTAGTTGTCCCTAAAGAACTAGTTTGAGGAAAGTAAAAGATATTGGGGTCGATTTTCTGTTATGAAAAAATTGCGAGAATTTGTTTTGTGGATTCTTTCAATTAATCTTAACCCGCGCACACAAATTTAGTTTTCGCCCGGAAAAATGGGCGCACAAGGTGGTACGGAACTCTTTTGGGAATTTTCCGAAAAACATATTTGGGATTTCCTAAATGGTTTATGGTAATAGAATTAATTATCCTTTCCAAAATTGTTAAATAGTTTCCCCGCATTCCAGAACCCTCCATCTTTTCTCAACCATTGATTTATACTAGCTTTTTACCCGGCCCGTTGGCCGGAGAGATTTATTTTATGATTTATATTATTTAAATTATTTATATGTTTAAATCATTTTGGATCTTCTAAATATTTTGTGTTCTTGGTTCATAAAAGAGATTATAGTATGTCTATATTGAAATTTTTTAATATTTAGCACACTCACTTCTGATGTTTCGGTTTTCTAATCATAAATTATGCCGCTGTCACGTCTTATTCATAACTTATATCAAAATTTTTCAACCAAAACACTAATATTTAGCGTACGCCAACCTGAACCACACACACACACTACCATACGACCATTGAGTTTTACTATTTAGACTCCGGAGTTTTTTGGGGCATGATACTTTAACCCCCTTATTCTCTAACCTCTAATTTATGCAAATACTTTGTCATACCTATCTTCTATCGTATCTTGAGTAAAATGAAAAGATAGTATACCTTGATATTATATATATGTATATATATGTGTATATATATAGTAGACTCAAAATTATCCAGATACTTCGACAGACCTATCTTATCTCGCCTAATACTCATATTAAAAGTGCAACTTGCCTATCCCCCACCCTCAGGATAGAGACCCCGCTTTTACCCCATAATGCCAGACAACCATTGAGGTTGTCTATCGTTTGATATGTAATATATAAAGAGGAAAATCCTAAGATGATGCTATTTATTTCTTATCCTCTCCCGCCGCCCCCCTTTATGGAGAATAAAAGGGTAGGGATGACAGGATCATAGCTCGATATGGTTTTATTCTGTTCATCGTATCGGAGGTTATTTTATTTTTTTTATTTTTGTGGGCTTCTTTTCATTCTTCTTTGACACCTATGGTTGTGATCAGAGGTATTTAGCCCCAGAAAGGGATTGAGATTTTAGGTCCTTTGGAAATCCAATACACATTCATGATCCTCAAGTTTGGACGAACTCTTGACCAATGTTGTAAAGATTAGGACTTTTTAGTGAGACATTCTTAGTAAAGATACTTCATTATTGGATCAATTTATTCATCCATATTGAAACTTGACACACACCGTAGCCCCCTCGTGATGATTAAATTATTTAATCTCGACTCATTTCCATTTTGGATGTTAGTTTTTTTTATCAAGACACTTAAATTTAGTATATTATACAATATGTATCAATTGTTAATTTTTGAAGTTCAACCCGTGGTCATTGTTTATATGTTGGCTTAGAATCTCAATCTAAGACACTCGCACACACTTTCGAGGATTTTGGTCTTAACATGGTCGTTGAATGTGTAATTTTCAAAAAATTTAGGACTTTGCTACGGTGACATGCATGTCACGGTGACATGCACTTTTCGGTCGACCTCATATAAGATCAGGTCGACCTAATCAGTTGTTTCAGTGTACAAACAGTTTCATGGTGCCTACTTTGGAGATTCATATCTTATAATTGGCTAGATGGAAATTGGAGATTAAAGGCTTGTTTTGAAGCTGAAGTGTCCCTCTACACATTAAAGTACTTGGGAGCTCAATAGAAAGTCCAGAAGACCATTTTTGAACCTGACCAAAAGGCTATGCCAAAACTGGGAAACTGCCTGAAAATGGCTAAGTCTGGCAACGTGTTTGTCAAGCCTACTTTGGAGCTCAATTTCACAAGCATGGATGCGAGTCAAGTCTAGGGGCCTTTACCACGTTAAATTACGTATTTTTTTATACAAATGCAAGGCATTGAATGAAAGATTGAATATCTTTAAGGCTTCAAACAAAATGCTCGAAGTTGCTACGAAGGCTGTTTTTCTGGCAGCTTGCTTGTGCTCGAAGTCTGCCAGAAAAACAGCCTTCGTAGCAACTTCGACCCTTTTGTTTGAAGCCTTAAAGATATCCAATCTTTCATCCAATTCCTTGAATTTGTATAAAAACATACCTAATTTAACGTGGTAGAGGCTCCTGGACTCAACTCGCATTCATGCTTCTCGAATTGAGCTCAAAAATAGGCTTCACAAACACGTTTCCAGACTTAGCCATTTCTAGGCAGTTTCCCAGTTTTGGCATAGCCTTTTGATGAGGTTCAAAAATGGTCTTCTGGACTTCCTATCGAGCTCTCAATCACTTCAATATGTAGAGGGACACTCCAGCTTCAAAACAAGTCATTAGTCTTCAATTTCCATCTAGCCAATTGTATGATATGAATATCCAAAGTAGGCACCATGAACTGTTTTTACACTGAAACAACATATTAGGTCGACCGGATCCTATATGAGGTCGACCGAATCCTAACTGAGGTCGACCGGATCCTATATGAGGTCGACCGAATTCTATATGAGGTCGACCGGAAAGTGCAAGTCACCGTGACATGCATGTCACCGTAGGCACACCCAAAAATTTATCACTTATATATTAATATTCGATAAAGAGTGTCTACAATACACACATATTTTAAGTGCATTTAAAATGTCTTATCATTTGAACAATATCGGTGGATTTCATTTGATTATTTGCATTAATTTATTATCTATACAACATATATCAATTCGTGTTTCTCGAGTTTGGACGAACTGGCAACCAATTTTGAGAGTTGAGATTACTGGATAAAGATACTTGATTGTTCGATAAATATGTTTATCCCAATTGACTATCTTACTAAAAATTGTCAACTTTTATTTGGTAAATGTCTAGGTTAGTAGTTGATGAAACGCGATGTTTATCGTAGATTCTCAACAAAGATTCTCTAACATTCCTTTATGTTTTTTTCAAGAATCTTGTGTGTCATCCTAGGGTATGAAGTCAAAGTTTGTCAACAATCATACTTAAGTCATTTTGAAAATTTTGATTCATAATCGTTGACGATAATTCCAAGTCTGAAAGAAAATTTCTTAGCATACGACTTAGGACCTCAATAGAGCTTGCTCAATCAACATGATATAGAACAAATATTATTAATGTGAACTTAGGACACATTATAAAATTATTGCACATGTGATATAGTTTATTTTTCATAGGTAATTGACTGTCAAATGTTTATTTTCTCTCTTTTCATATAAATTTTGTTTAATCGGAAAAAAACATTATTGTTTATGTGTATGTTTGTCTAATTTTCCATAAAAATGTAACTTATCATTCAATTTTAGTAAAAATGAGTAAAAAATTTACTTCATAAGGTTTAATCAGATATTTTTTTTAAAACAAATGTGGTATATGTTACTTTTTGTTTTCTTATTTATATTTTTTTATGGACAAAAAAATTATTATTTATGTATGTTTGGTTAAGTTTATCAACATGTAACCTACTATTAAAGAAAAAAAAAAGGTTGAAAGAAATGGAAATATTAAAGAAGAGAGAAGTAGCTCCATAAATACATTAATAACTAATTTTTTTGTTTGTAAAAAGTTGTCCAACTTGGCAAATTGTGTATCCTCCAAGTGCTTATGTGGCAAGAGATTGATTTTGAATTGTCATAATATATAGTATAGATATAGATTATTAACTAAATCTCCTCCATCCATTGTAATATAACTTACAAAAACCCTACCTTTACTCCATATTTGCATTTCACTCGCCAATGGCTTCCTCGTTCTTCCTTCTTATTTCATCTTTCAATATTCTCGTTGATAGACCAATCCCTCTCTCTCTTATTTACCTATCACTGCTTCGTATTTCCTTCTCTTCTTCACAACCCAAATTGGATGTTCTCTCTCATATGGCGTCGTCATCAGCGTTCTCTTCTACTTTCATGTTAGTCGGCACGACTTACATGTGCATAACGTTTGTTTGGATTTTATTTAGTTCAATTATTTCTTCTTCTTCTTTTCTGGTAAAAACTATTGTATTTTATTCACCGAACCTAAAACTGGTTACTGTCACATTCTTATGGGTTTTGTTTTGCTAGTGGATCGATATGTTGTTTGGTTTTGTTGGATCTGTCATTTGCTTAGTTTCTAACTCTTATTCTGCTTTTCTCCTGGAGTAGACACTGGTGATTGTGATAATTACGCACAATAGAGGGGGAACGATGCAAGGGTCAGCTAGTGAAGCAATGTCAATTAATGGTTGTTAGCCACTGGAGATCTAACAAGAGTAATGACTGTCATGGCAATTTTGTGTCTTTTTAAGCCAAATTGGCTTTTCCTTTTTCATTGTCTATATCACTATATTTATGCTGTACTATATTATATTTAAGTGTATATTTTTAGTACAATGAATGAAATAACATTTGATATTTAAGATTATAGATAATTACAAGTTGTTCTCAAGCCAACTTATTATTTGAGGACGACTTAAGAAAACACAAAGTTGTCCCCGCAAAAGAGAGTTATCACTACAAAAAAGAGTGACTTAGGGGACGACTTAAGAAAACATGATCTACTCGAAAGAATGTTGGGTTTTCCAATCAACTGTTTATTTTATTTCTTATGCTTATTAATAGATTTATGACGACTTAAGAAAGCACAAAGAGATCGATCATCATCTAGAGAAGCCAGACCTGGAGGTGTACCGCAGCACATGGAGCGCTCATCTACATGTTGAACCTCCAGCCCAATCAACCACGCTCCTAATGACACATCCTCATTTGCATATCTGTGAAGTATGGGCCTAAGGAACCACGAAACCCAATTAATAATTCCAACCCAGGCCCAACCCATATAGTTAAGACGACTGAACGTAACATGAGGGAAGGAGCATGGAGTGAAGAACAGACGACTTACGAATTGAGGGAAATATAGGCAGCCAGGTCCTTGGAGATGGCATAGAGTTGGCCGGTTGCATGTCTAAAGTACTTGTTCCCTTCTTCCCCGAATTTCCAGTGCTCGGGCTCATGGTACTTAACCCCTCTAATTATGTGCAAATTATTAAATTCTATTTGTAATTGAGTACGACTAAAATTAATTAATTAACGACTTACTTTTGAGATAGAACCGGTCCAGATTTCATGCATCCAATGTATAACCTGGGTGTCGAACGATATTTTGCCAAAGTGGTAACCAACATTCCTTTTTAGAAGAAAAAAATTATAAATAAAATCAAACACAAATTAAATTAGAAGTAAATATCACTGTACATGCACGCATCGAGTAAAATGCACGTCGAGAACTAGTGTAGAATGCATGTGTGTATAATACATTCAAGAGGCGGTTGCAAAAGACGTAGACGCGCGCATAATGCATATGCTACTAAAGTATTATATATCATTAAATAATTTGTAAACCGATTAAATTATCCTAGTGATTAATTAAATTGAATTGAATTATCTCTACCAAAAATATTAAGGTGGACTAGTGGACGAAGTTGTAGGATATATATGAGTGTCAATTATACATGTTGTATTAGAGAATAGTATATACATGCATATGCAAATGACTACACGGACGTACCTAAGTTGAGGTGAACGTCGTCATCGACCTTGACGTAGAAGTGGGCGTCCCAAATGGAGGCGGCAGCAGAGAAATAGAGTCTGGTTTTGGTGGACAGCTGGTGGTAACCCTCGACGTGGTTGAGCCTGAGGAAGTCATTGTGTTTGTCTTGCTCGGCGTCGAGTGCCTTGTCAAGAACTCCCCCAGGGGTAGCGCTGTGGCCTATCACGAACCTTATCACTATCCCTTTTTCCTTCTCCAGGGCCTTGAGCTTCTCACCTTTCGGCATCCACGTCTCCCGAACCGACTCCCGCCGTTTCCTGCTGCTGAATGCTGTGTTGATTCCGATCACTACGAACGCCTTTTGCAGTTCCAGTCCTAGCCCTACCCCGACTACTCCTGGCATCGTTGACGAATCATTAATCTTACTATTTGATGAATTTCTAGCATTAACATTGTGCGTAACTTGCCCCCTTGCTGCAGCAGGCTCCTGTTGCCTTGTTCTAGCCACTGCCAGTTCCATCTCTAATGACGACATTGTTGTCTCCAGCGACCTGCAGCACGCAACCAAGCCAGCCATATACAATCATTTAGCTCGATTCGAACCTCTATATATATATAGCGGACCTAAATGTCTCGATATCGATTATCTATATGGCTTACTTGATAGCTTGATGGGTTCTCTCTACTTCATCCATTATATCTCCAATAGCAGCTGCTGCTGGCCTCTCCTCTGCCAGTTTCTATTTAATGATAAATTTGGACATGCAATACTACTCATGAGTACGTACGTACGTATGATAAAATGAACTAGAGTAACCGAATCCTAAAATTATTTATAGTGCATGACAAACTACAAGTTAAGTACTGGCATATGTATACATAGAGAAGGTAGAAAACTAGAAATATTACTAGATATATTGTATACAAAAGAGATTATGTGAACATATTATAGTGTACGTACACGCTTGTGCTCGCAGTCGTGCTTAGCTTGGTTCGGTTCAGTGGAGAAATTATGAGGAGTGCGCGGAGGTACAAGTTGTCTATGGTTGTGGTGGTTGTCTTTGGCAGCTGAAGAATAGCTTTTGTGACTGCTGCCACCGCTGCCACTCCAGCTGGTAAGCAGTGCTCCCGCCACAAAGCTACCCATGCATAGCAGTATTATGGCTTTGCCTGATGATATGATCGGCTTCCCCCTCATTCTTTTATTCTACCAGCTGCCGCCCGAGAGACTGCTCGAACCCTAGTTAGTTACATAAACCAAACGTTTAGATACATAACATTACTCTCACACACATACGAGTCTTTTATTCATCAAGCTATATATAGATATCTCAATCATGAAAGAAATAAATAACTTCGCACTTAGTAATTAAGAACGACAATTAGTACCTACTGAATGAAGAAGACGATATAGAAACCGAGTGGCGAAGAGCCGAAGACAGACGATTTTGGCTGATTCGAGTTTTGGAGAATTGATGGTGCTTATCTTGAATGACGAGTCTATCTAGCCAGCTAATTGACAATCTTCCGCCCTCCTTTCAGCTAACTCATCGTTTAATTAGCTAGTAGCAAGCCACCAAGCAATCCGCAGCTTTAGTTTTCTTCTCCTTCTTTCTCTTGCTAGATGAATGCTCGGGGATTTGGAGTTGGCAGTTCAATCATGACTTTTTCATGCTTCAACAAACTTTTCTTAACAGCAATAATCAACATCCATCCACTAACACACTTCTCTACCTTAGGATCGCCTAGATGAGTTATTGATTGTGGTATAGTATTTATGTACAAATAATCTATAAATTTTAAATGTGATATTTATGATTCACTTGATAAATTTGGCTTTAGAAATGTCTTGTCTGAAATAAGAAAATTCGTGAGTTATGTATTTACGAGCCACTAATCTTGGATTTAGAAATGTGGTATTTATGTATTTTTAGATCTAGAGGTTGCAGTTTTGACTTCTGTAAATAGTACCTAATAAAAAAAAAGTAAGTATATATCACTCTTATTTAAAAGAAGGAAATGAAGGAACGAGTTAATTAAGAATAATATGAGATATGAGTAATTAAGAATAACACATTTTTTTAGTTATTTGAAATAATATGGATTAAAATAATTCATCATACAATGGGTTTTTTTTTTACAACAATCATCATTTCATTCCAAACCCACACAAATGGGAAGCCATACAATTACAATAATGGAGCTACAAGGTCAGCAATGACCGTCCATTCAGGAGGAAGCTGATCAAGACGAGCGTTTCTCGCAATCCAATCCGCAAAGGCATTGAATCGGCGGGGAACAAACTCAACCACGATCCAAGGAGAGTCACAGAGAATGGAAACAATCCGGGCAAGAGTTGCCCGGCATTGCCAAGGCCAAAGGCTCGGATCCTGTTTCAACGCGATCGTCAATCTCTGGCAGTCAGAGCGGACACACGTTGGGACTGGATCCAAGGCTGCCAAGATAACTGCATTAAGAATCGCAACAGCTTCCGCTTGTATCGGCGAAGAACAAAAGAATCTCTCAGCTTTCCCGTCAATAACCTGACCGTGGGAATTAGCAATAGCAATCCCATAAGTCGCCACCTGTGCATCAGAGACAAAGGAACCATCACAATGCACAACCTTACTATAAGGACCAGGCGGTGATAAGGTCGTCGAACGAGAACTCCCAAGCTGAGAAGGCAAACCGACTGATCTGGAAGAAGTGGAAACCGTGCCCGTAGTCCACGCTTCCTTAACCTTTTGAGAATCTCTATCAGCAAGGATTGCCACAGTAGGCGGGGAGAACACCTTTCCTTCGAACACCATTCCATTACGAGCAATCCAGACATTCCACATCGTACACACAATCTTGCAAATCTGGTCAGAAGATGACCGATCCCTGAGAGAAAAGAACCACTCAGCAAACCTGGATTCCGTAGGAGGGACAGACTCCCCCAAACCAATCCGAGACCAAGTCTCACTTGTCTTGGAGCAGTGGAATAAGCAGTGCATAACAGTCTCAGCATTCTCTTCACACAGCGGGCACAGAGTAGAGGGAGCACACTTGCGTTCAAACAACCTTGCCCGTGTTGCAATTGCATTCTTACCACACTTCCACACAAAAAACCGGAGCTTAGGGGGCAACTTGAGGTCCCAAAGCCACTTCCAATCATCCTTGTTAGGTCTAAAAGATGGGGCCTCATCACTTGCAGGGGAAGAGTCTCTCGCCTCACGAAACACACGGTAGGCAGACTTCACACTGTAGCCACCAGAGTCCGTAAACTTCCAAATCCACCAATCATGTGAGGAGCACGGACCAATTGGAACTCGAGCAATAGCTTGGGCAATCTCATCAGGCACAAGATCCCTGATCGCATGCATGTTCCAGCAGCGATTACTTTGATCAATCCAATCACTAACCCGTGACGGTTCCAACTCCAGATGCGCTAAGCTGAAATTTTGAATGGAAGGCACCCAAGGGTCACAATGGAACAAAGAATCCTCTCCTGACATAATTCCTTTCAAAAGACCCACCTTCATATGCTCCTTGGCTTCACACAAACCATTCCAAATCCATGAGCTCTTTCTACCTTTAACCGCCGAAAGCAAGTCGCAATTGGGAAAATAAAGTCCCTTCAATAGCTTAGCCCACAAGGCTTCCGGATTATCGAGAAGACGCCACACCTGTTTCCCAATAAGCGCAAGGTTGAAGAGGTGGAAGTTCTTGAACCCCAAACCTCCTTCATTCTTAGGTTTTTCCAGCACCCTTGCATCACACCAATGAATCGCCTTTCTTCTCATAGACCCCGACCAGAAGAAGCGTTTCAGAATCGAATCCATTTTGTTCGTTAGGTTCAGAGGAAGCAAGAAGATACTCATGATGTAGGTCGGTAGAGCTTGGATCACTGCTTTCAGTAACACTTCTTTGCCTCCTGGGGATAACATGAGACTCTTCCACGTTTCACCTTGCTTTTCCATACGCTCCAGAAGGAAGAGAAAAGTTTCTTTTTTAGATCGACCCCATTCAGATGGAACTCCCAGGTACTTGTCGTGGCAAACCGAAGGTGGGAAACCAAATTGATCCCTCACCAAAGATCGAATTCCCTGGGGGGTATTCTTGCTGAAGAAAATAGAAGACTTAGAGACATTGATTTCTTGTCCAGTAGCATCTCCATAAATCTTGATAATATCCATAATCCGATCAGCTTCCAAAACACTAGCTTTGCCGAAGATGACTGTGTCATCCGCAAACAGGCAATGAGAGATTCTTGGGCAGTTTTGGTTGAGCTTAATGCCTCTAATCTCACCACGTGAAACCCCTTTTTCAATCAAGAAAGATAATGCATTAGTCATAAGGATAAACAGAAAAGGAGAGATGGGATCACCTTGTCTAATGCCGCGGGACGGGGAGAAAGATTCAGTAGGGCTTCCATTAAGAAGAATGGAGAACTTAACTGTCCTGATACATGCTTGAATCCATCCGCGCCACTTATCCGAAAACCCATAAGCCTTAAGACAAAATCCAGCCCATCCCAGTCGACAAGGTCATATGCTTTCCGCATATCCAACTTCACCATCATGTCCCAGTCACCATATCGGCGATTCTTGAAGTTATGCAGCATCTCATGCACAATAATAATATTATCCTGAATAAGCCTCCCTCCTGTAAACGCTGCTTGCATTTCAGATACAAGCCCAGGCAACCATTTCTTCATCCGAGACGAAATGATTTTAGAAATGATTTTGTATCGAAAGTTACAGCAGCTAATGGGTCGGTATTGAGTGATCGTCTCTGGAGCCAGAACCTTAGGGATAAGGGCAATATGAGTGTCATTCCACCCTTGTGGCATTACAGAGGTTCTGAAAAAACGGATCACTTCATTACAGAAATCCGGACCGACTTTGCTCCAAAACTTGCGATAAAAGGAACCAGCAAATCCATCGGGACCTGGTGCTTTAGAGGGACCAAGGTCGAAAACCGCAATACGAATTTCCTCCACAGTCGGCTCCCTTTCCAAGTCAAGATTCATTTCATTGGAAACCATTCTCGGAAGGTCCTGAAGAGCCTCAAAATTGATACCCTCTTTCTTCTTAAACAGTGACTGATAAAAGCCAGTAACATGATCAGACAGTGCAATAGGCTGAGAAATCACATTTCCATCTTCATCCTTCAGAGATGAAATTTTGTTTCTATGCTTCCGAAGAGAAGTAGAAGCATGAAAAAACTTATTGTTCTGGTCCCCCACTTTAAGCCACTCAATACTAGCTCTTTGACTCCAAAACAGTTCGTCGTCTTTCCAAATTGTAGCAAGCTCATCCAAGAGTCCTCTTTCTTCTTCAACAATTTCCTCGGTTCGCTCCAGCTGCAGAATATCGCTCAATCTCTTTTGAATCTCATCAGCCCTTCTATTTTGGTCTTTGAACATTTGTTTAGCCCACTTAGATAGTTCCTTCTCGCAACTCTGTAACCTGTCATGACAGAAGCCTCCACCATCCCAAATACGGTTCACAATCTCAAAGCACTCCTCCTTCTGAAACCATCGAGTATCAAACCGGAAAGGAGTCCTTTTACAAGTACGAATCCCTTCAAACTCCAGTCGTAATGGGCAATGGTCAGACTCAATAGGGAGCTCATGAACAATCAAGGCATTGTTGAACTTGGAAAACCATGATGTAGAACAAAGGCCCCGATCAAGTCTCTCCTCAATCCGTCTCATCCCTTCTTGGTTGTTCTTCCACGTGAACGGGTAACCCTTAAATCCCATATCCATTAATCCATTCACTGAGACAAAAGATTTAAACGGTACAGTAGACACATTTCTAGGTACATTCCCACCCTTTTTTTCCTCCGAAAACAAAACAGCGTTCATGTCCCCAATGACAACCCATTTATCGTCGACACTGGTCCTAAAATTAGAGACCTGATCCCAAAAGTCCCTACGCCGAGAAGGATCTGACGGGGCATGAACAAAGGTAATAAAGAAACCCCCATAAACATCAACAAAGGCATCAATAAAATATCTACTACTATCAAGGATTGTGATAGGTAACCCCTCCACCCACCAAAGAGCCAGACCTCCTGCACTGTTAATCGGGTTGACATAGAACTCCTCCGCAAACCTCATACTTCTTCTCTTAGCCTTCATATAAGCTTCTTCCTTTTTTGTTTCAGACAGAAAAATGAAAGAGGGGTGGTGTTTTCTCACCAATTTCCTCAGTTGACGAACTGTAGGGGTCTGCCCAAATCCCCGACAGTTCCAAACTAGAGCATTCATGGTGCCCCCAGTGGCTTGGAATCGGCCACCATTTCCTCAGCAATAATTGGTTCAAATCCCGGCGGGAACTCATCATCCTCATCGCCATCAGACTCCCCTGCTCCTCTCTTCTTGGCTTGAGAAGTCCCTGCCTCCTGCCTCCTGAGACAGCCATTATGCAGGGTCGTCTTCCTCTTCTTTTTCTGTGACCTTGGGCTTGGCCTGTCATAATGGTCCTGGTTGAACGCAAGGAGGCGACCAGGTGAGTGGGGCTGGGCTTGTAGAGGGATCATCACAAAATAGGAAATCAAGCTTCTTCCCTACTTCTTGTTAGTTCGTTAATTGTTCCTTACAGTCTCAATCTCATGGCATTATTTGAGGCACAATAGTTATTTTACAATGGTTGTAAAATAACTATTGTGCCTCAAATAATGCCATGAGATTGAGACTGTAAGGAACAATTAACGAACTAACAAGAAGTAGGGAAGAAGCTTGATTTCCTATTTTGTGATGACCCGTTGTGTGTCTTCCTCTGAGTTCGCTGGTAGAGGGTAGACCGAGAGCCAATTGTAATTTATAACTGAGGGAAAATTAGTCATTTTTTATCTCATTTAACTGCTAGTTAACAGAAATTTTGACAAAATGGTACAATTGTTATGTTTCAATAATAGAATGATATATTTGTGTAAAATTATAGTATAAGGATATGTTTGTTAACTTGTAATAATAAAAGAGTATAAAATATTATTATCCCTAGATAAAAATGGTTAGTTTTAGCCTTTTAGGTATTAAAAAAATCATTAAATGCAAATTGCTTTTTCTGACATTTTTCTATCCACTCACGTTTTTCTTTCCCACTTTATAACGGCTTCTTTCTCTAATCTCTCCTTCTCTCTCTTCCTCAAGGTTCGAAAGAAAGGTGGGAAAATCATCAATCTCCTTCCCTTCCCCTAATCCCCTCGCCGAAAGTCAGATGTTTATCTCAGAGAAAGTGATCAGGGACAGGAAGGTCTTACCATGTTTTCCAACATAAGACGAATTTTGTGTGACCCAGCGGCCCGCTTTTAACACGTTATATACATGTGTATGGATCCTGTACAGGTATTTTTATTTCCCAAGCAATAAAATCAGGACATGGTGCCAAAAGAGTGCATGTAATAGGAGATATAAAGTAGAAAGCAAAAGAATTTTTGTTCGAGGACAAGACATGTGTTGTGAAGATGGAGATGATGAAGTTATTAAGGTGTAACGGCCTACCTATATATAGTGCATAGAATATTATTGTACTACTATATAAAAGCAAGGTTTTCAGGTGAAGAAAGACAACACGTGTCCAAACTACCTCTAATACTCTTGCATAATCTGATTTAATTTCAAGTCTGCCATTTCTTTATTTTCTGATTTTTTTGCTATTTCATATATATATAGTTTAACGATGGGTTGGCTTACATATGTTCTGTAACGGTTCGATGGGGTTTTTCTTTTCATAGTTTTGACGTGTGTATATATATGTATCTTGTAATGGTTTGAGTTGATTTTAAGTGTCAAGAGTTCCATCATGAATTTGAAGATGATGCTGAAATTGAGGATGAGGGTGACTAGAGCGCTATTGTTATGGTTAATGAGCGGCATCATGGTTTCAAGACTTGGGTTGGTAGCATCAACAAGAGTTCCAGCGATGTTCATCTTCGGAGATTCATTGGTTGAAGTTGGGAACAACAATTACCTGAGCTCCATCGCCAAATCCAATTATTTCCCTTACGGGATCGACTTTAACAGAGGCCCTACTGGCAGATTTTGCAATGGCAAAACTTTTGTCGATATACTTGGTGAGTACATATATAAACTTTTTTTTGACAAAGAGTACATATACAAACTTGATGATCATAATGGACTCCCTACACGATATATATATACTCTTCCAGGCTCCAGCTAGCTCCACTGTTTTTTCTTTTTTTCTTTTTTGTACAGCGGAGTTGCTAGGTCTGCCGTATCCTCCAGCTTTTGCCGATCCCAACACAGCCGGAGCTAGATTACTTGGCGGCGTAAATTATGCATCGGCAGCTGCAGGCATCCTTGATGAGACAGGCCAGCACTATGTAAGTAGGAACATATTTATATTTTTAAATGGTTTTTGTCTTGACGCTCACTTTTTTTCCATGCTGGCTAGGCACTCGTCTCATAATAATGAAAAATAAAGTGACGCATGTCAAAACGATGTTTATAGTGTGTAATATAATGGAAAATAAAATGTATGTTATTTTCCGATAACAAAAAAGATTTAGACTCATTTGAAGGCTTTAGACATTTAGGATTTGGGTTAGTGTTAATGTTTAGAATTTAGAGGATAGAGGGTTCAAAATTTAAATTTTATGACTTAGAATAATTCATTAACTAGTTGTTTATTAGATTAATGCTGGTCATTCAAATTAAAAATTTGGTGACTTAATGAATTAGGTCTGCACTCATTTTTTCTTAATTAGTGCACCGTAAAACACAATTTCCATTAATTAACTAATTAATTATGTGGTTAATTAAGCTATAATTAATAATAATACATGTGCAGGGGCAAAGGTACAGTCTAAGGCAGCAGGTGGCGAACTTCGAAACGACAGTGTACCAGCTGAGAACAACGGTGGGGATGGGCGGAGGGAACCTGAGCGATTTCTTGGGGAAGTCCATGGCAGTGCTGGTGTTTGGAAGCAACGACTACATAAACAACTACCTGATGCCAGCCATCTACTCTTCAAGTTTTAATTACAGCCCCCCGCAGTTCGCCAACCTTCTCCTCAATAACTATGCCCGCCAGTTAGTGGCACTCTACGGATTGGGACTCCGGAAGTTCCTACTGGCAGGGATTGGCCCGCTCGGGTGCATCCCTAACCAGAGAGCCAGCGGCCAATCACCTCCGGACAGGTGTGTCGACTACGTGAATCAGATGCTGGGCACCTTCAACGAAGGGCTTCACTCCCTTGTGGATCAGCTCAACCGCCAGCCGGGAGCCATGTATGCCTTTGGCAACACCTACGCCGCTGTTGGTGACATCCTCAATAACCCTGCCACTTATGGTAACGTCTAACGGCATCATGCATATATATATATATGTATGAGTTGATGAAATGATTGCGCGCATTAGTTAACTATATCATTACATTATATATATATATATACTCACACACATGATGACGACGACGACGACCATCGTTCATCAATTTGCATTTCTTGGTGCAGGGTTTAATGTTGTGGACAGAGGATGCTGCGGAATTGGGAGGAACCAAGGCCAAATCACATGTCTCCCGTTCGCCATTCCTTGTACCAACAGAAATGTTTTTGTGTTTTGGGATGCCTTCCACCCAACCCAATCTGTCAACAACATTCTGGCCCGTAGGGCTTTTTCTGGGCCCCCGAGGGATTGCTACCCTATAAATGTCCAACAAATGACCCTCTTCTCTTGATTATTATATATGTGTGTGTCTTAATTAGTTCCCAATTTCAACTATAATAATAATAATAATAAAAAGTCCTACAAATAATAAATCTACAACAACTCACGTTTTACATTTAGAGTGTACTAGATATATATGCTTTGCATTCAAGGCCTACAATGAGCGGATTGCACTAACTTCATATCCCAACTTTATTTGTTTTTAAATTTTATTATGTGGGTGAAGGTTTTTTTATTTCAATTCTCATTCTTGGTCTTGGATACTTAAACATAATTATCGCCTTGTATACGATACCAAAGTTTTCTTTTGTTGTGGAAAAATAAACGCAATTAGCATTCTAACTCGTAGGAAATATATCGATTCATGGTAATGTCCATAATATCGTACGAAAGTCGTGGTAAATCACGTTGGGGTCATTGGCGTCAAACAAATATGTGTCAAAAGAAAAAGTCAATAACAAATCACAAGAAAAATAGGTACATTCCAAATTCCAATCATAACTAAAAAATATCTCCATCTATTAGCAAGCAACCCATGTCGATGGTCGTCTTTGTTTCAATTTTTGAAAATACAAAGCAAGTAAATACAAAGACGACAGATACAAATTTCTCATCAATACAGAAGTTTGACCTTCGTTGTTTCACTACTTATTTCTTAAGTAGTGTACAGTGTACTATGGCATTATCGGTTGAAGAATTGTATGCTACTCCTCCCTCATTTGTCATTCTATTAACAAACATTTTAAATTTGACCTATGATATTTACTATAATTAGTTTTTACTTCAAATATTGTCGACTTTGCCCACAATTTTGTAGCTCATCTCAAAATATTGTCGGCGGAATCCTAAGTTGTTCCCCACCATCATTTCTCAAGGCCGCTACCACGAGTTTTGTATCGGGACCGAGTTTCATCCTATTTAGTGTTTTTTACTTTCTCTTTTTTCTTTTTGTTGAGCATGATCACAATTGAACCCAATGCCGCTACCAAAAATCCATACCATATCTACTCAATGTTAGCTAGTTTTGTATTGGGGCAGAGTTTTGTTCGCTTTAGTATTTTTTTCTTTCACGTTTTCCTTTTTATTGAACATGATCACAATTGAACCCAAATCAATGGGTATCCAACCTAATTCAATCCGGTCAAAGCGACTTGAAATAGATTTAGCATTTATAAATTTCTCTTTTGTAGTTGGCAGGTTGGACCAAGTGTTAATTTGTTAAAAAAATTCAAAGCGAGTTGAACACATTGTTGACCAATTTTAGATCGAACGCGAGTTTTGTACGCTTTAATATATTTTGTTATTTCTCATTTTCCTTTTCGTTGAGAATGACAATTGAACTCTAACCCATTGTTGACGCGTTTCGTATCGAGAGCAAGTTTTATCTGCTTTTGTAATTGACAGGTTGGGTAAATTGTGAATTTGATAAAATTGGGTCGACCCGGTCAAAGCGAGTTAGTGTTGAGAGTTTGGGGTCATGAGTGAGTTTTATCCGCTTTAGTATTTTTTATCTTTTTTCTTTTGGTTGAGAATGACAATTGAGTTCAAACGCATGGGTATACAACCTAATTTGACCCGACCGAAGCGACTTGAACCCTTTACAATTTTTCGGTGGGAGTGAGCTTTATCTGTTTTTGTAATTGGCATGTTGTGTTAGGTGTGAATTTGTCCAAAACAAGGTCCAATCAGGTCAAAGCGAGTTGAATTTGGTGTTGACGAGTTTTGAGTAGGTAGCGAGTTCTAGCTTTAGTGTTTTTCATTTTGCTTTTTCCTTTTGTTTGAGAAAGACAATTGAACCCAAATCCATGGGTATCCAACCTAATTTGATCCGAGCAATGCGAGTTGAACCTCCTCAAACCTGCAATCAATCCAAAAATTTCATAAAGAAGAACCACGATTACCTCAAACCCAAAAAAAGCCAAAAGAGTACAACTATGTTTGGCTCGAATTTTAGAAGTTTTATGCATCAAAAGTTGAAGTCAAGCCAAACACTTCTAAAGTTTCGCTTTTTTAAAAAACTAAAGTTTTTCGTACCTTAAAAGCAGAAGCTCCAATTTGAAAATACAAAATTGTCTTTACTCTATATCATTCTTTTTCTAGAAAACGTAAAATTTTTCATTTATATCATTATAAAAATAAATTGAAAAACAGTATTATTTAATATGAAATAAATCTAACGTGATCCATTTTAAATACTTTTTAATTTTTAGAATTTGTATTCATATTTTATATTAGAAATTTCTTTTAGTCATTTTTCATTACCTCTTAAATTAGAAAGTAATTCTGATAGTTTTTCAACTAAACACTCAATAATTTTTTTTAAATACATTTTGAAAAGATACAGAGAAGTTGCTTCATTCTGCAAAAGTTACAGCAGGATCAATTACAAGCCATACAAATTGAAGCGTCATGAAAGAAGTTTAAACATAAAAAATATATTCGACGACTCTTCTACCTTATGAAAGTTCATCGACTATATGCTATTGTAAATAACAAATATATGAAAAAAATGGTTAAGAATGAAATAAGATTACTTTCACTTTTGGGTCAATATTGACACTATTACTTTTTAAAATATTTATTTTTTTAATACGCGAAGCGATAGTAAGCGAGTTTTTGCTAGTATATATCTAATAAAGGCAGTAATCGGATGAAAGAGCATCATTTTCATGCATGGCATGCGTTACTAATCTTGTACCTTAGAGCCACATTTGGCCTTGGACATATAGAACACAATTGTACGTACGCACTTAACTTCAAATCATACATTTTTTTCTCCCAAAAGATACTTCGTATTAAACGAGATAATCGAGATACACAAGAGTCAGCTGGCCGACAAGAGACAGGAACAATAAAAAGGGTTTTTTTGCCCGAAACACCCTATTACGATACTTGACAATTCAACTTAAGGAAAGAAATAAAAATGAAAGTGGATCGGGCGGAGACTACAGAACATGCGCGCTGTAGCAAGTGGAAAGAAAGAGGAGATCAGAGAGTGGGCACTCTCTCGACAGAGCTGGAAAGAACAGTGAGCAAGTTGTTTGCGAAAGGATCGGTGAGATGCTTAGAAAGGTTCTCGACTGGACCTTCCCCTGTAACATAAGCTTGCAAGAAGAAACCAAGCATCGCAAACATGGCTAGTCTACCATTCTTGATTTCCTTCACCTTGAGGAGTGCGGCTTGGTCTGGGTCGCTGGCCAGCCCCAGTGGATCGAATGGCCCACCCGGGTGAAGCTTGTCCTCCAACTCCTATTCATTCAAAAATCAATATCAGTAAGTAATTAGCGAGTGTTTCTAAGTTGGTTGATTCGACGTTAAATTATTAGGAACAGAACAGAGAAGGAAAACAATATAATTACCAAGCCATTAATAATTCTATAGTATTCGGCACCGCCAAGAAGGACGACCTCCGCGACAACGGCTACCACAAGGTTGATGGGGATGTTGTTCCCGAAGTAGTTGAGGGTGTTCCCATCCAAAAGCAGAGCTCCTGTCTGCATTCATTGTAATCATAGGCACATAGATAATTAATTAATGACAAAAAAAAACAATCTATTCTAACTTCTAAGCTGCTGCACTGCAATGCATCCAAAACATTCACTATAAACTAGATATATGCATGCAATTTACCTTGAACCAGACAGCCTCAGGCCCGCAGTTAGCACCGTACTTGTTGAAAGCTTCAGGGATGATGAACCCAGCAGCTCCGAGCATTGCCCACCGGGCGTGAATCAGCTCGTACGCCTGATACCTGCAACAAATTAAGCAACCTCCAGTTACTTGAATTTGATTGTGTAAGGGAATGTATTGAATGTAATTTGTAAATGATGGTACTTGGCGAAGTCATCTGGCTTCTTGCTGAGCCCAAAAGGATCGTAACCATAACTGCAGTAGGAAGAAACAATAGCGAAGCAATCCATCATTAGTAATAATAATAATAATAATAATAACAATTGGGAGGTGGGTTCTGATTTGCTAGCTTACTCTCCGGGGACTTCTCCAGTCAGGTACTCGGGAATCTCAGAACGGTCCAACAGTCCGTCGGGAAGGAAGATCCTTCTATCAGGGCCTGATCGACCACAGTGGAAACCAGACACAAACTAATTAATACAGCAATTAACTAGCAAGCGGAGCAGAGCAGAGCAGAGCGCGAACAGGGGAAAAGAAAAGGTGAGAAGAACTTGTTTGTTTCTTTGTTGGTTGGGTTAGTGATATATTTTACTCACCATACCACTTGGCGAGTTCTTCAGAGACAGAGGAAACAGCGGGAGAGGGCTTGGATCTGGGAGGCGGAGGAGGGGGAGAAGAAGCAGCCTTCTTGAACTTTGAGAAGAGAGCAACTATCTTGAAAGTGGAAGTGGAGGAGGGGCCTGATGCAAGGGACCTGCTGCTGCTGCTGCCATTGAAATTCAGAGCATTCCCCAGCATCTCCGACGCTCCCAGCGACGCCGCTGCTGTTGATGCTGCCACCGAAGCCGCCATAATTAACCCCCCCACCTCGCCCCCCTCTGAGGAAATGAAGCAATAATAGTAACGATGCTACCCTCTATCCCTTGCTGCCTGACTTTCTTTACTGTGTAGTCTTAGACGACCTGGCTCTCTGCAGCTGCTGCTCTGTTTTTATGGGATGGATGAAGCATGAGCTAGCTTAACTGGGATAGATAGTGGATGAAAACGTGACACCTCGGATTCATTGGCGCGACTCGTCCTGCTTCCCTATTGGTTGCCTGTAATCCCATGCTCAGATTTGATAGGTCGACCCCGTTGACGTGGCAGATTACAATGCTCCTAATTGCTAAGCCTGAGATGTGGCCGGCATCCGGATCAGGCTGTGGCTGTTATATTTTTATAATATATTGTTATTATATGATCATACATACAGAGAGAAACGATTTTGTCCCTATCCTGATCCCATTTTTCATCCATCCATCTGCTGAGCAGTGGATTTGGGTCCCGGACTGGCTGCTGCCCTAGTACACTGTACACACCTCACTCACTCTCATCTTAAGCACCATGACTCATGTGGTGCCTTCTTAAAAAAAACTCATGTGGTGCCAAATATGACCCAAGAGTGCAAATTTATACATAAAACTGTATTTTGTTAGCCTAATTAACGCTTATGATATAAGGACATCCTTGTACCTTGCAAATTTGTATGGGAGGACAAGGAATACAACAATGTATAAACATCTTTTTTTTATCAGTGGAATATTGATTACTTTTGTGATTCGTACTAGTTAAGGGATTCGAATCTGGAACCTCAAGTTCAAGACTAGTGATATTACTACTAGACCAATATCTTATTCGTAACAATGTAAGAACATCCTTAAGGCCTGAAATCATAAGGACATTGAATCGTGTTGCATAAAATTAGGAACAATTTATTGGTTACATCAATTAGTATAACAAGAATTTAATGAGCTTTCACCTTAGTTGTAATTAGGGCTATAAATAAACCGAATGGCTCACTAACATCTCTAGGTTAAACTCGAGAAATAAAACTCGTCGGTACTAAAAAGGTGGAGGACGAAAAATAAGAATGATATGACTAAAAACTCACAGATAACATAGGGTTGTTGTTGGGTAGCTTGAAAGTAGTTTTCTACTATTACTTTTGGCAAATGACCACACCATATAGGTTTCTGAACAAACTAGAGAGGAGTTGACCCCAAAAGAGCTCAAACTCTTTTTTTTAGTTCCATCGTAACAAATGGCAGAAAGAGAAGGCGTCAAACACTCTACTCATTTAAAGACGTGCAAACCTTGAGCTAAACTTCGTTCAGCTAGCGAGGCTCGCAAACCAGCTCAACTTGTGAGCTGGCTAGTTTTGAGCTCTTGAGATTGCTCGTCAATGTGGCTAGCGAGCCAACTCGTCAAAAGAAAGACATGTATAAATAGTTAAATACTCCTCTCATCCGTGAGGTAAGTTAATGAAAGGAAAACACACAAGTCATTTCCCCTAATCTCTGAACGAAGAACTTAAAATTAAGCGTTAGAAGGTCCTCAAGTTGACACAACTTCAATAGATCATCCTAGGTATCTAGGATTATATTTAAAAGCTCCAAACAAGCATATGCATAACTTCATAAACAACCCACAAAAGGAGTCTTAAGGGTACTTTTGTGTTTAGACATGCATAGAAGGGTTGAACTTGGATACCAAAGCTAGTCAACACCTTACACAAGAAGTTTCACCACCACAGCCTTGTATAATTCATTACCAACACACCAAGCAATCTAAAGGTACTACCACCAAAGATAAAGAGATCATAACTTTACCAATTACCATTTCCAAGTTGGTCCAAACAACAAAATATGATCTTTCACTACAAGTGCACGGAAGATCAACAAAATGATGCAATACATATTACAGACATGTGTTGTTGGAGTTATGGCTACCTCGATAAAATTTTCTTATCTTCTGCCATTCACAAAACAATTTTGTTCACAGTGGACGACGATAATCAACTATGCGCAACCAAGAGACACAAACTAAAGCGAAAAATGATTCAGAATATAGCAAAATAAGACAAGGGAACTATCCTCCTCCTTAAGTTATCATACAGACAATGTGGTTTCAGATTTATGCTAGATTTATTTCTGACCTTCGTAAACCAGTCGTCAGCTGATATTTCCATCTTCTGTTGACTCGACAGAGGAACTTCCCAATCTCCGTACGCGGATGCAAGTTAACAAGAAATTTCCTATACGATGCACCAAGAACAGATGCAACTAAAGATTGTCAAAAGATAAAGAGAACTTGACATTGGATTTTGAAATAGATCTGCCCCGAACTTGATACAAGCCCTGAAGCCAGGGCATCGCCTACTATCAAATATCCCAAGAAGAGACCAGAAACCCAAAAACATCTCATACACGTATCACTTTCCATGCCAACGCAAAAAAGAAAAAACCCATTGATACACAACACCCATTATGCGTAATAGGCATCCACAAAACACTGTATGCAGAACCATACTGTCATAAATTTGCACCCCAATAATCCCGAAACAGAAATAAATTGGTTACAGCATGCAGTTATATACACCAAGTATCCAACAGTTCTATGTACACATGTTGCACGCCTATACAGAGTAGTCTCCACCCTTTGTGTTTGCTGAAGAAACCAAGCTCTCAACATATGTAACTCAATCTCTTACCTTAAGGGTAACATCTGAGAGAATACCGCCTGACTGTCTTGGGCTTGATGGAACACTATGGAACTTGACAACCAACACCTTAAAACACGGCAAAAGTATCACAAACAATGCTCCGAGAATAGCTGGTGCTGCAACAAGCCATCCCAATAGCTGCAGAATCAACGTAGCATCACTCAGATCTCATATCACTATACGAAGCAGATCCTGAAAATGGAGATAAAGGTGCCAACGTACAAGCAAGAAAATCATGAACCACAAATGCTGCTGATTCTATACGTCCACTATGCAGTTAGGCTGATGATCATTAAAGACAATCCACTAATAATAATAAAATAAAAGCCCATGTGTATCCCTAAGTAACAGCCTTCAGTCTAATTCAGCAATTTCTATTAGCAATCACCATGGATGCTTGGGCTACTGTTCTGTCGTACAATCACCATTGATTAACCGCAATGAGTAGCTAACTGTTCTACCTCGAACAACGTAACTTTCTTGCCCGTCAGTTATCTGAATGTCTTAGGCTCTTAGCTAATTTTGTTGAAGCGCAAGCCATTCATTACATACGCAAATAATGTTGCAGCCCAAAAACATAACATCATGCTAGTAGGTCAAATCCATGAAATATGATCTATTGGCTGTGAGGAATAAAGATGCTAACGTGTTACTTCGAACCAAGCTTGGCAACCTACCGCATGAAGAACACTTTGAACGACTTCATGAGAAGCTTCCCCAGTCAAGACCTTCTTCAAAGCATCAGATGTCAATGGAAAATGGGGTCCACCAATAATAACTTCCCCAAAACGCAAGAATGGTACAACAAGACTTGTAAGAGAAAATATGTTTAATAAGTCAGTAAACAAGGAAACCAAACATGTCCGTACCTATATGAAGCTTGAAATAAATAAAAAAGTTTAAGAAAGAGTCATTTGCATTCCCCAAAAAACACATTTCATAAAAAATCAGGGAAAAAAACAAAAAAAAAACCTATTACTGCTTAGAAGCTCAACCTCTTCTCATTCTAATAACAGTTTCTAAGATCAACTTGTAACCCCAAGCAATATCCAAAGTAGAAAAAACAATTGACCCAGATAACATAATGAAAGCACATATTACCTCAGCTCAATAGGCGTTGCAATAAGGTTTGCTAACATCACGGTGGGAGCATGGCAGCGCGATCCAAGTAATGCAATTGCCATCCCACACAGCAGAGCAGTGACTCCTGAAGACGACATCAGGGCTAATACTTTGAGTAGCTTCCAATGTTACTCTTTAAATTTTATTTCAAACGTTAGAAATGTTACAGGAATCTAAATATGGGAAAACTACATTCAGCCACAGCACCTTTTTCATTGGCTAACAATATAGATGTCAGAAGTAACTCGAGATGAACTCATAAAACTTTGTGCTAAACGATAAGCGCATAATCCCTTAAGTTACAGGAATCTACATAAGGGAAAACTACATTCAGCCACATACACCTGTCACAAACAGCTACTTTGCAATTTAAATTTTCCTGACGAGATACAAGATAGAGTTCATAAATGCTTTTTTATGTCCAAGGCTATCATCTCCTTGCATAATCCCATGTTAACGATATGGTTCAAAGAATTTTATCCCAGCATCATCTATAACTACATCTCGCGCCCACTTAACATGTATGCATCCTTGCTGTCAAAGTCGATTTGATGAAGGCTTTTGACTCGGTTCATTGGGGTTATTTGTTCATGGTTATGCAAAAGATGAATTTTCCTCCTAAGTTTCTAGAATGGATTAAAATCTGTTTAGAAACAGCCAGCTTCAGTGTGACTGTGCAGGGCAGTCTCTTTGGGTTTTTCGTAGCTAAGAAGGGTGTGAGGCAGGGTGATCCGTTATCACCTTACCTCTTCACTATCGCTATGGAACCCCTATCTTCCATGTTGAACAGAGCAGTGTTGACTAGACAGATTCCTTTTCACCCCCAATGTAAAGCCATCGGACTAACACGCCTTAGCTTTGCTGACGATCTACTGATTTTCACAGAGGGTTCATCTCAGGCTTTAGAATGTTTAAGGAATGTGCTTGATGTGTTCTATAGACTTTCAGGTCTCCGATGTAATCCGCTTAAGTGTGAAGTGTTTTTTGGAGGAATGGCGGAGAGATCAAAACAATTAGCCCAGGACAGATCTGGGTTCAAGGAAGGCAGGCTGTCGGTGAGGTACCTAGGAGTGCCTCTTCAATCTGGATCGCTGTCTAGTATTGATTGTAACTTGCTCATAGATAAGTTGGCCAGCAGAATTAGATCATGGCGTGCCAACAAACTAACATATGCTGGGAAACTACAGCTGATCTCTTCAGTTCTCTACTCCATCACCCAGTTCTGGATGACAGTCTTTATGCTGCCAAAGAAAGTTATCAATCGAATTCAAAAAGTCTGCTCTGATTTTCTCTGGTATGGTGAGGGTACTGGGAGGGCCAAAGCCAGATGGGATTTGATCTGCTTGCCTAAGAAGGAGGGAGGATTAGGGCTGCGAGACCTATATACTTGGAATGTGGCCTGTGTTTGGCAGAATGGTTTGGACGCTTCTCATGCGTGGGGGCTCGTTTTGGGTGGCTTGGATCGAGAAACACAGGTTAAAAGGGAGATCACTGTGGTTACTTCCTGAAACGCAAACTGGATCTTGGCTATGGAGAAAACTTCTCCAGCTGAGATCATGGTTTCAGTATCGATTGATAGGAGGAGATGCTGGGTCACTTGGGAGGGAAAGTTACTAGAGACTTTCTCCATTCGAGCAGTGTGGCAGACTATTCGACCTAGAAATCAAGTAGTGAGGTGGTACTCAGCATTGTGGGGGAAGTTTAACACACCTAGGCATCGATTCCTAACAAGGTTAGTCATACATCATCGGATCAAGACTCGAGTGCAACTAAAAGATTGGGGTATTGCTGAATCTGATCTATGTTTACTTTGTCATACTGAGCCTGAAAAGTAGAGATGTACTTGAGCTTTCACAGCTACCAGGAAAAGTAAGGAGGAGTTGTTGCTTCAGCTCAAGGAAGAAGTTAGATATTATTGTATAGGCAATACTGAATTTCATCAGGAATTGGTCGGTAACCCTGTTTACTTTCAGGTCTGGAATAATGGCAGTAGTTGATTCAATGTAGTTAGCAATTAGCAAAGTTAGCAGCTAGCAGTAGCTATAGAATTTGCAAGTGATAGAATTAGCAGATGATCTTTTTTTATGTACATTGCTGCATATAGCAGATGTATTTTTCGAGGATGCTTGGTTTCATCAAGCTTGAGCTTAATAAAGAGACAACAACAATTACCGGGGGGGGAAAAGCAAGGAGATAACAGCCAGGAGCAATTAGTCAGGCCGCAATGAGAATAACGAAGATGGGAACCTCATAATTTTGCTAGATCTGAGGTCATGGACCAATTTTCAATCAGGGAAGCAATACAAAAGACCTGCTGCATGGAAAGTGATACATACCACAAATGGGAAAGACTCCTAGGGTAAAGCCAAGAGCTGCAGAAAATGCTAATTGCTTTGGTTCCATCCCTCTGCGGATAAGAGAAACACAGACATCAAGAACAGAATCAAAATCGAAAACTGAATGAATCAATAAAGTTTCTCCACAAACAACCAACGAAATCCACTTTAACAAATGGAATTCTACATAAGAAGCCAACGGCATTCAATTAGCGGGAAACCGTAAACTCCAAGAAATCAGGTCAGCGGAAGAGCTGCAATTATACAGCATTCAATATTTTTACCACCGACTCCAAACATGACTAATAGCAATATTATCATTTCATCTATCGAACCGGGCAAATGAGAGATGCAGGTAATCTCAGTCTCTACCCTATGGTAATAGAAAACAAATGAGTTTACAAAGGTGAAAATCATTATTTTATAATCATAATGTAATTATTCAAAACGAAGATCGAAAGCAAAAGGACAGAGTACCTGCGCAGGATTTGGTGGAGAGGATCGACCACCCTCTTGCTGAACCAAGCCCCCAAATCAATCTTCGATACGGCCACCATTTCCTCTTCTCTCCTTACTTTGTCTGCTTCAAGCAGGGGTTTGAAATAGTTCTGCTCTCTCCCTGCTTTTCTGATCATAACCCATCACAGTGACAGTTGAGCAGTGAGGAAGAAGAAAGCAAACTAATTAAGAAAGCATATACAGTGGGTGAGAGGAGAGCAGAAGGTGATCGAACTTGGATCTAGCTTAGGAAAGTCTAATTTAGGTTGGACTGTTGGAGGAATCGGTTAGATCTAGTTGATAAGGGATTTAAAGAGTAGCAGAGCAGTGAAATTAAGTTGCACATAATCTAAGGAAGGAAGCGGATGTATGATAGCTGCGATTACCTTATCAACGGCAAAAGGGGAAACGAAACGAAAGGCCACGGTTGCGGAGGCGGTCGCTAGCGCTGTTCAGTTCGTCTATGGGCACGGCCGCACGGATGTTGGGAGTTTGGATCGGAGATTCTGGAGGAGTTATGCTATGACTACGCTGAAGGGAAGGGATGGGATGGGATAGGATGGCCGGATGGGTTGCAGGAGGAGAAGAAGAAAGAAGGGAACTTAACGGAAGAAGGAACGTTGTGTTTGCTGGAGGGAAGAGAGAGAAGGCGAAAGGAATTATGCAATGCAGAATCTGGAAGCAAGAACGTCTACGGAAAATCAAATATGAAACGCGAATCCTGATGAAGAAACGTGAAACGGCTGACCATAGACGAAAATAACACAAAGGAAATGTCTAAATTCGAAACGTAACATTTTCGCAAATTAAATTTATGCGCTGAAGAAATAAAAAGAAGTTTTTGCTTGAGATGAAATCAAAGTTAAGTAGATTATACAAAATAACGAGAATTAATGAAGTCCTATTACAACCTCAAAAAATTGTTATCTCTATCTCTAGAGTTAACATTGTCATTTTATGAACAGTTTAATTGTGTTTTGAGTAGTATTGATAAATTCTACACGATATATAAAAAATATAATGACGAAAATAAAAACGACACACGATTTTATGTGGTATCTCTGAACGATTTGTTCCGGACTAATCCACGGGAAAGCAATAGCTCTCCAGGTTATGTTATTGACTGATGATGAACTTGTGTTACACTGCCAGTGAGTGACCTTACAAGTCTATATATTATCATATGTAACCCTACTCCAAGTCCTTATTGCACTAGGGCAAATAGACGTACAAATCGACGTAGTCATGCTGGCTACAGGACACGACTCGGAGATGGGCTCATCAGTTGGGCTCGACTCACTCTCCTAGCCCAATACGCCCCCACAAGTTGGACGGTGGAGGTCACGCACGTTCAGCTTGGAAAGCAAAAATAAAAAACGATCAGCACCCAACTTTTTGGTGAAAAGATTAGCCACCTGGAGATGGGAAGTGACCTTGACTAGCAAGATAGCTTCGGAGACAACACGTTCACGAACAAAGTGACAATCCATCTCGACATGCTTAGTCCGTTCGTGAAAGACCGGATTAGCAGCAATATAAATAGCAACTTGATTGTTACAGTGAAGAGTAGTAGTAGCAGCTTGAGGTGCGCCTAGCTCGGCAAGAAGTCATCTAAGGCATAAGACTTCACTGATAGTGAAAGCCATGGCCTTATACTCAGCCTCTACAGAGGAACGGGCAACGACCTTTGTGTTGCTTGGTGCGCCAGGAGACTGGTGGGGCGCCAAGGAAGATGCAGAAACAACTGTTAGAATGACTGGTGGTTTGACAGCCACCCCAGTCTGCATCACAATAAGCACGAAGCTGAAGATCATTCTTAGCCGGGAAGTAGAGTCTTTGACCGGGAGACGACTTTAGATACCGCAACAGACGAACAACACCATCCATATGAGCCTATGTGAGATCATGCACGAAGCGACTCAAGATATTAACACCGTAGGTGACGGACGAGACACGGTGAGGTAGAGGAGACGACCCACAAGGCGACAAAAGGGAGAACCATCAACAAGAGTCGCTTGAGAGCTAGGTCAACTGGTGGTTGTGCTCAATGGGAAAAGCATTGGGACGAGCGCCAAGCACACCAACATCTTCAAGAATATCAAAAACATACTTTTGCTGACTGAGGATCATGCCTCGTGGAGACCGTGCCACTTCCAAACCAAGCAAGTAACGCAAGGTGTCGAGATCTTTGATACTGAAATGACGATCTAAGAACTGGTTGACTCATGTAATGAAGTCCATATCTGTGCCAGCAAGAATGATGTCATCAACATAAATCAATGCAAAACAAAGGAGGTACCTTGACTGTAGATGAAGAGTGAATGATCGACAGGAGACGCTCAAAAACCAAGCTCACAGAGAGCCAACGTGAATTTGTGATACCAATTTCACGAGGTTTGCTTGAGACTATAAATACACTTGTGAAGACGATATATCCGCTTGTCATCGGGTGCGGCAAACCCTGAAGACATATTTATGTAAACAACTTCCTCTAGATCGCTGTGAAGAAACACATTATCGACATCCAGTTGATGAATGAACCAGCCACGAGCCCACGACAAGGAGACAACGAACAGTGACAAGCTTGACAACATGCACAAAAGTATCATGATAATCAACTCCTTCAACCTGTGTGTACCCCTTGGCCACAACACGAGCTTTGAAGCGTTCAATCACACCATTGAGAAGAAATTTTGTGCGGTAGACCCATTTACAATCAATGGGAGTGACTCCAGGAGGAAGCTCAACGAGACTCCATGTCTTATTTGCTTCAGAGCATTGACTTCTGTAACCATGACCGCTCTCCAATGTGCATAACACACAGCTTGGTGAAAATAGTGAGGGTCTCTAGAGCTATCAACAACAACTATGAAGGCTCAAAAAGACGGTAATGCTCGAGCATGGGAGACATGGTGGGATATAGGATATCGGATGTGAGAAGCTTGATGATAGCATCGTATTTGCACGTGTTTTCACTCTGGTTTCCTGCCCATTTTGGCTCGAATTGATTGTTCCTTGGCCTATTTTACGCTAGGTTGTGTTCCTTTGTCACATTTCAGGTCCTAGCACATAAAGTGAAGCATAGGCGCAAGTTTCAAGTCAATCAGAGATCAATTGACGATTCGGGAGAAGAAACTCGGGTATGACATGAAGAAGAATGGATTTATACCTCACTTTATGGACAAAGAATCATGCACGCTTGTCATGAAAAGAAAGAGGACGAGACTCGAGCGTCTGGGTTCAAACGGCGACTGATTTGGAGTCCGGACGAGGGAGAAACGAAGCTTTGAACAGGAGCGGAGACAGAATTACGGGCAGCCCCTGACAAATTACGGCCGTAATTGGCCAGGGCATGCCCGTAATTTATTGGCCGAGCCTTCTACCCAGAATTGCCTCGAGGTGATAAAATTACGGGCAAGACCCCAAGAATTACGGCCGTAATTCCCAAATTACTGGCGGTAATTGGGAAATTACGGGCGTACCTCCTCCTCCTGCAGCTTAAGCGAAACGTGCGTTTTGGTGTGAATTACGGGCAGGAAGTGATTACGGCCGTAATCCTGCCCGTAATTCGCCCAGAGTCGGGTTTTTGGAGGCAGATTCGAGCCAAGGAAGAGGAATTCGATTTTCTGAGCAAAAACAGAGTTTTAGAGAGAGAAAGAGCGAAGAACAAACCCTAGGAGCTATTTTGGAGTGGATTTCTCATCATTGAAGCCCAGATTGCGTCCCTAGGAGTGAAGATTGACATCCCAGAGCAGATTTTCCTCATCTTTATGAGTATGGCTACTCTGATTTCTGTTTTCCTTTCTCTCTCTATGGAGTAGAACCTTTCTCTCACTTGGGTATGAAGAACCCTAGTTCCTTGTGTTAGGAATTTGATTGTAATGACTTGGGATGATATTACTGTTTGATTTTAATCGAATGATGCATGTTTATTGAATTGATTGGAGTCTGATCAGCTTTTCTCAATTTCTGCTGCAACCTGAGATAGATAGAATCTGATTAGGTTGTTAGAGCCTCTTCATTCGATAGTAGGAGACTGGCTATACGAGAGTTAGCTAGTTTACTGCTTTGTACTGGAATTCAATTCCAGTAGTGGAGTTCTGTGTTCATAGCCTCAGCTTTCTATCCCGGTGAAGACTAGTCGTCTGCCGGGTAGTTAGACTGAGAGGGCTTGGTCAGCTTAAGAGATTCCAAGCTACTGTCGGATCTTCCGCAGTCTAATCAACAGTAAATCAACCCAGGGAATTACGATTGAACCTAACTAAGGGGCTAGGGGGACTCATTCCCGAGTGACTCTTATCTGCTTTTGAAAACCGAACAGTTTACTGCTTTCTTACTGCTTTTGCTTTTAAACAACAATCACTCGAATTAGTTTGCTAGATAATATAGACTCACGGAGTAAGCAGTAGATCTAGACCCCGGGTTGATAATTAAACTTGCCTGTTACCGCATTCCCGGACTGCGATTTCACTTGGTCGCAGTTTGGTGTTGTGTTTTGGCGTGTCAAGTTTTTGGCGCCGTTGCCGGGGAACCTCTAGGTTATTGGGGAAGCGTGAGAATTTGTTACTCTAGCTTTTTATTTATTGCACTTTCTTTTCTTTTCCACCCTTGCTTTTCACTTGGGTGTTATGTTTTTGTTGGTGCAGCTCTGAAACATGGATCCTCATGGCTTCTACAACCATTGGAGGTATCAACCACCATCCGTGTGGTATTACCCCGAGACCTCCTGGAGCAATCAAGGAGGAGAAGACTATGGAGTCGGATGTCAGTACCAACCCCCCTACTATGGAGAACAACCAAACCCTTGGGAACCTCAAGAAAAATACCCTTTTCAAGAAGAGTTCCTGCCACAACCAGAGGGGCCATCTGAGTTGGAGTTAGCCATGGAGACCTTCGCGGGCCACTCTGCAGAGCCATGCTACACTTCACTGGAAGATCCGAACAAACAATTAAGGCTTCTCGTGGAGCAGTTTGCTCGAGACACTGAGAGAGCATGCTCCAAGATGGATCTTCAAATCCAAGCCCTTGCCTCTTCCGATCCCTCATTGCTCCATGACATGGAGCAGGCTGTTCAGTGCTCAGCGAAGCAAACAGAGTGGGTGAAGCAAATTTGCTCACATCCTGCTCAAGATCACCTTTCTGCTACTACGCTAGAAGAGGCAGAGGATGACAAGGGCAGCGGGGGCGTTGAGGAGCCTACAGAAGTTATCACAGAGAACTCCCATAATGATCATGATCAGGAAATTCCTCTGGTGGCAGATCACACCGTTCCTCATTTATGCTCTAGCATGTTGGGCCTGTGCGAGGAGATGCAAGATGATTCCATTGAAGAAATTGCTTGGCGACTTGCTCTCCAATATGTTCTAGAAGAAGAAGAGCGAGCAAGGATGAGGAGGAAAGTTGTGGAGGATGAGGAAGAAAGTAAAGAAGAGGTAGTTCTTGATCTTTTCCAAGGGAAGAGACCACATTTTGAAGAAGGAAGGGGGGTTGTGGAGGCAATTGGCGTCCAGGCTGAGGATGAAGTTGAGGTGGAAGAGGCTTGCACCGAGCCTATGCTACACTTGATATCTCCACCAGACTTCGAGGAGCTGCTTAGCAAGGACCCATTTGCGGTGTCTCTTTGCCAGACTAAGACCACATCATCATCAATCCCTCTTGGTGGATACGATGGTGGTCAATCGAATATATCTTATCTGGTTTGGGGCAATGAGACAAGAGCAGACGCGAAGGAGAGGTCTCAAGAGTGGAGACTTCATCTTCCTCAAGGCCACGAGCCATCTTCATCACCTATCACATCACATGCTCGTGACTTGAGACTCCACCTCATTAATGAGAACCTCAACTTCAAGGAGGTTTTGGGGTGGACCGAAACTTAGGAGCCACCGTCTGGCTAAGACGTAAAGAAGCGCTTGTGGGGAGGCAACCCCACCAAGGTTTGTTTTTCTTTCGTTTGTTTTTTTTGTCGGTTTGTCCACTTGGAACTATGGTTTCTATCACCCAGTGTGTTTTGCTGATGCTAGCCTCGCTGACTGGTTCACTTCCAGTCCCCCAGCAGTGTTTCAATCCGGTAACATCGTTCCCCTTATCTTTCCCTCTACTCCATTGAGGGCAATGTCGTGCTTAAGTGTGGGGGGGTGCTTTGTATCGGTTGGAATATATGTTTGTGTGCTTGGAGCCTAGTCCGCTGTCCGAATCTTATGATTTGAGGGCTCCGAGTACTGCTGTTTGATCATATTGGCACTGTGTTTTGATTGATGAATTGAACGGTTTTCGGATTAATGCATGACAACTTGTTGGTGACTAGGACAACCTATAATGAGGACTGAGATGTGCAGTGGAACGATGTAAGGGTTCAGTTTTTCAACTGTTTGCTTACCAACTGTGACTTGGATGGATTACTTGTTCTTGACAGTCGTTTATGCATCTAGTTCAGGGTATCAGAATGCGAGATAGAGCATATAGGTAGCCATGTGAGATTTGAGCCTGCTCGTTTCTTTCTTGTGCGATAGATCCCTCTTCCATGATGTGTAGCATTCACGTTGTCACTAGCTAGGATGATGGGGGCATAGGATTAGCCCACGCCCAAAAACTGACTGTCCTGATGTGTCATATCCCCTAGTCAGCCCCTTTGAGCCGTGTGTTATCCTTTCTTTTGGTCTATAACGGAAAAATCACCCTTGTTGCATTTTTTAGAAGGTTCCACAGAGTGGTTTTTACATATTTTCTGCTGTTTCTGCTAAAGTCTATGTGAGTGTTGGAGGTAGTGCTTAAAAGTTGGGCAGGTGTTTGAAATTTGTGCAGAAGTGGTGGCTCTCTTAAGAAATGAAAAGAAAAATGAAAGTAAAACAAAGAAAAAATTGAAAGCAAAAGAGAGCCACTACCAAAAATCTGAATAATGCCCATTAAGTAGTGTTTCTTAGCAGTCTGGCTTGGAAATGCTGATGTTTATGCCTCCTTCGCTCTTGTGCTCTTGAGATGTTGAGTATTGCAGAATAGCAGAAAGGGAATACCGTTTTGTTTGACTGTGATTGTGTGGGTTTGGAAATGTGGAACCTTGTGCTATGAATACTTCCACCACCTAAAAGGCCTTTTCCCCATGTCCAAGACCCTAGCCAGTCATTTGAACCTGTGTCTAAGACCTCCTGATTAGTTAGTGATGACATTATGTATGTGAACTCTAGCATTTAGAGGCTGCCATCATGGTGAAGAGATGTTAGGGATTGAGAGAAATAGCATGCGCATTTTTCGCATTAAATTGTCCCGACCCCACTGGTCGAGAGTGAGTGATTCATTTTCATATTCTCTATACTCTTGTACCCCGGTGAGGACCTAGATTGCTCGGTCTCTGTTCTGATGTCTTGAGTTGGATGCATGAGTTGACTGTTTTGAGTGAGTGGTCGATCCAAGTCTGGGTTGGTTGGTGAACATAAGGGAAACTCTTCCGTTGCTCGATTTGGCTGCACTCGAATGTCCTTTGTGGTGGTTGTTCAGGTTGCTATTAAAGTTGTTCATGTGTTGATGTTTGAAAACCAGTTTGATTCACGTGTTCTGTGCCTTTATGAATTGTCCCCAATGTTGGTTGATTGAAATATGTGAGCTTACCTTGTGTAGTACTTGGTTTGCTTGGGGACAAGCAAACAGTTAAGTGTGGGGGAATTTGATAGCATCGTATTTGCACGTGTTTTCACTCTGGTTTCCTGCCCATTTTGGCTCGAATTGATTGTTCCTTGGCCTAATTTACGCTAGGTTGTGTTCCTTTGTCACATTTCAGGTCCTAGCACATAAAGTGAAGCATAGGCGCAAGTTTCAAGTCAATCAGAGATCAATTGACGATTCGGGAGAAGAAACTCGGGTATGACATGAAGAAGAATGGATTTCTACCTCACTTTATGGACAAAGAATCATGCAAGCTTGTCATGAAAAGAAAGAGGACGAGACTACGAGCGTCTGGGTTCAAACGGCGACTGATTTGGAGTCCGGACGAGGAAGAAACGAAGCTTTGAACAGGAGCGGAGACAGAATTACGGGCAGCCCCTGACAAATTACGGCCGTAATTGGCCAGGGCATGCCCGTAATTTATTGGCCGAGCCTTCTACCCAGAATTGCCTCGAGGTGATAAAATTACGGGCAAGACCCCAAGAATTACCGCCGTAATTCCCAAATTACTGGCGGTAATTGGGAAATTACGGGCGTACCTCCTCCTCCTGCAGCTTAAGCGAAACGTGCGTTTTGGTATGAATTACGGGCAGGAAGTGATTACGGCCGTAATCCTGCCCGTAATTCGCCCAGAGTCGGGTTTTTGGAGGCAGATTCGAGCCAAGGAAGAGGAATTCGATTTTCTGAGCAAAAACAGAGTTTTAGAGAGAGAAAGAGCAAAGAACAAACCCTAGGAGCTATTTTGGAGTGGATTTCTCATCATTGAAGCCCAGATTGCGTCCCTAGGAGTGAAGATTGACATCCCAGAGCAGATTTTCCTCATCTTTATGAGTATGGCTACTCTGATTTCTGTTTTCCTTTCTCTCTCTATGGAGTAGAACCTTTCTCTCACTTGGGTATGAAGAACCCTAGTTCCTTGTGTTAGGAATTTGATTGTAATGACTTGGGATGATATTACTGTTTGATTTTAATCGAATGATGCATGTTTATTGAATTGATTGGAGTCTGATCAGCTTTTCTCAATTTCTGCTGCAACCTGAGATAGATAGAATCTGATTAGGTTGTTAGAGCCTCTTCATTCGATAGTAGGAGACTGGCTATACGAGAGTTAGCTAGTTTACTGCTTTGTACTGGAACTCAATTCCAGTAGTGGAGTTCTGTGTTCATAGCCTCAGCTTTCTATCCCGGTGAAGACTAGTCGTCTGCCGGGTAGTTAGACTGAGAGGGCTTGGTCAGCTTAAGAGATTCCAAGCTACTGTCGGATCTTCCGCAGTCTAATCAACAGTAAATCAACCCAGGGAATTACGATTGAACCTAACTAAGGGGCTAGGGGGACTCATTCCCGAGTGACTCTTATCTGCTTTTGAAAACCGAACAGTTTACTGCTTTCTTACTGCTTTTGCTTTTAAACAACAATCACTCGAATTAGTTTGCTAGATAATATAGACTCACGGAGTAAGCAGTAGATCTAGACCCCGGGTTGATAATTAAACTTGCCTGTTACCGCATTCCCGGACTGCGATTTCACTTGGTCGCAGTTTGGTGTTGTGAAGAGGAGGATGCTTCGCTCGAAGCAGGACTGATGGGAGACAAGCTGGCATGGGACAGCGAGGTCGACAAGGAAGGAGTGACAGAAGAAGCAGCACGCGGGCTCTCGGGATTGAGAGGGACGACTTCAGCCGCTGCTTGCGGAGTGACGTCAGCCGCTGCTTGAGGAGAACTAATACTGAATATGAATTTATCTAGTTTTACATATGAGTTAACATCTGGACGAATGTGAGTTGAAATAGTACAAATAATGAGAATTTGATTATTTTTCAGTTGACACTAAATATGACAAAACTTTGCATAAAATATGAGTTGAGTAAGCAATAAGTATTAGTCAACTTTGTATTGAATATGACTTGAACCGACACTGAATATGAATTTATCCATAAGTTAACCCATATTTAATGGAGGCTAAACTCATATGCATTGTGAGTTCAAATGATATTTAGTGTCAAATATGACTTGAACTCACTACGAATATGAATTTACTTGTTAAATACTTAAATATGAATTGACATTTGGATAATATAAGTTATACTGGTACCAAAGACGACGATTGGATTTTTGAGTTGGTTGACACTCAATATAATAGTATTTGGTACTATGGATGAGTTGAATAAATATTGGATATTACTTTACATTGCATTGAATATGAATTGAACAGAGCTTGAATATCAGTTTAGTTGTTGTTAAATATGAATTGACATTAGGATGAATATAATTTAAGTGGTACCAAACAATCAAATTCTACTTATTCAACTCATATTCGTTCACATGTTAATTCTTATTTAAAACCAGATAAGCCCGTATTCTGTGTAAGTTCAAGTCATGATCCGTACAATGATATTGAACTGAGTTTACCAATAATGAAGTTGAGTTCATCTTGTATGGAATGACTCACATCTACTAAATATGAATTTAGTGAATATGAGTTGAGATAATTCCAGAATATGACTTTACTTTGTAAAGTAATATAAGTATGAGTTAACTGATATTCAATGTTTACTCAACAAATATTGAAGTCAAATAGATCGATCTCCACTATAGTACTAGTTCAACTAATATTTGATACTAGGTTAGATCTTATTCAATACCATATTAACTGATATTCAATGTTTGCTCAGCACATGTTAAAGTCAAATAAACCAATTCTCAACTCTAGTACCAGGTCAATTAATATTCCATACAAGGTAAACTAGTATTATGTACTAACCTCAACTGATATTCACTGTTAACTGATATTTACTGTTTACTAAATGAGACCAACCTCAACTACATCGTCTACAATCTGTCTTCAGGGAACAAAAAAAAATTATATTTACTGCAAGGTACACTTACAATTGCTAGAAAAGGAATTGAAAAAAAATACATAGCAAATAACCCACCAATAAACTCTCAATGATATATACATATACAACATCATATACAATTACAGCAGCCTGAAAGGATTCACTCTAGTCTTCATGATCTGATGGGTTAAAAGATCTGTTTGCGATCAAATTGAGAAGAGTTGTCATCCGGATGAAATGCTTCCAATCAAAATGCCCATCATCCAAAAGAATCCACGCCGAGCCATCCTGAAAATTAGTTAATATGAATATGAATTTACCTAGTATTATATATGAGTTAATATCTTAATGAATATGTGTTGAATCAATCACAACATATATCATATATGTTTACATCTACTATTCATTACATACGCACACTACAGGCTGCAAGTTGTGTCTGAAACAAATCAACATATATTTAGTACTAAGGGGTATTTGAAACTCATCTTTGGTACCATTTGAACTCCTATTCAACAAAATATCAACTCATTCATCAAACGGGTACAAACGAGAAAAAAATCATATCTCAGTCATCGAGATAGAAAGTTGTCAAAATTTCAGTTATCAACAAGAAAATACCATATCTCAAAGCAATAAGAAATCACCAATTGAAAACCAAACGAGAAGAAAACCAATAAAACTCGTGAAAACCAGAACCGCCAATCCAATTCAGACTCGTCGGAAGAAGTAGGGAGACCAGAGAAGATAATTAATAGAATGCTAAAAAAATGCTTAAGAATCGAGTCGACTTCCAATTGTGGGTAAAAGTAGAAGAGGAACCTTGAAAGTGTAGCCGCAGAGCATGAGCTTTCTGACGAGAATGCGGCCAAAGTGGCTTGTGGGTTTGACGACGAGGACGGTAGTGTTCTGAGCACCAGGGACGCCGAACCCGCACTTGGGGCCTTCTCGGGATGAGCAGCGCGTCCACAAAAAGAAGCGAACGGGACCCACAAAAAGAGTGGCTGGCTCGATTTAGCCGCTCTCATTTAGCCATCAAAGACTTTTTGAAACCCTTCCTCTAGCCAAACAATCACAACCATTAAGATTAGCTTTACATGATGTGGCTGCATCCCAACCAACCGTAAATGCACCGTGCACACAAAAATAGCTATGTGCACCATAGCCAAATTGGCCCCTGACAGGCAGCAACTTCTTGCGCTGCTGCAGATTGCAATCATAAATTTGAACGATTTTTCTCCAAAGCTTCTTCGACCACCAAATTTGAACTATTTTGCCGCCGTGGAATTCAACGTGATCCTCATTCATTCCCATGAGCGACCAATCTCGTCCTTCGTCATTTCTATTATTTGCAAACTTACTAGCCTGCGCGTGTTTGGATTAGCGAGAGGGAGGTTCGAGGCAATTCAATCAGAAGATGGAAGAGTACTTGCAGTACGTGAAGGCTCTACGCTCTCAAATGAATGGTGCCTCTCTCTCTCTCTCTCTCTCTCTCCCGTCTATGAGTTATCAACAGAAACCTGAGAAATTAAACGTAAATTGTAATGATGAAATTGTAGATGTGGAAGATCAAGCAGCAAAGGCATCAATGGAAGAGCACGCTCTCGTTTTTACTATTGGAGTCGTGGAGAACGATCTCAACTCTGGTTTTTCCTTTGCTTCGAATTACTCTTGCCTATCTTTGAGTGTGAATTGCTTGTTTGTTCGACACTTGTTTTTCTCCTATCTGTTTGTCTTTATTTTTTTTAATCGGTGTTTCATTATCTTCGTCCAATTATTCCAACAATTCACATTATCTTGCACTTGGCCACTATTTATCTTGTTTTTTTTCCACTGAATCTAGGAGTTAGATAACTAGAAAATCTCAACTGAGGTCACTTGGTTAGTTTGTTGAATAGAAAGATTCAGGGAGAATTTTTTTTTTTTTACTTCTAACCAACCAATCTTATAATGTCCTTCAGAAGGTGGTTCTAGTCAAGGAAGCATAGAAGGGGAAATGACATGTTCTAAGTTCACAAGGATGATACGGTTCCATCAAAATTTTAAAGCTTAATTTAAGATTCAGTAAAAGTGATGGATGTTTGAGATTCTTCTTTGATTACTTGGAGAATGGGGTGTTCATATCTTTGAGAACTTCATCTGAACATGAATTATATTCGATTACAATACATAAGCTAATCAAGTAAATTTTATACCTATTTGACTCCAATTGTAAGCTTTGAAATTATTGATAGTCTCTCACTTGTTTAGGCATCAGAAAGACACATGAGCCAATTCGTCCATCTCCCTTGCCCCAATAACAAAACAAGCATCTAGATGCAGGACCTGCATTCTTAATCTAACTGTATGAAAACTTTAATAAACTCAAGCTGAATGCTAAGTCGAACTATGAAAAACCTAATTACTTCTGGACTCCTACCTTGAACAGTGTATACTACATGCAGCCGTCCTTTCTTCTACTGTTTCCTTATGCTTTTATTTTCCCTCTGGAATAAAAATCTTAGCTTCTTCAGTGAATCTTGAAATAAATTGTTGTGGCAACATACCAACAAATCAATGAAGAAAGTTCAAGTGGTAATAGCTCTTAAAAACATTGAATTTGGCTTCCTAATGCATTCATTTTATACTCACCCTTCTCTGCTATTTTGCAGCAAAAGCTGAAAAACAACAACTCAATGAAGATTTAGAGAAGACTTCAAGGGTTGAAGCTCAGATATGCTCACAGATACAGGAGAAACAAAAAAACGATTGCCTCTCTAGAATTGAACTCGGCAACAATTACCCAAGTACTTACAGAAGTATGTCAAGCAAAAGTGAAAAATAAAATAAAACAAAGGAAGCCTTAAATGAACAACATGGCAAACTGATCAAGCTCTCTTGCATGCTTTTTGCGTGTACTGTTGCTTGTCAAGATCTCCCACCCCTATGACCAGTCTCATTATGTTTTACTCTTACTTTGTTGTTTATTGGTCTGCTACTCCTCAGACATTTTACTGAATCATAAATTCAGTACAATATCTCTATTGCAGATTCAATGCTTTCGGAAAAAGTTCCAATGAACATAGGTCTTGTTAGCTAATTACTATGTTTATTTTAAAATAGGTAATTACTATGCGTAATGGCCATCCTTCTAGCTGAACTGAATTTGCCTACTCTGGGCATTGGCTTATCTATGTAGAAAGCAGTGATAGCCTTCACGAGAGGTGCAAAAGATGCTTCCTTTAGTTCCATCTATCTGACTGTCTTGCATGCCTACATGGGAGCTTATACAGCAAGAACGAGCTTGCCTGCCAAATTTGCAGGAATGAGGTACAGAAAGTATGAGTCACTATATTTTAGGCATTAATTTCTCTTGTGATAGTGGTTCTGAGTTGGACATGTGTATTGTAGCAGTACTTACTATTTCGGGGTTGCAGATGGTGTCAATTCAGAACTCAGGCAACAAGAGGTATAACTCTTATTCTCTCTTGAGAACCTTTCTGATAAATTTGACATGCGAGGATTTGAATTTTGAACTGAGGCAGGACTAGTTCAATGTTCTCCGAACTGGGCAAGAAGATAGGAAGCATATGATTTAAGATCATTTCTAGATCTTCTTCTCCTTCTTCTTCCATAAGAACATAAAATACTATTACATTGTGGTGAGAGTTTGATGAATGGGATGGAAAGGGTTCAGGGTGTTGATGTTTAGAAGTCTAGAGTTGCGAATCTTTTGATTGTTCTCTTGTAACAGGATACCGATGATTAGGAGGAAGTTACGGTCAAGTTGGAGTTGGCAAAAGGCAAACTCAATGATATTACACAGATGAAATACAAACTTCTTATGGACAATGCTAAGGTGGACTATTTGAACAAATAGTATCTACTACCTAATACATTAATTTCATTTTTTGTACGACCTTTTTATCTATAAAAACCTTTGTTGTTGCCTTTTCTTTGTCAGATGGTTTCACATTGCCAATTTCAATATACCTGTATTTCATCGTGGAGTATGTAACATCAAAACAATAGTAGCTGACCTAAACAAATTATATCATGTTCTTGTTCAAATTCAGTTCTAAAATGTGAGTAGTTTGGCTGTGAAATATGAGTAGTCTTACCTTTTAACCTTGATTGACATAATTGACTTCTTTCTATTCTGATTGGAAGTAACTTTGGCTTGCTACATTTTGTGGTGAAGAAGTTTTAAAAACTGTAACCATTTGCTGTGGAATTTATGGCCCACACGGAAATTTCAGATTTTTTTTTCCTCTTCAATTCAGATGATGGAATGTATTGAGCAAAAGATTTGTCAAGTGAATGAAAGTAAAATAAGGTATCAATGTAATTCTTTCTATACATAAAAGCCGGGTACGCTTTTTGCCCGTTACTGTATCACTTTCTATCTTCTAGCGCATATCAAAGCCTTTGCAAGAAACCTTTTCCACCCCACTGGTTTCTCTCACCGGTTCTTCCCAAAATCCCGCTGACGACCATGCCTCTTACCCACCAGCCGCACGCTACTGCTGCGCTTGCCCCTTATTGCAGCTGTCATACTATCCTTCCATCAATTCCCTGCAACACGCTGCCGCTGAGTATGTTATAGAGTGTTATAAGATCCAACATAACCTTCTCCCAACAACTCGAGTTATTGGGAGCAATTGGTTAATGACATGGTATCAGAGTCTGGTTAGGCTGAAGAGCCTAGTTCCTCTCTCAGTACGACATAGGTCGAGTATGGGCCGACACTATGCCCGAGAGACGGTCCTAGATGTGCATATCAGGCGGTCCGGACGCAGATACACATGTGTTGCACCGTTGTGGGGGACCTCGACAGGCTGAAGATGCAGCGGCCGAGAATGCCGTTCAACCGAGCAACTAACGCTAGCGAGAGCGTAGGGTGAAGGTCGATTGAGGTACAAACGCTGGAAGTAGCGTAGGGTGAAGCTCGACTGAGGTATTAGCGCAGCAGAATCAAAGAGTGAAGGTTGATGTCGAGGGGCGAAGCGGTATGTGCGCGGGGCACAACAGGCTAGCGCGAGGACGTGACCGGAGCTTGTCCATCATAGGATGGTATCGTATGCGGACGCCCACAATCGGTTCGAGTGTTGCAATACATGCTGCGGAGAGAAGCATTCTTCACCAGCACGAGGACGTGCTGCATTATGAGTGGTGGAGAATGTCACAACCCGAAATGTCATGACCGTGTTGATCGTCTGAAGAACGCTGCCATATGGTTGTCTTGCCATGAGAAGGGTAAAGGGGGCGACATTAGCAATAAGGCGTTGTCTGCCTGTGCATCGCATCTGACCGAGTCAAGATGTGGCTATGAAGGGGATCGTTGCAAGAGAAAGCACAACTGGTCGGAGGCTATTGTCGTCTCCCTGATGAGCCCAATGCAGGGCGAAACCAGGTGGCATGCGTATGCAGAGAGGCTGGTCTTGAAAAATGAGTGCACCTCAAGACGCCGCACGGACTTCGGAAGGCCTCTACAGTCTGCACTCAATCGGTACAGCTCTCAACCAATTGCTTGCTTTCCCTGCAACAGACCACAATCAAGCTCGCCAGAACAAGTAAATAGGATTCATGGCCCAGTGCCGTGCACAAGCAATAATAGCGATCCAAAAATCCGAAAGGGGAAAGAAAGCGCAAAAGGATGGCAAGGCGTGGAAGCGGCAGTAATTACACTAAACTTGGGGCCAGCTTTCTGTAGTCCTTAATTATCATAAATGGTCACAAACCTATTCACTTTGTACAAAACGGTCACAATTCTTTAATTTTGCACGTTTTGGCAAAACAAATTTGAGTGAATAACAAATTGGTCAATCCATCCACTTCCGTTCAAAACTATGGGGTCGTTTGCTTCAAGGATTTGGTACATGGATTTGGTACCAAAAAACCAACTATCAAGGATTTAGGTACAATCCGTTGTTTGCTTGCACCTTTTTTGGAGACCAAATCCGTGGTGCCCACGGATTTTAAGGGTCCAAATCCGTGGACCCCATGGACTTATAAATCCCACATGTTGATGTGGGATTTGGAATATGACATAAATCCTTGATGAGATTTTACCCATATACCCTCATGCACTTTTAATATTCCAAGGTTGCCCTCAAATTTAACTATTATACATTATAATTAACAATAAATGAATAATATAAACGTTCAATTAATGTGCAAACATGAGTTAGATTTTTTATATCATTTCTTGTGTTCTAGTTTTCTTTGACCTTTTCATGAAACGTGTAATTCTTTGTTCTCCCGATTCTAATATATGTTGTTATATGTTACTTTTGAAAAGGAGGACAAAGAATTGGTAATTGATTATGTTACGTTAAAAGTTAAAACTGAATTTTCTCGTTTATTATTATTGTCCATGTGGCAACATTATGCTTATTAGTATGTATTGTCCTTGTTTTGTGTACATATCATAAACATGTCAAACATATAGAAAATGATAGTAAGGTAATTTTGAAGTTTTGTCATTGTTTTGTGTACATATCATAAACATGTCAAACATATAGAAAAGGGCAGTAATGTAATTTTTGACTTCAAGTAGTTTATCCCACACCTTTAAATCCATGATAAAAACATCCCAACAAACAAAGGATTGTTACAAATCCATGATGCCTCAAATCCTTGATAAATCCTTGGATTTTTAAATTACAAAACCATCATTTTTAAATCCATGAAACAAATGACCCCTATGTTACTTCTTACCCAACCAGCATGACATATCATTAAAAATATTAATAAAAAAATTATTTAATCATTCCAATTAACCCGCACAACCCAACCGGTTTAGTAGCTCTGTAGCACCGTGCCGTACCCTAATACCCACCGCTTCCCGACTTCGAGAATGTCGGAGACAACAGAAAGGTCGGGCGGAGCGGGAGAGCGGAGCGACCACATTCTCCTCTTCGCCGGCGACCAGTCCCTCCAGAGACCCTCCGAGATGGGTATCTCCACCGCTGGCGAATACACAAATCCCCGGTACGGCAAGAATCGGACTGCTGGTGATAGGTTTTAACCTAGTTTTTTTCTTATCCGATTCTGGGATGCGGACGGGAGAAGGAAAAAAGGGAAGGAGTCCCCGCCGACTTTGGGCTTCGCCGGCGATAAAAGTGACGCCACCTACTAGGATTTAGTGGTAAACTATGTTTTTTGGGGTCATTCATTAATCTTTTGGTTTGGGGAATTTTGGGAGTTCTATCTTTTAACCCATTTTTGTTTGTGCTTTTTGTTTTATTAATCAACGAGGCAAAAAGAGATGGTCTCTAATGGCTATTGGCTCCGGGCTCACCGACGACTGAGAAAGCACAGACTGGTCCGAGCACAACTTCGGTAAGATTCTGCCCTTATATCTCCATTAGATTGATGATGATGATAGTTGAGTAACTCTAGTTACCAGCGATTTTGCCTGTACTGGGAGTTCTGTGTATTGACCAGCGGCGGAGACACCTGTCTCGAAGGGTCTCTGGAGGGACTGGTCACCGGCGATGAGGAGTATGTGGCCGGCCCGCGCAAGGAGGGGCTACCTGATTCCATGCAGGTGCAAGAAGCATCGGCAAGGAGGGGCTACCTGATTCCATGCAGGTGCAGTCACTCGAATAAACAGTTCAAACTTTGGCACTGCCATCAATGCATTGTTTGACCTGTTATCTTTTTGTCATTTGTGAAGAAATTCTGTCACCGAACACAAGATCCTTCACCCATAGAAAGCATTACAAGTTCTAAGAATCATACATTATGCCTTTTGCGTACTTGAATATAAATCGGTTATACTAGAGCCATGTGTTGTTGACTAGGGATTGTGTGTGTATACCCTCTGTGTTTGCTTAACTTACACCTTGGCATGTTGAATTTCATTTCTGTACAATTTTTGTCTTACAAGTTGTTGTCGCTTTTTGTTTCTGTTTTTGGAAACACTTCCGCAATTCAATGCGTTGTTATTAAGAGGATGATGTTGTTGTGTAGGAAAGTATATCCTCTTTTGGAACATTAATCAAGATTTTGTACACTACTTGATATCTTGAAATTCTGTGGGTTGTTTGTGTGATTCAAATGAAAGGTGCAGTGAAGCTTTGGAAAGTTTAGTTAATATGTTGGAAGAGGATTTTGTGGCTGATAATGTGACAATAGTCGGTTCTCTTTCTTCTGTATCAGGTTGTGTTTGAGTAAAGGTGATGTTATGCGGTGTTTCTTGATGACTGGTGAGTGAGTTTCGTGTGGGTACGTAGATGAGTAGTTAGTTGGTATGTTGTCTGTTGATTTTTTTATACTTTTTACAATTTGAGGTTAGTGCCAGAACTGGATACAAGTCAATTCCTCATGCAGAAGATCCTGGCAGAGGCTTTCAGGTTCTGGACACAACCTCTTTGTGGCAGTATGATGGTTGGATTTCTTTCTGATCCGGACCTGTACACATTTGAGTCTTACATTACATGCAATGTCTGAACTCTGAAGTAGCCTTCTTACTAACAGTGTTACAGCTTTCATGTCATACAATTTCAACAGTTAAAGTAGAAGCACAGGTTCAGACATTCATTTCTCTACCGTTGGAGAGAGGAAAGAGAGCTTTAAATTTTCCAGTCGTAATTGGTAGGTTTCCTTTTTACTAGACCAGACAGTGGTTTCTTGCTAGCTTCGAAGTTCTGGTACTTCTCCCATCACTGATTCTGCTGCTGATTCTGTTTTTTTTTTTCCAGAATGAATGAAATGCAAAAGAAAAAGAAGCAGAAGGAAAGATGAATAGTTTTGGCGGTCTGGGCTAAGGAACTGGAGGTTGGGATGGGGTTTTGATGTGGGTATATTTTCTATTACAGAATGTATGCATGCTTTGAAAGATAAAGTGCTAGCTGATGGACTACCTGAAATTTATAGAATGGCCCACAATTTCTCCATTAGCCAACCTATCTTTCATGTGGAATATTGGTTGATCATTGTGTGTATTGCTTTGCCCCCGTCCCCAGTAGCAAGGTATCTCTTGGGTATAGTTTCAGTATAGACTTTCAAAAGTAGTTAAGGAGGAGTTACATGCAGTTTTAGTCAACTCTGTAGAGCGTATGTTTAGCAGAGAATCGTTATGATTGTAAGTTGTCTGGTATAACAAGGAATCAAGGATGTCTAAGTTGTTAAACAAAAAATATGGTAGTGGATTTCTACATATTATTTCTAACTAATTTCGTTAATGTCATATTGCTTTTAAATGTACTAAACACAACTAAATCTCTCGCGGCGTAGCCGTGGGTATTGATACTAGTATATTTTAATGTGGGCACACTAATTAACTGGGGTCACATGATTGTATCTATAATCAGCCTAGTCAGTTGCAATATTTCCCGGGTGTCTTTCATCTGCCAATCACTAACTTTTACTACTGAGGTAATACCAGTTTATCAAACTGTCCAATGCAGTTCTCTTTTCTTGTGCCGAGATCGGGACATGGACTGAACAACATAAGATTAGTTCATTATCTGCATTGGGTGTAGTCAATTAGCATCATGCCATTTATGCTTCTTTTTTTTATACTTTGGTAGCATCTTTTATGCAATTATGCTTCTCTGGTAGCCTATCCTTATATTCTGAGGAACTGTAGCTTGAGCTATTGAAAATGGATGCGAAAAGCCTTGGTGAGGAATACGAGTCCTTTTTGTCTGATAAAGCTGGGGAGTTGGAGTATTTGCAGTCACTGGAACAGCAGATTAAGAAACTTGAGGTAAATGGTACTGCAAGCTTCTATGCTGTTCTCTTGAACTACCACCATTTTCCTGGGATCACTGATTTATGTAATGAATGGCACTTAAACAGAGTACAAATGTAGGTGTTTTCTTTATCGTAACAGGGTTAACTCCCCTTGCGTGCAACTAGCAGTATCCCTCAGCAACCATTTTATACCAATTACCTATCAGTACATGCTCCGAGTGTATTTTTTCCCATAAAGCTTCACTGCCAACTACCAGCAGTATCAAGAAGAATAATATCTTCTTCCTGTTAATGGTTGTTCTTCTCCTTGCAGGATGTTACTCACACAGTCAATTGTATCTGTGGTTCAGAGTACAGAGTAGCAATGGGCCTTTGTGCATGACATAGGCGAACAAAGAAAACAATGGTAAGTGGGAATAATCCCGGACTTTAATTTCTTGAAATTAGTGATAATACTATATCTTGGTCATCATTTTTGCTTAATACCAAAACATTACTTCTCATAAAGTGCGTACAGAGCCACAACCTACTCAATCACATTAGGTATTCTACATGTCACCTATATGACCTTACGAAGATTATGGCATCCATTTTGATATGAAGATGAAATTTTTGTACGTGATTCCACTTGTTATTTAAACATTGAAATCAAATCAAATAGCCAGTGTGTATCCATGTGATTTCTGAGAAATTTGGTTTCTATTATGCAATGACACATGACATTTACTTGTTCTTGGTATCGCCTTTGAAGTATATGTAAAATTATTTTACTCCAAGCCCATCTAGTGCAGCCAATATATGTTGAGCTTCGTAACTCTCTTCTAGGAAGTGGATATTGGGGCTTTCAAAAGGCACTAAGTCTTCTCTTTTGAGATTGTCTTCTTCGCGAAGTAGCTGCTCGCTGCCATGCTCTACTACACCTCTTATTATAAGGGTCTTGTGAAGGCCACCTAGTAGTTGTTCATAATCTGTATCTCCTTGTTCCCCCACAATGACCACTAGTTTAGAGATATCAATTCCCCACCTGACTGAAAGATACCTGTGAACGTAGCATCTATTGAGAAATCAAATCTATACATGTGAGTATTTGACTAGGGACATTACATTTATCATTTAAAGAAGTCGGACTTACCTCATAGCTTGCATTCTTGATGCAAATAGTGGGACTACATTTAACCTTGAAGCTGCGCGTGTATAGACAAGGTTGCATCGGAAGCCTCTCATTCGGAGCTTTTGCCGAAGGTTGTCAACCTTTCTAATCTGTAATCCAAAGATTAGAATCTTCATTAGGTGATGTCGAAGCAATTAACCTTGAATATGTTACTTTGCTATAGTCAATGTGTTACCTTAATTCCTGGTTTTATGCTATAAGAGTAGCATTTGGAACCACTTGCTTTTCCAAACTCCACGATGTCATCATTAGATTCATCATCAATCCTAGCTAGTTTAAGCACCATTGACCTAATATTCTCACCAGGCCACCTGTATTCAACATGTGCTTCATAGTCCATATCAGCCACCATATCCTTCCATGGGTAGTACATTTCACTTCCACTGTTGCATATTATAGCATCAAAGTCTTCTGCGTTTACTGGACCTAATCTTAACGCTTCCATTGTCTCTGATAAACTTGAGCCAGTCAGCAATACAAACCCAGCCTTGCCCAAGCCTAGACTCAGGCCTGCAGCATGTAGCACATTCTTGATGATGTCTTGAATATGGCCTGTGCTTTCTCCGTTAGAATTATAGCAGTCAGCGGCTATCACAAACAACATCTGTCTTCTACCAGGACTGTAGTTAATGCTTGGACTGCCACTTGGTGAAGACATAAGGGTGATTGTTTCTATGAGCTTCTTCTGCCTAGTTGCTGCATCTAGCTCACAGCCAGGCTTAAAATCTCCCTCTATCGAGAATCTCAAAGATAGGTCTTCGACTTCTTTTAGAGATTCGCTCATTGGTTCTTCATGGATAGATGGTATCCCAAGACGGGTCATTGGGTGGCGATTCCTGCAGTGATCTACCTGGCTAAGGTAGTTACGGCAATGTTCTGGCCATGCAAAATGATGGATGTTTTTTAGACCGTTTTTTCGGCATTCATTCCAGAGGTTTTTGTCAGCAAGCAGCTTTAGCAGTGCATCTGTGATGGCTTTCTGATCATGAGGATCAACTAGGAGGCCATTGTTAAGAGCCTGCATAAGAGTCTCTTTGTTAGTTGCTTGAAGAGAAAATAAGTTGATAAACTATTGGATTTTAGATGCTAGCTTAAGTGCATAGATAAATAAAATATAAATTGCATGTAAGTTTGAATTGGATCTTTCTTTGCATGATCTAGAAAGAAAAGGGGGTATGAAGCTTTGGTTGCTACCTTGCTGATTGTTTTCCCTGTGCTAAACTTCCATGAAGTAGATTCTATGAAACTATATTGGAATTAGTGTCACTTGAATACATGTACATATTTATTTATTTGTTTGGTAATGCGTCACTTGAAATTTTGAGGTTCCATAGAGCAGCAGATGTTCTTGATTAAGGTAGTTGTTCAGGGCTTCAGGCAATCATGGTGGAGTTTTCGCGATTAGGAGCTAAATGCTATTTGCTTGTTTGGGTTGGAAGGAAAAGTAGGAAGAGCTTTTTAAATTTGGAAAAGGAAAAGATAGAGTTATGTGTCTTTCTAGTTTTATATAAAAATTGTAGCTTACAATTGAACTAGCCTCCCCCGGCGAAAAAATCTGCCAAATAACGATAGACAAGTGTAGATGTTACCTTCAAAATATCCACTGGTCCTCCATTTTTTGTAGCGACACTTGGTAACCCATATGCAGCTGCCTGGATTTGGGGATATAAAATGAGATTTAAGTGGGTTCCTCCACTATAGGGGTGTTCAAAATATGAAGATAATGAGCTGGTTGAAACTAAGAGGTACCTCGATGAGTGTGAGGCCAAATGGTTCCACAAGAGCTGGATTGATGAAAACTCCCTTCAATATAGACAAATCCGTCACAGAAGGATTACTATTAGCAGTTTGAACATAGAAAGGAGAAATAATGGTTAAGGGTACATTTTTTGAGCGGTCCCATGTAGATATGACTTATGATGTGACATGACAGTGTAGAAAATGAAGTATACAGAGGCCCCTGCCTCATTTTGTCATGGTAGGTTCGATTGTAAAACTTTAGTAGACAACCCCATGAATAGAAGCAGGGACCTGAGCACAGGTTGATTGTGCATAAGTGTTGTACACTTGTACCTTTGTCTTTGCAGCCAGGCGATAGATATCAGGAACTTCAGATTGTTTGTGATGCTTGGGATAGGCTACTTGACCATATAAGTCATACTTGTCAATGAGCTTGAGTACATTTGTAAGAACGACTGAGGGGCTAGTGGACATTTCCTCGATGTCATCTCTATTGCCAAGTATTAGTATCTGCATATGAAAAATGGTAGGATTAGTGTTTACTGGCTTGGTGATATTTGAACTCTGAATACAAGGTTGAGCTGAAACATAAGATTACCATGTTTGCTAATTCTCTCAGAGGTTGGCATTCCCCGAAGGCTTTGAGCAAGGTGGTCACGTTCTTCTTTGGGTCGGGACGGGATAGTGCCAATATAGCTGGCTTGTGAGGGTTTGTGAAAAATCTCATTATCTGCATTACATTCATACAGGAGTAGTTTGTGAGGATAGCATAAACTTCTTTGTTTCATATATGGAAGACAAGTTATTTGTCATGAAAATGTTTTAACTCCAGTGCATGTGCTGTTTGTACCCTTTTGAAAAAGAAACTAGTGCTCCACTCCTAACCCCTCATAGTTAGTGAAACTGCTGTCAAATTAGATTGTTGAAACTAACGTGGGGAGAGTATTTTACCTCGGACCAGATTGGAGGAAGTTGCACCTTCTTAGGAGTTCTGTCAGACCCAATCAATGTTTTCAGATCATCTTCTGATGAATCTTGAGCAGTAACATAGCTGAAATCCATTCCTGGGGGAATAACCTGAAACCATACAGTGATTAGAGTTGGAGCTTCAACTATCAAGGTACAGAGTTAGATTTAAGACTATTTCTAGGTCGTGATACTATAGTTATTACATAGTCACAAGAGGTAAGTCTCACTTGGTTGTGTTCCCATGGCACAGTGCCTAGGTACCTAGAAGAGGTTTATTTGCCACATAGAATGGGGTGTGGGAAAAAGAGAATACATATAAAGCAATTGAAGATTATGCATACCACTGTTCTTGGCATGTATCTTCCCATGCAACTGACTCCACGTCGTCTTCTAACTCTAAGTTTCCTCTCCAATTTGACATCGAAGCCATCATATAGACCCCATTGCTCTTCAATCTCTTGCCTTGTGCTTGTTACCACCATCTGAGCTGCATCCAACCCCAATTCTTCAGCCTCAATTCTCCTTAAAATCTTGTACGTTGAGTTTATGTCTTCCCTAGAAAGCCTCCCTTGCTTCAGCAGTTGCTCAAACTTATTTCTTCCCAGAGAGTGCCCAGTTAGCACCATTGGTACATCTAGAGCTCCAGATAGCTGAGCAGCGACTTCTCCCGCATCAGCATAGTGACCATGAATGACATAGGGCCAAGTTGGCTTCCCCCCATTGACTTGTTCGCCCAAGGCTCTTGCCATGTTAACTATATGGTTCAGTGCACCGTCAACAAACTCAGGTACATAAGGCCATAGTGACTCTTTTGGTATGTATCTGTGGAATAGAATGCACAATTTTACAACGCTTACATATAGCTCCTAGGGTTTTGACATAGGAATTGGATGAAAAACATTACTTGTCAGGAGGACCACAAGGAATACGGATTACGTAGGCTCCGCAACTACCACTGCCATCTTGCGGATATGATAGCATCTCAATTGGTTCACCATAGTTGGAATCTACCTCAGGTGAAGTGATCTGTCTGGTTAAGAGATCGACACGGTAGACTCCTTTTGTATTGGCTAGAGCTCGAGCAAGTTCAACTACATATTTTACCTGTAATTGCACCCAAAAAAAATGTGAAGTCAGTCATGGATATGTGGCAATTGACAGCTTCATCTATCAGCAGCATCTATTGCTTCATCAGTTCAAGTGTGAAACACACAAGGGCAACTAGCTCGCTATGAATTTTAGCCCTACCTGGCCGCCAGTATCTGAATCTCTTCCGAGTTCCATGTTGTCTCCACGTACCAAACCATGCATGCTACAAGCACAGTAAGTACACAGAGTGATTGCATGTGGCATTAGCCATATACTCTGCTTATTTTTCTGAAATTGGTTGGTCGGTTGCCTTTTAGTAACTGTTGCATTAGCTTCTGCCTTCTATCTACATACATGCTGTCTTAAATCTGGTATAGTCGCCCCTGAGATGTAAATGAGAGAGGCTGGGTACCTGATTAGCACGATATAGAGGCGCCTAGGCTTTTCTTCATCGGACCACATCTGCATGTCAGAGTTAATTCTGCTAATATGTTTTGCAGATTCAGAAGGGGTGGCATCTCCAGGTTCCTTCTCTCCTTCAGAAAGCTCGGAAAGATCATCTGCTGCATCATTACGCCCTTGCTCACGCTCTGCTCGTCTCCTTGCAAGTCTTTGTGCATCATCCCATGCTATCTGCATATTATTCACATTTCCTTTTGAGTCCGTAATTCATAGCTAGGTAAGGGCCTTTCTCTCCCTCTCTCTCTCTCTCTCGTGACGAATGGTAAACTGTAAATCCTAGTCTTGCCGTTACTTCAATGATACATCATCATACAGTAGACGTTTAGGTATCTCTTAAACCCATTCATACAGGTTAGTTACTTGGATAACAAACCTACTCGCTTGAACATTGGGTTGCATTTTGCATCAATCATGTCTATGTAGAACTCTCAGTTTCCCTATGTATGGATAGTGGGAGCGCAGTCATCTCATGGGAATATGATACAGTGAGGGAAGAATGGGAAGTAGACCTGTTTCTTCTTCCGGGCGAGATGCCAAATGCGCCAGCAAAGGTTTTCAAGCCTGTTACTACGTTCACGAGTATTCCTTGTTGCTATCACCTGCCCACCACACCACAAAAGCAAAAACCACACATAGATCACATGTCATTCATCACCATGCCAACTCTTCCTGGCGGTCGGGGTGTCTCTTATCTTATTGCATACTAGGTGAAAGATGTTTGAAGTATTGTTTTCTAGGAGAGCACATTGATTGTATGATTGATTCTTGGTCTAGCAGCTTCTGCAAAATGTGTCACTAGTGGCGGTGTTTCAAGTATTATAAAATTTTCATGTGAAATATAATTTTTTGATATTTTTATGAAACGTAAACACATTTGATTTTCATTCATATAAGGCTGTCCCCTGTATTTTTTTTTTTTTGTACAAAGAATACACCAAGTCTCAAAATAAGAGTCTGATCGTCAATTTTTAAATTCAAATCGTCGATTAATATGTTGACATTGTCTAAAATCCTACTTTAATTCTAACTGATATAATAGTTTAGATTTGTCTTTACTTGTAAGTTGCCATTTTCATAGTTACTAACATGCTGTCAAATCGGAAATATTTTACTTGTAAATTCTAATTGTTATACAATTGTATAACGTGAGAATTACCAATCAGATAATGAAAAATATTAACATTAATTTTGGTATATTCTATACACAAAAAACAATGGTTATATAAAAGTGCTTTTCGACTTCAAAACCTGAAGTAGGACCAAACACATTTAAAAACTCCGCTTTTGAAAAGCTGAAAAGCGCTTTTGTATAAAATAAAAGTATAAGCTCCGATTTTGAGCTTCTGTGAAAAGCTGTTTTATCCTTAACATATTTGAATTTTATTTCATTTATATCATTTAATTTTTTTATAAAATCATATTATCTAACAAGACCCAATTTGACTACTTTTTATTATTTGGAATTTATACACAACGTCTCATATTAAAAATCACTTCTAATTAGGGATGGCAACAAAATCCGAACCCATGGGTACCTACCCGACCCAACCCGGTCAACGCGGGTAAAATCTGTGTTGACGGGTTTTGGGCTGGGTTTGGGTTTAAACCCGTTCACTATTCACCGGGTTGGGTTGGGTTTGGGTTTAGGTAAACCCGGCCCGTGGGTACTCGCCCACTCATATAATTAATTTTTTTGGTATATTTAATATTCTAAACAACTAATCTTATTTATATTTGTGGAGACATGTCTAATTTTTTCTTTTTAATTGTGTAGAATTAAGTTGATGTTATGGAGTGGAGAGTAAAGAAACTTAATTGAAAGGAAGAAGTTTTCAATTAAACATGTTATTTATGGATAATTTGTGATTTGCTTCAATTTTCTTAAGTTTTCTAGATTGGTGTTGAACAATTTGTATAGTTAATTTGTGATTTGCTTGAATTTTCTAATTTGGTGTTTTATATATGGATAATTTGTATTGAGAGATTGATATTTGACTTTAATTTTGATAAGAACTTGTAATTGTAAATTTTTTATGACAAAACCCGTGGGTACCCATGAACCCGCGGATACCCAACGGGTTGGGTTGGGTTTGAGTTTTTCAAACCCAGTGGGTTTTACCTCGGGTTTTTTCCAAAGATAAACCCATGGGTTTGGGTTTGGGTTTGGCAAAACCCGACCCAACCCGACCCATTGCCATCCCTACTTCTAATAGTTTTTCAGCCAAACACTCAACTATTTTTTTTTAAAGTACTTCTCTAAAAAATTCCGCCATAAGCTACTTCTGTAAAAGTTACAGCAGGGCCAAACGAGTCCTACATTTCGGTTTTATATAACCTATACTTGCCAAACAAGGGATAAGGATTAGCTTGATAACCAAGCTAAAGGGATGATGGACAAATCGGGAGAAATTTTGAATATTTTCCAAACTCACCTTCAACTTAGGACTTGGAAACGATGCAGTCTGGTCCATACTAGACCATATATACAGTCTAGATCGAGAGGTTGGAGTATAGAACACAGATAAGATTACAGAATATATGGTCCAGACCACACCTATGTGGTCTGGTCTGGTTCAGATAGATCATACTTAACCAAAAATTAACAATTTGATTAGTCAACCACACAAAAAAAATTGAACCAATAGCCTAGATAAAAATTATTTTTTCCTTCAAACATATATACTAATATGCATGAATAATTTTGATACTATAAATCTAAGTAAATAATAAAGATACAAAGTAAAAGCATCCCAACTTGTACCATAACGTCATCAACATTTACATAATGTCATATAGAGACACGATCGTGGTTGTGAATGAAGGAGGGGGACAAGATTCTGAAAATTAATATTGAGACTTGGGTATCCTTGTGGGAGTTGGGAGAGTGGTCGAGTGAGCTGCTAGCACGTATTGAGAAGTCGGCACGGTCCACGGTTTGGTCCGGTAAACTGCGGTTTAGACCAGACCAAAAAAATCAAAATATTATATAATACAGACCATGAACCAGATCAGACCATACTTAACGGTTTATCGTCTGGACCAAACTGTACGATCCAATCTGTACCATGATTTTTCAAACGGTCTGATCTATTTTCCCAGCCCTACTTCAACCTATTCCTCATAAATACATACATGTTTGTTGGTAGGTAGTGGACGTTTTCATAATTATTTATAAAAAATGTAACCTCTAGAATTGATAAAAATTGGAAACTATAATTTGACTAAGCTTAGTGAACTCATGGATTCACCTTCAGTGTATTTTTATTTTTATTTAATTTGTTTAATATGTTTTCCTTTTCATTCAAGAAAAAGTAACTACTTATAATTTATAATTTACAGGGCAATGTCTACATTTTATCCAAATATTTTTAAAATTCTTTTATATTATCCAAACCTATTAAAATGCTACTAATTATGTTTTTAATAATTTTGTAACTTTTATCTTATTTAAAATACTAAAAATTTGGAATGTTAACCGTCATGTGTCTCTTCCAAGTCAGTATCATGTTGTCAAGTCAATATTTCTAACAAAGTTGCTGACTGGAAGTTAATATTTGACTAATTCATAGTATTTCGATAGGTTTAGCTACCCTAATTTATATTTTGTAGTAAACATTATACCTTTGCTTTGGTAAAAATCGTTTCAAAATACAATATTTTGAGTTAAAATCCTATAAGACCGAGTGATAGAATTGAAGAATTTGCATTTCTTGGCAAATTGGATCCATGAAGAGGTAAGCACAGTATTTTGCGAATACTGACGTTGTTGTCAAATGAAACTAATTAATAGTCATGACTCCCAAAAAAAAAAAATATATATATATATAGTATACTGCCTGTCTGCATGATTTGGCTTTAGAAAATTTAGAGGGAGGAGGAAAGCTGTAGATAATAAGAGCAGCTAAGCAAGCTAGTAAATGACCCTAGAAAAAATAATGGCAACTCACGGGGTTCTCGATCGACTGAACTTTGGTCAAGAGAACTAAAGCAAATCAATACTTTCCGGCCAGACTCTGGTGAGTCGCCGGAGTGGCTCCGTTTCCTTCACTTTCCGTTGATGGAGTTGAGAGATATAATTAGGTGGGGGAGTATTATATGTAGCTAGCTAATTATATATGCATGACAGAGGGAAAAAGAATTGATCAAGGAGAGAAGTGCAGGAAGAAATGAAAGAGGGAGAAAGAAACCTTGACCCAAGTCCTGTGAAGGTCGGATTCATCGAAGCTATTAACAACCTCTTCAACGAAGTAGCTTGTAGCGCTAAACAACTTATTGGTGGTGGAGGTACTACTGTAACTCTGTGCTTCTGCTTCTGCTTGTGCTCGTTTGAACTCCTTTTGATCATCATCACAATCATCGTCGCCGTGAGCTTTCATCTCTTTCTCATCATGAAACTTGGAGAGCTTCATCAGTCTGCTGTTGCCCCCAGGATGATCATTATTTGTTTTCCTCATCGTAGCAGCGTCACCTCCGGCATCCAGTATTGCCTCCAAGTACCCATTTATCCACTCATTCCTTGCACCTGCCATTCTGATTCTAGGCTACCTCGGATCTGTAGCTTGCTAGCTTAATGAATCCCTCCCCTGCCAGAGATGAGAATAAAGGAGAAGGAGCTAGCTATATATATAGGGAAACTGTGGAAGGAAGGAAGGAAGAAAGGGTTTGTTATGGTTTGGCAGGAAGCTTGCTTTTGCCTAGCTTAGCTTGTGTCTGAAACTCAGAGTTAGGTTGGAGGTGAACAATTTGCAACGCAGCTTATAAGGGGTGCCAGCTTTGATTCCTCTTTGGAATGATATATATATGCTCTTTTGTTCTTTTGGTTGGTTAATTTTTATGCTGGTTTTCTTTCAGCGGTTCTTTCTTATGCTATGCTGCTTGGCTTTTGTTTGTTTGCATTTTCTATAACAGCAAACAAACAAGGCAGACTGTAGTCACGCTGAAGTGGAAGGAAGAAAGTTGGGGAATAATATGTGAAAATCTTTTCTCCTCAAGATAAAAAGGACCCCCTCCCTCCCAGTCCACCACCCGTGTAGTTGTTTAGTGTGTGGAAGAACACTTTCATTCCCAATAGGAAGTGATATTCATATTCGAGATTACTAAGGCATATATCTCACATGCTGCTGCATGGCCAAGAATATATAATCACTTTCTAGTTTCTGCTCCAAAGCGCTATATATGCGTCTCTCTTTTGAGTGAAGATTTAGCTAGCGTTTGGCTCTTATTCTCTGCTCAACCCCATCACTGGTGTGGTATATGTGCACTCTATAGTATATACTATATACCAATTTACTAACCGATTGATAGCCACAGAATTAAAGCAAGGCCACTAGCTCACTACCTTGACGAGAGAAAAACAGAAGCAAAGATAGTGATATATGGACTGATGTTAAACAATATAAAACAACTGCAGCAAACATATCAATATGAGAAAGATTGGCCATGCATACTCGCTTGGCTGAGGATTTTCACTTACTTATCTTTGCTACTTTATTTGTTTCGTGGGCTGTTTCTACAAACTCTTGCCGCCACAAAAATCTTTGTCAACATGAAATCCAATCCGTATGGCTTTATAGGGTGTTGGCATTTGGTGCGAATGAAAACAACGGGGCCGTTTGGATGGAACATTTCTACAACGAGAGAATTTGGCATAAATTTCTCATTTTAGAAAATGAGACGATTGTGTCCAGAATGATTTTATTTTACTTAATATAGACAATTGTAATGTAGTATTTTCGTAATACACTTCTGCCCTCTTTCTTTTACCCTCTATCTCCATCCTCTTCTCTTATTGTCTTTGTAACAAAGCCCATAAAATTAACAGACCAACAATGATAAACACTCTTGAAAATCACAGATTTAGAGAGAAAAAAGCAAGAAGATCAATCCAGCAGAAACTCAATCGCCAGATCAACAATTTCCTAAACTCGTTCGGAACAGGTTGCACTTTGTCGGCGTCGACCGCCACCATCTCCATCGCCGTTTTGTATCCCTTATCTTCTTCTTTCGTTTGACAAATCCAGACTACTATCATCTTCCACTTTTCTTCTGCTTCTGGTGTCGACTGCCACCATCTTTGATTATCACCATCTTTGATTATCACCATCTTCGTCCTCAGTTTTGTCTTCTTTTTCTCATCGACGCCTTTATTCTTGTGAAGTTAAGAAATAAGTTACATGTAGTTGAAGAATTAGTAATGGATTTCTAGAATTGAATTTAATTTTCATGAAGTAAGAAGAAGAAAATATGTCCAGCTTTGTCGCGAGAGTCTGGTAGATCATGGTGGTCGCGAGATCTAGAAGATCTTAGCCACGAAATTAGATCATGAGGAGTGGGCATTGTCACGTGGATTTTGGTAGATCGCGTTGGTCGCGAGATCTAGACCACGTTCGTCGCGAGTCTGCTTGACCACGTTTGTTGTGAGTTTGGTAGACAACGTTTGCCACGATTCTGCCATACCATGTTGGTCACGAGATCTAGATGACCTTCGTTGTGAGATCTAGACCACATCCGAGATCTAACAACGACTAGGACGTGAGAAGGAAAGCTACGTGGGGAGAGGGAAGTCACATAATATACTAAGTTTGAGAGCTCAAGCACGTTGGTCACGAGGGAGTTAAGTCTCGCGTTGGTTGTGAGATCTAGACATCACTCATCTCAAATGAGTTAGACCTCGGTGGTCGCAAGATTTAGATCTAGTGCATCAGTCGCGAGTGGGCATTGTCACATGCAGTTTGGTAGACCTCATTGGTCGCGAGATCTAGATTTCCTCAGTCATGATATCTAACATTCCTGGTCATGGTGCAGAGGAGGCAAACACCAAAACGACAGCTCCAAGAGAGGCAGCTATATAGGCGGTTGAAAGAGCAACCACCACTCCAGAGAAGAGGGAGCGGTTCTTTGTAGCAGTTATCAAGAAGAAAGTTCTCCATAGGGGTGGCTATTATTGGTCCGAGTTTCTTGATTTTACCCGAAACAGGACCGTATAACCCGGACTAAGACTGAACCGGGACCGGATAGCAAATAATCCAATCCCGTCTTTGGGCTTAGATTTGAGGTAAAACCCCGTTCGTGACCGGACCAAAAACCGGATAAAGACCCGATAAGAGAGCCCAACACCCAAAACCTAACCAACTCCTCACCCTTTCATGCCTTAGCCCACTTAAACTCTCGGAAGCTCAATCTAAAATCAAGACTGGATTGGGACCGGACTATATCAAATCTCGTCTTTGGTCCTCATATTCCAAAAAAGACCCGACTGGGACCAGATCAATCCGGGCCAGTTTATCCGGACCGTATAGCCACCTCTAGTTCTCCAATGCAGTTACCAACACATGCCTATAAATAGGATAGGAGGTCGTGAGAGACAGAAGTTCTCAAAACCAACACTCTAACACACGTGTCAAGTTTATCATTTTCCTTTTCTCTATTATGTAGCCATAAACGTAGTTCGTAGTTTGGAGCTCTCGTTGAACCTCCATAGGAGTATGAGTAATTTAACTTAAAATTTGTATTATCTCCTTTCACCATCAATCAAACACCCCTGTTCGAACTTTGTTTGAAGATATGTGAGTCGTGTCTTAGTAATCGTTGTCTGAAGAAGTTAAAGGTGCATTGATCTCAATTCAATGCAAGTTTTCTTGCCGGAAAATGCAATGTAAACTTTTTTAGTTTCGAGTTAAAATGAATGATATATGATCACATAATGGAAAATAGAGGATTAAAAAAGCAAACTTTGAGTGGTTTAAAAGCTCATCTCAGTTCTCTTGATTCCATGTCAACAATAAAATTTGATGATTTAATTCGGTTCGACAACCATGAGTTTCTCTTTAAAAAAGGCAAAATACACTTGTAGAGCCATAACATTCGCGTTTATGACAATAATAGTTAATTTAGGAGAAATACCACTTATAACCAGAATTTTGAAAGTTTCATGACAAATACAACCATTTTCGTTACAACCTTTAACAGCATCAGTGACACTATTAGTTATTTTAACGATATGCTTATTGGGCTGCCAACTCACCGGACACGCCATCGACAACGGAGCTTCCAATGGCAGGTGGATGATACATCATTTTTAACTAAAATAAATTTTTAAACAAAAATAGAATATGTCTTCCTCACAAACTCTCCATTGTGTAAAACAAAAGAAGACCCCCAATTCCATCGGCAACCTCCGCTATCCCCAATTCAATCGGTAACCTTCGCGCGTTGGCCGACTTTGCTGGTGGTAGAGTTTCAGAGTAGATTTAGAGGCTGGTGGAGTTTCTCTTTCTTCCACCTCAGATTCATTGAGTTGCAAAGCCAGATCTGGCCAAAAGTTGTGAAGAATACTACAACGAAGTGCTGAGCTCGAGGCTCGCTCGGATGAAGGATTGCGACGAGCTTATTGCCTTCTGACAAATTACGTCAAGGTTGGGCAGGAGCATAAGCTTGCTCCTGGTTCATAAGCAATTTTACCCCAGATTCGGATTTGGAAATAATCCCCAAATTCAAGAACCCTAGTTCTTCGAATTCGCTCCCAATTTCACTAGATTCTCGAATCATGCCTGGGAAAGGGAGATGGGAAAGGGAGATTCTGATAATTGACGACAACGCGAGGGAGTTGGTAGCTAATACTGTTAAAAAATTGGACGGAAGTGGCTATAAGCATAGGTTTCAAAACAGAACCCAACCCGACTAACCCGCCTCACTAACCTGACCCGCAACAAGATCGCAACCCGAATTGACTAAAATTCAATGACCCGTAACCCGCCCGACCCGCAACCCGATTGACTCGTGACCCGATTAACCTGTAACCCAAAAGCCCCGCAACACAATTGACTCGCAATCTGATTAAACTCGTAACCCGATTGGCCCGAACTCGACTAACCGGTAACCCGCCCGATTGACCCGAATAATTACTATATTATATTATATAAAATTTCAAAATGAAGTTTGTTTGTTTTAAGAATAAGTAAAACTATTTTTTCATTTTATAAAAGAAATTCAAAAAATGATATTGGGTTGAAATTATGTATTTTTAATAAAATAAAAGAAGAGAAAGAAACAAGGGGGAGTTTTGATGCTTTGGTTTATAGGAAAAGAAAGAAGTGAAATTTTTTGGTATTTTCAACTTTTTGAGGAAAAAGAATAGGGAACTTTGGTGCTTAAATTTTTTAGAAAAGAAAGAAGGGGACTTTTGGTATTTTGGTTTGTAGGAAGATAAAGAAATGGAAAATATTGGTGTTTTCAACATTTTGGAGAAAAAAAATAGGAAAATTTGATGCTTCAAGTTTTGGGAAAAGAAAGAATGGACAATTTTTGTGCTTTGGTTTATAGGAAGTGAAAGAAGTGAATTTTTTTAATGTTTTCAACTTTTTGAGAAAAAAAAGAAGAGAAAAATCTAGTTCTTTAAGTTTTGGTGCTTTTGATTTATAGGAAGAGAGAAGAGTGGAAAATTTTGATGTTTTTTTATTTACGGAAAGAAAAGGAAATTTTTTTTGTATTTTCATCTTTTTAAGAGAAAGAAGAGAGAAAGCTTATCACAATTAGGGGTGGTAATCAGTCGGTTACCGATTAACCGGTTATCGGTATACCGATTTGTGTCAAACTACCTTCGGATACCGATACCGGTTGCTTGTCGGTATACCGACTAACCGGTTGCTCGGTTACCGGTTAGCAATCTGGTTGCTCGTTTACCGACTCTTGTTCCGCTCCAACTCTGAAATCCCAATCTCGCAAACCCTTACACACCGAATGGACCGATCCATTCTTCCACCACCGCCGCTTTTGATCCCACCACTCCCTCCGCATTCCCTCCCACCACCCCCGCCGCCGCCTTGGCACCGACAACTCCCGCAGCCGCCGCTTCCTTCGCTCTTCCTTTCTCTATCCCTTCCATCCATCTGCAATTCCGACCAATCACCAATCTCGCAAACTCTTATTGCAATCCCGTCACGGGAAAACAAATTAACATTCACAATCACAATCGAGTAGATGTTGTTGCTGCTCTGTGGTGGGGCTTCAACCAGCCACCAGCGGCGCTGCCCTTCTCTGGCTGGCAAATCTGGAATCGAAAGGGATGAAGAAGAAAAGGAAGGCCTCCTTTGCATGGCGCTGAATCTGGTGATTCAGTGACCCATTTCGATGATGAAGAAGGGCTCAATTGACCCTCCCTCACCGCCACCTCAGCACCTCCGCCGGACCCAATGACATGCGTAGTTCCCAAACGCGTCATCCTTAAAGAGAAGAGAAGAGAAGGAGAGAAGACCTCGACAATATGGAGAAGTTTGACATTTTTTTTAGTTATGACTTCGATTTGTAACAGGGGAAGAAAAGAAGGAGAGAAGGATGGTGACTGTCTGTGGCGAAGGCGGAGAGAAGGAGAGAGGGAAAGGATTCCCTAATTGCGAGAGGCAGGCATGAAAAGGGTTCTTATTTTGCAATAAGTGAGGTGATTTCCGGTATGCGGTTTACCGGCTAACCGTCGTTAATAACCGGATAGAATACGGTATACCGGATGCTATGTTTTGGTCACCGTATACCGATACCGTCGGTTTACTGGTTACCACTCCTAATCACAATGTTTACATATGATGGTTTACGAGTTTAATTAATTATCGATTTGATTATCACAATGTTTACATATGATGATTTAGGAGTGTAACATTTAGTGACTAAAATATTTTCTATACTCTATAACAAACCTTACTATAGCTTATAGGCATGACTTGATATAGTAGATTTTGAGAACATGTAAATAGTTATCTTATCTCAAATACATATTATTTTACATTTAGGCTGGAAACTTAATCTTACTCGCTAATTCTCTCACCTCATTTTCATTTAGGTGGGAAACTTTCCCCCTCGAATTTTGATATCTTCATCCCAACATTTCACTTCTCCAATGATTCCCTCCCCACTTTTCGTTCTTCTCATTTTGCTTTCACTATACAATTTGTCCCTACCAAAATGAAAATCTAATGAGGGAAAATTCCCCCCAATTCGACCCACCAACGTTTCAATTCCTTTAATAGTAAGCCCGATTTTCATCTCCCATAAACTGTTGTTTATATTTAGTGTCTTGTCTAGATTTTGCATATGGATATAAATTATGATTATTGATTGAAAACGACTTGCAAAAATATTCCATGAACCTTGATTTATATATTTTTTTTGTTAAAGAAAAAGTTTATACTTCACTGAGAATTAAGCTTGTAATTTATTTTATATATAATTCATGTTTTTTTTTACTCAATTTTGCTTCCCGTTGTATAGCCGCTCAATTTTCTTTTTGCTTGATATATATTGCCGCCCAACTTCTTCATTCTCGCTCCAAAATGCGGTCCAATTTTCGTTTGGAATGATCTATATTGTCGCAAAAAAAATGTTGAGATAAGAAAAAGTGTTTTCTTGTTTGTTTTTAGAGTGGTATTTTGTTTGGATTGCTAATAGTGTCTATTAGTTGCAAATTTTGATATCGCCATTACTATTATCTAGTGCACTTTACTAATTATGATTAATTACATGACAAATTTGCGAATCATACAAATTGATTCAACATTTTGACTAGTTTTTTTTAATTAAGTATATATATATATATATATATATATATATATATATATATATGATGTAGAAAGAAGTTGGTTATAAATTGTGAAAAATATTTTAAATTAGTGTAATAACATGTGTAAGTTGGTAGTGAGTAAGGAGTTAGTAACTCGATGCGCTATCCCGTACAGCCCGCAACTTGCCCGGCCCGATGAACCCGCAACCCGATTGAACCCGATCCCGATTGAATCCAAACCGATGAACCCGCAACCGACGAACTCGAAATCCAACTAACCTGCAACCTAATTAAACCCGTCTCGACCCCTTCGAACGATACCTATATCTATAAGTGGTATTTCTCCAAAATTGCTATTATTGTTAGAAACGCGAAAGTTTTTAGTATAGGCCTAAAAAATAGTTGAATAATTTTTTTTTTTTAATAAGTCGGTGGAGAAATATCCTAACAGCCCATTCCTACATACACATTCTCCAAATCCGATTAGAACATAGACGAGAGCAAACCGCCTCTCTCGCCCTCTATCTCAGTGTCTCTTATCTCTCATCCCCACTCCTCCAGTTTTTCCTCTCCTTCTCCACTTTCGATTCGTCTACGGAACAAGTCAGTAATTAATGAGGGTAATTTAAAGTAACCCCCCGCTCGCTGCTCCGTCATTCTTCTCTCTAAAACCCTCCGCCCCCAGCAAAACCTAGACAACCACCGCCGCCTCCCCAGTCCCCACCAACACAGTCACGATCACACTGTTTCTTTCTCGACACACACAAACGAGCACGACGGAGACTAGGATGGTGATGAACAACAGACCGCTGAAACGAGCCAGGAGGAACAGGGTCACCGCCGATCTACACGACTTCCTCACCTTTCCTGGCGAAGAGCTCAACTCTTCGTCGGAATCGGCAGGAGGAGGGGGGCCCTTCAGGGAAACGGTGAAGGCCTTCCTCGCCCGCCACGCCCGACTCACTTCCCCGCCGTCCCTCTTCCCTTCACTCCTCACATGGCAGACAGCCTTTCGTGTCGGCGATCTAGTCGACGGACCAGATCTCTCGCCGCTTGTTGTCGCGCTCGATGTTGTCGAGGAAGATGTTACCAGATCTAGCGCATCTGTTTACTGCAACCAGTGCCGAGTCGTAGGTGAGCCAGCCCTCTTTTCTCCCCCGCACCTTCTCGAATTTCTTTTTGACCTTCTTCCCCGTTTTTCCTCCCTCCTCTCTTATTTGTTTTTTCCTTTTCCTGCTCAAAATGGGAAAAAAAAGAGGCATAGCGTGATCGATTAGGACTCCTCTAATAAGTTTATATATCAAGAAAATAATAATAATGAATTATAATAATATCAACAACAACAATTGGAGGTGAAACAAATAAATGAATACATTCTTCCTGCTCTAAATATTGGGCGTTGGTAATGGTGTGAACTAGGAAGGCTGGAGCAATCATCCGGTATGCCGGAAACGTTACCATTTCATCATAAGGGCGAATGGTAGCCCTTCCGACGGCTTTCAGAAGCTGTGTAGCAGATGTGGCAACTCCCTCCAACTCTCAGAGTCCAGGTGAGCCAGAACGACGACGCTGTAATTTTGTTACAAGCCTTGCTTCTTCTCCATCTCTCTAACTATCTCCCCCTCCCGCTGATTTTGCAGGTGCAAGTGGTGCGACTTTGTGCTTACAACTGATGATTTGGCGGAGTGGGTTTACTCCCAGTTTGAGGACAGCTCTCACTTGCTTCACGGCGTCGTGCACTCCAATGGATATGGTCACCTCCTCAGGGTCAACGGCAAAGAAGGTGGCTCTCAAACTCTCACCGGCACCCATGTCATGAACTTCTGGGATAGGCTCTGCACTTCTCTCTCAGTCAGGTATCGATCTCTCCTTTACATCCCTTGTCTCTCCCTTCTGCATTTCCATATAGACCAAAAATGTAAGCTCAAGCTCATCTACTGTTTTGGTGAAACAGGAAAGTATCTGTGATGGATGTGTCTCGCAAGTACGGTACAGAGTACAGGCTGCTTCATGCCATTACTAAAGGGCATTCATGGTATGGCAACTGGGGTTATGAATTTGGCAACGGGAGCTATGGCCTAACATCAGAGACTTACCGACAAGTAGTTGAGACCCTTTCAAGCGTGCCATTAGACCAGATTTTGTTCCATGGCCGTGGCCCACGGACAAGCTTGCAGGCTGCCATCTCGTTCTACAAGTCATTGTCCAACTCCGAGCTTCTGACCCTGAAAGACCTCTTTTCCTTCTTGCTGAGGCTGTTACAAGAAAGCAACATGCCGACATCAGAATCCGTATCAACAGTTAAACGTGATTTGGGAGGCTGCCCTAGTTCAAGAGTGTTGTGTGCTTGGTCAAGGAATGATGTAGAAGAGTTGCAAGAGTCTATGATCAAGGTGTTGACAGCAGCATCTAGTGAGACCAAGTGGGTAGCCAGGCACACACTTAAGGGTGTCATGTGCAAAAGAGCTTCTCCTGAGCTTCTCGACTATTCCCTCAAACACCTAGGAGGAAAGTTGGCATCAAACTGCATGATGGTCCAGGCCCGATGCAGCCCTAGCTCCTATGATGTGGAATTCAGGTAAATAAATGTCTCAGCCTTATATGATCTTGCTTTTGTTTTTTTTTTTTTTTGTTTCCCCGCTTGATAAACTTCAACGCTTCTTAAAATCTGTCGACAGGCTGGAGCCTGTGTCTTCCGCACCATTTCAAGCACTTGAGTCAAACTATCCCTCAAGACAGCAGGTCAAAAGTGACCTGAAATTCTTATTTGATTCATTAGTCAATCCTGAGACCATGGTGCAGTACAGACCCTCGACTACAAGGCAAACAGTGATTGACGCTGCAACTAAGCTTACCGACTGCAAAGAATTTATGAAGGACTTCAAACCTTACCAAAAGCTTGTAAATAATCCATTAGGCATTTACCTCATGTGCCAGGTAGAGCTTTCTGACCAATTCAAAGAGGAGAATCATCCAACAATACCACCAGAACTACTGGTATTGCCTTGGAATGCTACGGTTGAGGACCTAAAGAATGAAGCTGCTAAAGCATTTCGGGAAGTATATGCCATGTGTAAAAGGCTTCAGGTTGATGCACTGCTTGACTATGGCTTGGTTGAAGATTCCTTTACCCTAAAATTTCTGATTGGATCAACTGGAGCAGTGAAGGTGAAAGGGACATGCCCCTCCAAGAGTGCAGTCAACCGTTACCGACTGGAGAGGGGCACAGAGAATTGGACTGTAGATTGCACATGTGGGGCAAAGGATGATGATGGCGAGAGGATGTTGGCTTGTGATTCCTGTGGTGTGTGGCAGCACACAAGGTGTATTGGGATTGAAAATTGTGACCCAACTCCTGATAAGTTCATGTGTATTAGATGCATGAACTTGTTGTCTCATCAAAGGTCTGACCAAAAATCATCCTGCTCCATTACTAATACTGAGCAGTCATCTAAAGGTTCTACCTCCCAAGACAATGTCTCCACTTGCAGGGAAGCTGAAGCTGCGGCAGTAAAAGTAGAAAGTAATGAGCTAACTGTAACTTTCAGTGTAGGCTAACCTGTAAAACTTCTTGTTGTAAATCTTGTTTTTCTAGAGCATGGTTTAGGATTTGAGGATTTCCTGTTCCGTTTTCTTTTACCTTTGAGAAATGGAAGCTCTTCCTTAGTTTTGACTTCTGTACGTCGTTCAGTGAATTGCTTTGTTTTATAGTCGCCGTCCATGGAAGTGATCTCTAGTACACCTACCAAGCCAATTCAGCTGTTTCAAACAAGAGGATATATGATTGCTAGAATCGCAAGACAATGTGCTCAGAGTTGTTACTCCTTGCGTATCATAAATACCTCTTTATTTAATATATTCTTGTGCAACTTGTTGGAAACTTTGAAGATTTACGCAGCTTCTGATACATTTCCTTGCCTGCTCTTACCTTAAGTGTCACATATGAACAGAAAGAATACTAGACTTAAGACTCCATATATAAGATAGATATAAGCAGCACAGAAGTGAATGAAACGACTTGCACCATGTTGCTCTCACACAATTAGCAGCAACTCAATAATCTAGTTTAAGACGAGGAGAAATTTTCATCAATTGGTTCATACACGGATTAAAGCAGCGATATCATCTCAAATTTTCAGTTAAGATGAGAAAGACACCATCTCATTTCCATCCAAATAACAAGCACAAACAGACATGACACAAAACAAAAAATCTACATGTGCTCAAACAATTACAAAGTCGGACACAAAAGGAACATCCTAATATGTAGGGTTTGCAAGTTATAACGTCGAACCTATTCATCCGCAAGTTTGCAACTACTTGCCAACTAGCAGTCCACATGACTAGATACGGGGAAATCAATGGTGGAGGATATCGTTCTGCGGGAATGGAAAGCACTTAGAGCAGCAAAGAAAAATGTTGCATGAGCATTGGCAAGATTCCCACCCCCATGACACATAATATTGCATAAATGGTGTTATTCATTTCCTAGCAGATATTTAACGGTAGGATACTATTGGAAATGAAGGGGCATCCAAATCTAATTGGTTAACTAGCTTGATCACCATGGTACGTCCAAAACAAACTTCTTATACATGAGCAATCAATAACTGCATACTCAGGACTCCTTGCAGCCGGTGGGGGTTGCAGAAAACAATTAATTCGACTTGCTTAAGAATTGACAGATAATAACGAGAGCATAAGAATATAATTAGCAGTTGGATTAAGAATTATTGCCCTAATTCTTAACTCAAATGTCGGCTCTGTCCTAGATCTAAGAACTCCCAAGTGCAGCTTCCTTTACAAAGGGAGCTTCTTACGATCATTTAGGTTCCCCTATAGTTGAAGGGCCAAACAGCGAATTATTTTTGTTCATTCATTCTTCCAAATTCAAACCAGCAGAGGCAATATTGTGACAAGATAGAACAAGCAACAGAAAAATACACATAATGTCCTGTAACTCCAGATGAAATCAAGTTGGATACAGAGAAGATCGTAATCAAGATATTTAATTGGAACAACCCCCGGGAATAATAACAGCCTGAAGGCTGCTCTTCACATAAGATGATCATTCACAGAAATTTGGGATTCTTTCACAGTACTTCAAAATACAAAACGAAAACCCTATCCAACACTACGAACAGGCTAGCTTAGGGTTAAAACGGTACCTCAAAACTAAAAACAATCGCGTAAATCAATAGACAAAAGCTCGAAGCAGATTCGCCAATAATTACCCACGACGACAGGAAATCAGCATTCAGAAATCAGAAGATGAGTAACTGGTCATCGTCATCAAAATCATCGATAAGGATTCCACACCCCGGCAATTCAGCCATTAAACAACCGAGAAGCAAGAGTTAATACCTTGATGGATCGAAGCAGATCATGTGAGGCGGGATTCTGCATCTTGCAGGGTGGAAGAATAGAATGTTGATTAGTTGGTGCGATTGAGCTGTGGCAAATTCTTGACATCCGGCGCCGAATCATATTAATGCCGCGACTGAGCCGCGTAAAGTCCGAAGCCGAATCCAGTTTTCCACCCGCCGGTGATGGAGTCAGGCTCTGCCCGGGTCGCCATGGCGTTATGAAGAAGAGAGATAAGGCGAGGTGGGCAGGGGAGATTAGAGAAGCATCTGCAACCACAACCACAACCACAACCACAACCACAAGGTTTGCAAGGAGACAGGGAGGATGGAGTGTCCGCAGTTACACAATTGGAAGTACCAAGGGGCCGGTCGGTCTAGGGTATATCTTCTTTTTGGGTGTATTAGTCTATTGTCTAATCGATTTATACTGTTCAGTTTAGTGAATAGTGTGCTTCGGACACGTATAAAACTGTTAGTTATTTTGATTTGGACAAAATATATAAGAGAGTAGGAATTACTAATACCAAATTAATTGTGTATTTATATAATCTATCTTAAAACAACTAGCATGGCTTATTTTTTTGATGAAAGTGAAAATTTAATTAAAATAAAAGGTCTGAAACAACTGGGCACCAGAGGTGCCACCCGAAAACATGAACACAAAAGAAGAGAGGACGAAAAGAAGACCAACGAACAAACAGTGTCGAAACAAACTAGCATGGCTTATTGATTAAGTGTTTTCTGAGCAATTTTTAATTGAATATATTTTATCAATAAAATTGTTTAAGTCTTGACCATATGGTTTATGGATAATTATAGACTTATAGGCATTCCATTCCCATCTTCGAAGTTCTTTTATATGTCGTTTATATCATGATATTCTCATCACTCTAATGGAATAAAGAAAAAAACACTTAACATCCCATAATTTATACCATTTAAAATATTAAATTAGATCCAAGGATTATGAGTAAGTTGTGCTCCTTCATGAACACAGGCTATGCACCCTGCCAGCAGGGGCGGAGCCAGGACACCCCTAATTTTTGGGATAACGATTATTCAACCCCCGGTAGTAGTTTTCGTGTGGATAAAAATATAAGTGGTAGACTAGGTGATTTAAATTAGGATACTAAGATTATTAGTAAACATGTTTTTCATTAGACCACAACTCATTTGTTATTGTATTTTAAACACTAGTTTAATAGTAAAAATGATATTCCTTCTCCCAATTATTTTGAAAATCTAACAATTGAACCTGATTACGGTTTATCCTTATTCCCTCCATTCTATCATATCCATTGGTTTACTTGCTTCTCAAAGTAATTGATTTTACCGATTGCAACTGCAAGTGTTGAAATAACATATTTAGTTTTGGGAAACTTTAAGAACAAGTTTCGAAATTGATTAAATGATCAGTTTGTGAATGATTGTATAGTAAGATGGAGATATTTGTTGAGCAGTCCAGACACTGAGTATATTTTGTAACACGTCGTAGACTTTTATTGTAACTTGTATTGATTAGATATTTTCTAATTTAAAATTATTTAATTATTTATTTAATTTTTAAAAGAGGACAACCCTATATAAATTTCCTGACTCAGTCACTGCCTGCCAGATGTACGTGCATCAATCTTGTCAATAAGTTCAGTGAAGGTAGCTTTCGAAACTCTATCATGGATCACCCGAAAATCCAGGTACCGCCCCAAAATTTTGGTTTCAGGAACTCGATTGTTGCACTAAGAGTTGCTCCCAAACTAACATATATATTCTTGGAGAAGAAGACTCGTGATTTAGGCCGGCTTATATGTTGTCCTGAGGCTCCTCCGAACTCAGTATAGATTTTGTTAATCTCATTTGCCTACGCCACCATGGCTACACCGAGCAGGATATATAAGGTTGTCACCAAAAGAAGAGATGAGACAATTCCGGTCCTGAATTTGACATATTGACTAGTTTCCAGGTTCCTCCTTCCACCACTGTCCTGATTAAATGTCACAGTCGTTATACACAAAGAGTAAAGATGTATGATGATTAGGGCTGGGCATGCGGGCGGATCATCGGCGGGTTTGGGCCGACCCACCAGCATTGACCTGAATTTCGTTAAGTGGGTGGGTCTGTGGGTGGGTGACGGGTTGCGCTGGAAGCCATCCGCCGGGTGGTGGGTGGGTTGTGGGTGAGTGTGCGGGTGACCCGCTCAACCCAACAGCAAAAAAATCAAAGTCGTTGGCGCTAGAGAGAGGAGAGTGGAGACGTTAGATATAAACTCGGACTGTTCCTGGAGTTTGAACCTCAAAGCCAACCTTCCAAATAGAGATCCCCTCTTCTTCCCTTTACTTTTTCCTCTAATTCTTGTGCCTAGATCAACGCTCTTTCCTTTGTGGAATTATTTTCCTTAGTTCCTTGCATCTAATAATCGTCTCAATCTGTAGAAAACTCTTTCATAATAGAATTTCTATCCAATTTAAGAACTAATTCAACATTTTTCGCCCTATTTCAACTTCTGGTTTCTCTCGACGATTCTCTTCACCTATTATCATGTCTAGTTGACTCCTTTATATTATATAAATTGTGATGTGGGTGAACCCACAAACCCACCCGCATCATCCACCATCCGCCCGACCCAACCCGAGACTAAATGTGGGTGGGTGGTGGGTTAAAAATTATCAATCCGTTTAAGCGCGGGTGGGTGCATTTTATGGTCAAAATCCACCCGACCCACCCAATACCCACCCCTAATGACGATAGAGGGCAATTTTGTCTAAGGCCTTTTGAGGGTGACCCTTCTTCTACCATCTTTGATATGTGGGCTAGAGCAGTGACGGAGCCACCTTATAGCAAGAAGGGGCTATAGTTCCTCTCAACTCTCAAAATCGTGTAAATTTATGTGTAAATTTTATAATTTGGAAAATGGATTAGGTTGTAAGGCTTTAACCTCCCTCCCCGGTTCAAACATCTCGAACGTAAATTTTTAGCCCCCTTCATTCAAATTTTTGGCTCCGCCATTGGACTAGAGTTTCTATCTTGTGGGGTTTGGGAGTCCTTCTGTTTGGAACTTTCATTAGGCTTCTTTTGGATTGATGAAGTCTACTATAGATGTCTAGTGCAAGATTCCCCCCCCCCCCCCCACTAATCACTTGTTAAACAAGATCATATGCAAATAAATCCAACTAGAAACAAATCATGGTAACAATGACCACAATGTTTTGATAAGAATTACTATTTACTAGTAGTAATGAAAATGCAAGCAAATTTCCTATATATTTCTGGTTTTTACCATATAATAATTTACGTTACCTTCTGAATATACACAAATGAATGAAATATGAAAAGAAACAACAAATCAATCCAATAAGTAGGTTACTTAGTGGGAAATAAATTTTGCCATTTATCTTACCCTTGTTTTACCCCCTTCACTGGGTTTGGTTGCTCAAACTTTGTAATGAAACTAATCACTTGTTAAACAAGATCATATGCAAATAAATCCAACTAGAAACAAATCATGGTAACAATGACCACAATGTTTTGATAAGAATTACTATTTACTAGTAGTGCCGAAAATGCAAGCAAATTTTCTAAATATCTCCGTTTTTTACCATATAATAATTTATATTACCTTCTGAATATACACAAATGAATGAAATATGAAGAAAACAACAAATCAATCCAGTAAGTAGGTTACTTAGTGGGAAATAAATTTTGACATTTATCTGACCCTTGTTTTACCATGAGAGGAGAGGTAACTTGTTTCTCTTTTTGTCTTGCTTAGCTTTTTCAGGATAAGGTATCTCATATACCTTCCTTTCCCGTTCTTTTTGGCTAAGATCAAGGAATAAGGTGTCTCATCATCCGTCCAATTCTAGATGATATCACTATCAGCATATATATATATATAATATAATAATTGAAAAGATTCATTGCATCACTATTAGCATTGTTTGTTATTAAGCAAAGTAAGAGAGATATGAGGATCAATATTTTAAGCAAATAAAATCATGTCACAGTCATTACTCATTACATTACTTGTGTTAGCTGGATTGGATCACTATACAGAACAGAACAGAACAGAAGAGAGAGACGCGCGACGGACCATTTCCCAAGGAGAGAATCATCACCCAAAAAAGAAGAAGAAATGAGCAGTCTTAGTGCAACCCCAAGCATCTCAATGAAAGCAAGGCTGCTGTTCAGCCTCCATTCCTTGGGCTTCGACCTTGCTCGGTTCCTCCGCCGCCGCGAATCCGGCATTAACCGCACCATCATGAAGCTCTTCGACCTTAAGTCCCCTCCTTGTTCATCCCAAATTAATGGAGCTGCCTCTTCCTTGGACGTCATGGTGGATCCCTCTCGAAACCTCTGGCTTCGCCTCTACAGGCCTTGGACGTCTGCTGCCACCCCGCTGCCGGTGATCATATACTTCCACGGCGGCGGGTTTTGCACGATGGGCGCCGACTCAAGATTCTACGACATCTTCTGCCGCTCGCTCGCCTCTGAAACCCCTGCCGTCGTCGTCTCCGTCAACTACCGGCTCGCCCCCGAGCACCGCTGTCCCAGCCAGTACGAGGACGGGTTCGACGCCGTCAAGTTCCTCGACGCCGTCATCAACTTGGACGGCGTGGACCTGGGCCGATGTTTCTTGGCCGGGGATAGCGCGGGAGGGAACCTAGCCCACCACGTGGCGGTCCGAGCTGCCGAATCGGAGGCGGCGCTGAAGCGCGTGAAGATCACGGGCTTGATCTCGATCCAGCCGTTTTTCGGCGGAGAGGAGAGGACGGAGTCGGAGATGAGGATGGTGGGAGTCCCCGTCATCAACATGGAAGCGACGGACTGGGCCTGGAGGTCGTTTCTGCCGGAGGGGTCGGACCGGAACCACCCGGCGGCCAATGTGTTGCGGTTGGATGTGTCCAAGGTCGTGGGTTTCCCGGCGGCGACGATGGTGGTGGTCGGAGGGTTCGATCCGCTGCAGGATCGGCAGAGGAGCTACCACGAGTGGCTGGTGGAATCGGGGAAGGAGGGAGTTGAGCTGTTGGAGTATCCGAATGCTGTTCATGCGTTTTATTTGATGCCTGACTTGCCTGAGACACCCATGTTGCTCGCAGATATCAGGGATTTCATCCAACGCCACGCTGCCCGCCCATTCAATTGATCCACTTTTAATTAATTAATTAATTTGCTTCATATCATGCTTAATTACAGAAGCCCTGCCTCTTGGAGAGGAGGGGCGGGTGAGGGTTTGGAGAAAAAATTCCCGACCGATTAAGGGTGACCATTTAGTTGCAATAACAATTTCTTTCCATCTTTATGGTATAGTAATAAATTGTTGTTTTTTTTTTTAAATTCAGTTCATTTCTTTTGTAGCTCTACAACAGAGAAATTTCTTGTCTTTTGTTTAAACAAAGCTGAAAGTGAAGAAGTACCCATTGAAGTTCACTTGTTTGTTTCACAAAATCAATTCCAAGATACTTCTGAGTTCTAATTTGCAATATTTGATGAATGGAAGTCTTGACTTGTGTGTACTGAACTCATTTGTTTGACGTTGTAACCGATGTACGTGAAACTATTTTAATGTAATTGTATGAATTTAGAGTATTGCGTTGTTGACTTTTTGTTTCATTTAAAGTTGACTTTTCTATTGTATATAGGGATGGCAATGGGTAGGGTCGGGTGCGGGTTTACCCTATACCAACTCCTAACCCGCCGGGTAGAGCTTTCTAAAATACCCGACCAAATAACCACCGGGTATGAAAATGATATAACCATACCCTACCCACCGGGTAACCACGGGTATTCGGGTAACCATGGGTACGAATCCTAAACTATGAACTTATACACATATATACTGTTGTCCATTAAAAATTCTCAATACTTGTAAGTTGTAACTGTTCTAGCTTCAACAATCCACACAAATAAAAACAACAAACACATAATAATTGTTCTTGCTTCTACAATCCACACAAACATAATAATCATCTACATATTCATCATCAATAATGGTAGCTAAACTCAATTTCTCAAGCTAAAATAACTTTCTCAAGGGAAATTGACCCTTTGGTTAGCGGGGCGGGTATAACGGGGCGGGTATTATCGATTACCATACCCGTACCCTACCCTTTATTTTGAAACCGGGTATTATCCGTACCCGCCCCTTAACCCGTCAAAGCGGGTAATTACCCGCTTTGACGGGTTAAGGGGCGGGTACGGATAATACCCGGTACCCTCGTTGACCGGTTACGGTCGGGTAGGGTACCCATGGTTACGGGTTGGATTGACATCCCTAATTGTATAGATGATTTTTTATGATATGATAAAATAAAGACACCCCTTGGCCAATTTTTTTGGGCTCCGCCCACTGCTTGCCTCCTAGCTCCCTCAGTATTGATCAATTAAGTGATGATAAAATGCAAATATCTATATATTTTTGTTTTTATGATAATAATATTCATGAGATGGGATGTATACTTGGCAACCAACAAATCATAGGTTCATGAGGGCTCAGGTCTGTGTAAGAGGTTGCTAACGTAAGAGGCTAAGAGCAATAGTATGAATATTGTCGATCGGCTAACTCGACTAACTATACGATTGAATTTGACAGACAACTGCAGACAGCTACATATACCGGCCTACTTGTGCACTTACGGAGCTCGAAATTAGAGCTTACTTGCAATTGTACTTGTTTTGACGATGAACGTCAACCATAATTTGTGGCAATAATTATACATGCCCAAGGCGAGTGGTTGGCGTTACAGATCGACTTCCTTATGTTGCTGGCTGTCAATATATACTGTGTACACATGATGAGGACGGAGATGGGTCATTTGGAATTTTGGATAGGGTCAGTGCATGCGTAAAAGTACCGGTTAGTATAACAACATCCTTGTTTTGTTAGGGTGACAACTGTTAGAAGTTACTGGAGTTAATAGTAATTAACCACGTACACTTAAGTTAATTATCTTATTTTATTGATAGGGTTAGTGTGTTTGGACGGCAGCCAGAGGTATATAAGGTTGTGGCGGCCTCCTTTTGTATCCTAAGGATTCCGGTGAAATTAAATATATTGATTCCGAGAGGTTGCTACTCTCCGTGGATTAGTCTCAACGATATTCGTTGAGCATACCACGTTAATTCGGTGTTTTCTTTCTTTCGGTCTATAGTTTGACATGGTATCAGAGCCTCTCCAACGCCTTTCAAACTGATTTGGTGGTGTTGCGTTTTGGTGTTCTTGGTTCGGCGGGATTGCTCTTAAGTTCGGGTTTGTCTCTTCTGCTCTCGGTTTCTCTGGTTTTTCGATTCTTATTCTCAACATGGATGTCTCTAAGGTTGATGGTGTTTCTATTCGGTTCAATGGCAAGAACTTACCGTTATGGGAATTTCAGTTTCGCGTGTTCGTTCAAGGCCGCGGGCTGTCCGCAATTCTGGATGGTACTTCTGTGGCACCAGCTGAGACCGCGCCAGCGAAGGAACACGTTGACTGGGCCATCAACAACGCCCAAGTTATTACTTGGCTAGTGGCCTCGGTTGATCCCGCCATCGGTCTTAGTCTTCAGGGGTTTTCTAAAACTTATGAGATGTGGTGTCATCTTCGGGATCTTCATTCTCATGCTAGCGCTTCCGGGAAATTTGAGTTGGAATATGATATAGCTCGTTTACAGCAGGGTGATCCTGATGTTCGATCATATTATCAAAAGGCCCTCAATTTGTGGACTGAACAGGAATTGCTGACTACTTCCTTGGTGTCCGCTGTAGCTTCGGTGGAGGTGTTACAAGAACGCTACAGTTTGTGGTTGATGAATTTTCTGATGAAGCACCATCCCGAGTTTGAGGGCATTCGTGCCTCTTTGATCCATTGGAACGTGACAAAGTAGGAGGAAGTCTTGGATGAGCTTATCCGCGAGGTTGCGTAGTCAAGCCCAATTAGACGTCCATCAAGCTGAGTCCTCCTCCGCTTTTGCGGTTGCTTCAACTACCGTTGGTAAACCTGCTTCTTCTGAGTCCTCGGCGTTTGCTGTTTCTTCAGACCGCCCCAAATTCCAGCGTGTTTCTCTAACTGAGGTCATATGTTACCACTGTAAAGAACCTGGGCATGTCCAGTTACATTGTCTCAAGCAAAACTCTTGCAACTACTGCAAGGCTACCGTCACAAGATAGGGGACTTCCCTATTCTCGTCAAGCGTGGGCGTGCTCGTCCACCCAGTTTTGCCGGCTCTCGCCCTCCTCCTACTGGAACTGCTTATGCGACAACAGTCGCCCCACCTGCTGGTTCCTCCTATGCTGGCCCCGTTTCTCAGGATGATATTAATCGCATGGTTCAGCTCGCGATCAAAGAAGTCATTCCTTCTTCTCTTGGTTTTGTTTTCTCTACGGGTATTACTTCTTCCTCTCCCATGACTTGGCATCTTGATTCTGCGGCCTTTAATCATATGACCAACTCGCTTTCATCATTTCGTATTCTTCGTCAAGGTTCTTCGGTTACACTACAAGTGGTCGATGGCTCGTGCTTGCCTGCCTATGGCGTTGGCCACGTAGTTCACAAGGGGTTGCATCTCTCTGATGCGTTATACGTTCCCAAGATTCTTCCTAGCCTTGTGTCGGTGGGACAGTTAACAGAAGAGGGTTGTCGAATTATTTTTGACGCTCATGGTTGTCGTGTGTAGGAAATGAGCATGGGGAGGGAGGTCGGCTGCGGGACTAAGTTGGGTCGGGTCATCACGTTGGATAGTTACTCACGCCCGCAGGGAGGGAATGATTCCATGGTTCGGGGAGGTGGCGTGGTGGTTGTTCGACTCAAGGAAAAACCACTTTATTCTATCACTTTGTCTAATTGGGAGTTATGGCACCGTCGGTTAGGTCACTGAATAAACCACTTTAAGAAACGTTTTCTATCGGGTAGTTTTGATTCGGATTCTTTTTATGTTTGTGTTCATTGTGTGGAGGCTAAACTTTCTCAACAATCTTTTAGCCCGAGTACTACGGTTTATTCAGATCCTTTCGATTTAGTCCATACATATTTATGTGGGCCTTCTCACGTTAATTCTCGTGTGGGTTTCATATATTTTGCTCTGTTTGTTGATCATGCCACCAGGTTTGCTTGGGTCTATTTCCTACGACAGAAATCTAATTTGTTGAACGTTGCTAGAGAATTTTTTCAAATGATCCAAACTCAGTTCGGTCGTAGTGTGAAAATTCTTCGCTCGGATCCTGGTAGTGAGTTCACATCTGGTCCTTTACAGGAGGTGTTTAAAGAGCGGGGAATTCTCCCACATCAGTCTTGTCCCGACATATCTCAGCAGAATGAGCTAGTTGAGCGAACACATCGGCAAGTTCTAAAGCTAACTCGAGCACTCTTGTTTCAGCCCTGCATTCCATCTAACTTCTGGGTTGAGGCTGTTCATATGGTCGTATATCTTATTAATCGACAAATTATTCCGGTCTTGTCTCAACGGAGTCCTTTTGAATCCCTCTACAACAAATTACCCGACTACAGCAAGCTACGGGAGTTTGGGTGTGTATGCTATGTTCTCCTTCCGCGACGTGAACGCAATAAGCTTTCGCCAAAAGCGGCCAAATGTGCATTTGTTGGTTACAGTCCCAAACACAAGGGATATGCATGCTACGACGTTGCTCATCGTCGCACGCGAATCTCTTGTCATGTTGAATTCTTGGAAAACTTTATGTATTATAGCCATTCCGAGAAAGACCCTCGCCCGGACATGGATTTTTTGTTCCCCTCGGACATCTTTTCTGCTCGGCCCCCTCCTGCTGACCCTGGAACCGGTCCTTCCCCTCCTCCTGACTCTATGGACCTAGCACCGACTCCCTCTTCTCGAGTCTCTTCGGCCAGCGCGCACATCTCCAGCAGTCCAGTTGCTTCTTCCGCTTCATCATCCTCCCAAGAATCCTCCTTCGGCTCTGGCTCGCAACATGGCAGTTCTCTTCATCAGGGAGCTCTCTCCTCGACGACTGGTTCCTCGGATTCCTCATCCACAACAATCTCCCCTTACGATTCTTCGGGTCCTCTCTTGGTCGATGACGACGCTCTCCAACCTCGTTGTTCGTTGAGAGTCAACAAGGGAAAACGTCCCTCTCACCTCTATGACTTCGTGGCCTTTTCCACCCCGTCCATTCCCATTCTAGCGACATACAAACAGGCGCATGGGAATCTTTTTTGGGAAGATGCCATACAAGTCAAAACTCGAGCGCTTGAAGCTCAGGGAACGTGGGAAGTGGTGCCTTGCCCACGTGATCATCCAGTTTTGGGATCCAAGTGGGTTTACACGATCAAGGTCCATCCCGATGGGACTAGAGCACAGGTTGTAGCACAGGGGTTAAGATAGGAATTTGGCATCGACTATGAAGAAACCTTTGCACCGGTTGCCAAGATTCAAACGGTTCGTACCTTACTCGCAGTTGCTGCTATGTGTGGTTGGAGTTTGAGGCAACTTAATGTGAAGAATGCGTTTCTTCATGGTGATCTTAAAGAAACGGTCTATATGGAATGCCCTCCGGGCTATCTTTAGGGTGATAAATCTAAGGTCTGCTTGCTTCGCCGTTCCCTCTACGGTTTAAAACAGGCACCTTGTGCCTGGTTCAAGAAGTTTCATACTACTATCCTGCAGGCTGGATTTATACAGAGTGGCAATGATCCGATCGCTTTAGTTCCATTTAGTCTCCGGAAATATAAAAGATATGAGACTACTCCGCCAATTTATGTTTGTCCTTGAAAAGATACCACTTTTTCGCCAATTTTTTGGTGCTGCATTAGTCTCCTGGGTTTGTGAAAACTGAAAACCAAGGAGCTGTGACATTATCAATGCCCCAGAAGAGCAGATGCCAGAGTTTGAGGCAACTGAATGTGAAGAATGCGTTTCTTCATGGTGATCTGAAAGAAACGGTCTATATGGAATGCCCTCCGGGCTATCTTTAGGGTGATAAATCTAAGGTCTGCTTGCTTCGCCGTTTCCTCTACGGTTTAAAACAGGCACCTCGTGCCTGGTTCAAGAAGTTTCAGACTACTATCCTGCAGGCTGGATTTATACAGAGTGGCAATTATCCGTCACTATTCCTTCATCGGACTTCGCGTGGACTTACTATTCTTCTTATTTATGTCGGTGATATGGTGATCAGTGGTGACGATCAGGAGGGAATTCGGCTTCTTACACAGACCCTCCATGCGTCGTTTAACCTGAAGGAGCTGGGTGATTTGTCTTATTTCCTTGGTCTCGAAGTTAACCGCTCGTGTGCCGGGTTACTGGTTTGTCACTCTGATTCGGTTATACGCGGATAACACTAGTGCTATTCGCATTGCCGCTAATCCTGTGTTACATGATCGTATGAAACATATTGAGGTGCATGTTCGCTACATCCGCCAGTTGGTGACTGGAGGTCAGGTGGAGCTGACCTACATTACTTCCGAGGACCAGACGGTGGATCTGTTGACTAAAGCTATTGCTACAGCTTGACATTGGTTTCTGGCGTACAAATTGATGTTGTGTAAGCACCATCAATTTGAGGGAGGGTGTTAGAAGTTATTGGAGTTAATAGTAATTAACCATTTACACTTAAGTTAATTACCTTATTTCCTTGATAGGGTTAGTGTGTTTGGACGACAACAAGAGGTATATAAGGTTGCGGCTGCCTCCTTTTGTAACCTAAGGATTCCAGTGAAATATATTGACTCCGAGAGGTTTCTTTTCTCCGTGGAATAGTCTCAACGATATTCGTTGAGGATACCACGTTAATCCGGTGTTTTCCTTCTTTCGGTCTATAGTTTGACACAATAGTCTTCAACCAATAGTAAGTTAGAATTGTGATGATTTTTTATTAGTTAAGTTGACCTAATGTAAAATCAAAGCAAGGATATAATTATCATTAAAATATTATGTTTAAATAAAAAATTAATAATAAAGAAATTAATTATATAAAAATATTTTTTATTTTCTGTCCAAAATTTCGTCACCGGAATTCGGTTGCCGGTCATACAGATAATTATTTTTATTATGATTTTTTACACCTGATTACTTTTGATTTCGGAATGGTTACAGTTCTGAAAATCGTATATTGAAAAGCTTACCCAACCCAAACAAGTTGTCTTACCCACGCAGCATAGCAAAGTGTAACCCTTTGATGCGTCCCCTTCAAATTTTCAATACCCCAAGCCCTTCATTTTGTGGCCATACATGTATAATCAACGAATGGCCCATGCCACAAGACGATTTAATATATTCATTAACATACAAAAGACAGGACAACCAAACGACTCTCGGCCGGTCGTCAACTTTATTTCAACCAGGCATAGTTACTTAATTGGTGAAGTGATCTACAGACGACTGAGCTTGGAAGATCCCATCTGCTTGGCAGACTCTCTGAGCAAGTACTTCTGAATCTTCCCGGTGGAAGTCTTGGGCAACTCATCCTTGAACACCACCGTCTTGGGCACCATGTAGCGCGGCATCTTCGCCCTGCAGAACTCAATCAACTCCTTCTCCGTCGTCCCCGCCTGCTTTAAACTCACAAACGCGCACGGCGTCTCGCCCCAGTACTCGTCCGGCCGCGCCACCACCGCCGCCTCGTTCACCGCCGGGTGCCCGTACAACACCGACTCCACCTCCACGCTGCTAATATTCTCCCCTCCGCTAATTATCACGTCCTTGGACCGATCCCTTATCTCCAGGTACCCGTCCGGATGCATCACCCCGACGTCGCCGGTGAAGAACCACCCTTCTTCCGTCATGCACTTGGCCGTCCCGATCGGGTCTTTCAAATAGCCCAGCATCACGCACCCACCCCGAAGGACCACCTCACCCACCTCCGACCCGTCCTGCTTCACGCGCCTGCCCGAGTCCGGATCCACCACGTCCACCTCTGTGAACCCGGCGGTCCGCACCCCTTGCCTCGATTTCAGCCTCGCCCTCTCCGTCGCCGGGTATCGATCCCAATTCCTCTTCCACGCGCACGACACCACCAGCCCCGCTGTCTCCGTCAGCCCGTACCCATGCCCCACCACGAACCCGAGGGACTCGGTCCTCAGCAGCACGGCGGCGGGAGGCGGAGCCCCTGCCGTAAGGATCTGGACCGGGTTGGGAAGTGGCTGAAGGCCTTCCCCGTTGGTGAGCATGTTGAGCACCACGGGAGCGCCGCACATGTGGGTCACACGGTGGCGCGTGATAAGCCCGTAGATGGTCGGCGCGTCGACTTTCCGGAAGCACACGTTCGTCCCACCCACCGCGGCGATTCCCCAGGGGAAACTCCAACCGTTGGCGTGGAATATGGGGAGGGCCCACAGGTAGACAGGCTGCTTAGGAACGGCCCAGTCGATCAAGGAGGCCAGGGTCACGACGAATAATCCTCTGTGGGAGTGGACCACGCCTTTGGGTGCGGACGTGGTCCCCGAGGTATAATTCAGCACCGCCGGATCCCACTCGCTCCTGGGCCGGATCCACTGAAAACCCGGATCGCCCTTGCCGACCAGATCTTCGTAGGTAGAGAAAAAGTCAAGGGTGAGCAGCGAAGCCTCCTCATCCGGCTCATCCTGGTCGGCGATGAGGACGAGCCTGGGACGAGCCGATCCGTCGGGAAAGAGAGAGAGAGCTTCAAGGATGAGGCGGCGGGAGAGGCAGTCAACGAACACGAGCTTGGATTCGGAGTGAAGGAGAAGGACGGAGATGGTGCGTGGATCGAGGCGGGTGTTGAGGTTGTTGAGTATGGCGCCGGACATGGGAACCGCGAACTGGAGCTCGTACATGGCCGGGACGTTTGGAGCGAGGACGGAGACGACTTGGCCCGGGAGGATGGCGAGGGAGGAGGAGGAGGTGAGTGAAGAGGCGAGCTGGAGGCATCGGCGGTGGGTCTGGGACCAGGTGTAGGTGGCGTCGTTGTAGATGATGGAGGCGCAGTCTCCGTAGACGGTGGCGGTGCGGTCAAGGAAGTTGAGGGGAGTGAGCGGGGAAGAGTTCGCTGCTCTGGGCTTCAGCTGTTCCATTTTTCCCGGCGACGGGATCTGTGATGGATGAGGGGTGGAGGATAAGATCGACTCAAGTCAACTTGAATTAGATAAATGAGAAGAGAGAGAGAGAGAGAGAGAATATCGAGATAAGTTAAAAAATGGGTAGCGCAAGTTTTTGGGAGTTTTGCGATAAATTAATCAATGGCTGGTTGATGTTACTGCTTAGAGATAAATAACGACTTTTTGAAAAACAATTACTAATTACTGAACTGAAGCATATCCATCTCCATTTCTCAACTGAAACCGATAAGGTGCAAAATGTAAATATATAGATTTAGAGGTGGAACCTTTCGTGCTTAATTATCATCGTAACACAACTTATCACTTAGTACAAAACAATTATTAAAGTTTAATTTTGCACATTTCAATAAAATAATTTTTTTTTCAAAGTCAGGGGTAATAAGTTCACTCATACAAAAGAAATAAGAAGAGAGCGCGGGAGTCGACCAATAGTCGAACTCCTGATGAGAGGGTTTTTTTGCCAAATGATGGGCGGCCCTATTAAGTCGACGAAAAACAAAGCAGAAGTTAATCCAGCTGAATTGTGACGATAAGTGACGAGCGTCTTCGAGCACAGCCCCACCTCGATCATGTGCGAAGTCTCCTTCCACCATCCGTCGTATTAATTGTTAAGAGTCCCCATGAAATTTGACAGAAACAAAATCATGGGTCAAGCACCATTGTAGAGCATCTCTTAATGCTAAACATTCCATAACAAATGTGTCAGAACAGAAGCGTGCAATCGATAATTCAGATGAACACAAACGAACACGAATTTAACGTGGTTCACTAACACAATGTGTGCTAGCTAATCCACGGGCAGGGGAGAACAAATTTCACTAATTTGAGGAGAGTACAGGTTACAAACCAAATTCCGGACGGACAAACCAAACAAACTAACCCGATTAGCCTTACTACAGACTAGGGTGATGAAGAGTATTTATAGAACTCTTCTCCTAATCCCAAACAGAAAACCAAACACCTTTTCCAAACATACAAGGAAAAGGCCAAAACAAAACTCAAACACAAACCCAAACAAAACTGGCCCAAAACACAAAACAAACCCAAATCAAATTCAAGTCATATTCTAACAATCTCCACCTTGACTTGAATTCTCTCTCAAATACCAGATGTACCAGACGCAACCAAAGTTTCCAAATGTATCAAACTCCTCCAAATCAGTTGTATCAGAATCTCCCATGCCTCCAAATGCCCCTAAGGGCGGTCAACAAACCAAACCATTCGGCAAGTCTAACCCATGTTGAGACTTGCCATTCAAAACCAGCTTGGTGCAATTATCACCAAAAGAACATGTCAAAACAGAACCTTGTAGATTATATAAGACACCCCGCTTGACACCTTTCAAAATACCTTTGTAGACAGACAACACTTCACCTTCACCTTTGAAACTGAAACCCTTGTTGTCTAATAGACTCAAAGATATCAAATTCTTAGTCATCTCTGGAATATGTCTAACATTGTTCAAGGTGCGAACAGAACTGTAACACCCCACCCTAAAATTCATGGGTCGAACCATTGGTTCGCCCGCACAGCAGAAAATCCTAACGGGGTTTACGTATTAACTCATCATTCAACACATATGCAACTTTCGTTTACTAAACATAACTCGAGGTGAACATATATATATATATATATATTTCAAATCTAAAACATTTATTAATATCCAATCTCATTTATTAAACATACAACATCCAATTCATGACATCAAATCCAAACACTTGTTCGTTGAAACTCAAATCTCCATCTTACATACTTTGGTAAAATCCATAAATCATAATAACTCAATCGATCAAGTTCGATGCAATCAAATCCAACATAATACATGTTTATGATACTTGTTTTAAAACACAAAACATAGTTAAAAACTCTCCTCCGACCAATCGTCTGCTACCTCATGATGGAGTAGAAGTTGCACAGCTCCGACGTCCAAGCTCAGTTCCTCTGCTGCGGATCTGAACACAAAAAGGGAGGGGGTCAGCTAACTAATTTAGCTGAGGTGTGGCGCTGTTCCCTCCTACACGGCGAAGTCTATGGATACGTTTTCCACATCAATTGATTAACCACCTAATCATGGCATCTAGGTTGAAGTCTCAACCTAGCATCCAATATCCAAACAATATGCAAGTGCAATGCATTTCCATTTTATTAATTTGGGCGCCAAGGTCATCATACATCCAACCCCGCTCGAGCCTCATCATCTCAGTGGTTATATAAGAAACCACAATCATATCTCTCTGGCCACTGGCCTCATCGATCCTAATGATCGTCAGTAATGATATCAAATGGTTGGGGGTAAATGCAGCCCCTTTCTAAGTATATGTGATTAATATGAACATCATATAAAAGCATCATTATCATCATAATCTCAATATGATAATCATCCATCTCAATCGACCTTGGTGTAATTACCAAGTCTATGCCAAACGCTAATTTGTACATCTCATGCATACGATAAAATTATCATATCATCCATCAAATTATCAAGTAGAAATTCATTCGCAAACATTATCGTTATCATACATTCAACGTATAAGATGGACGGTTTAAATCCTCGTACATGGTTCGATAACGGATAACCATTTAATCGGTGAATCACCGAGTAATTCGAATGGCGGACCCGCCGTGGTAAGAACTTCGGGAAAAGGAATGAGTGCCACTACTCGTAGTACACTTCTTACAACCGTATTCGCAAAAGAGTTTACCGAGTGAATTCCCAGGTAAGTGGACGAGTACCATGAAGGTCTCTAAAAACCACTAGCCTAGACAGAATTCTCCCATGGTAGCTGTCCATTATTCAAATTATTACGAATTCGTTCGTGGTTTAATGATTATCCCAAGTAGTCTTATTAGGAGCATTATTATATCGTAGCGGAATTTCACATAACTCATGGCATGAAATCACGTCATGAATTATTGAAATAGTAACAACGTAGTCTCGAGGAATTTCACGACTCGTAGGGATCAATTACAAAATCGTAAATTCCAAATACTCGATTATGAATCATCCAATTCTACTCGAGTATCAAACTCATAATAACGACATTCTTCATTTTATCTTCGTTAAATCCTCAGCTATGTTTCAATATTAAACACATAACACGTAGTAAAACACCGCCTATTCACCGCAGGGTCCACACACCTTATTTATGCCGTAAATCAACTCTGCACAGATTCTGTAAAAATTCCAATACTCCTTGATAAAATTCTCCTCGTCTCTACGATCCTGTAGGCGAAAACAGTTCGTCATTTGGACGTCAAACGAACGAATTACAGCCAAAATACGAATTCTGTCAGTTCCCGAAATTCCAAGTACTGTAAATAACATTTTCCAGTCAAACGGGTCGTTGACCCTTCATATGGAAAAAGTCTGTCCAGATCCTCAACCTTTTCGAATTTACAGAAACAATACATGATTTTGAGAAACTGACAGTTCTACGTGGCCAACTTGCGAGGCTCGTTTCTCCTCGTCCGACGTTGAAAATTGATTCCGTCGAAACGTGCGTGCTCCTGGCATCGTCCTCTTCATAACGGTACCAACCACTCACAGAATGGTTGAGGTCGGAGTTGACGTCGTTGACGTCACGGGATCCCGACGAAACTCCGGCGAGGCTCCGACAAGGCTTCAATGATGCTTCTAGCTTCGTGGGGAACCTCCCCAGATCCCTATGGCGACCTCCTAAACCCAGAACACCCAGAAACTCTCCTTATCTCTCTATTTCCTTCCTTCCTTTAGTTGGGACTTATGGTCGTCATACGAGTTTTGGTTCTATATATATATACACAACAACCCAGTCATCCATTACTTCGTCGACAAAGTTGTTGTTGAATATTAACTCCAAATCCAATCTCAAATTTCACAGCTCATGAAAATGGTTGGTCAATGTTGTCTTTCCTTTAAAAAAGTCAAACTAAAAGAAGAGAGAACGTGGCTATCTCTCCTCCTTGTGTCCTTACATAAATTATAATACATGTGGTGGTGAGTTATTGTAATAGGATGGATTCAATCATCTTGGACAGAAGCTGGTCGCTTATGGAGAGTTGCATTTGTTTCTTCAGAAAATGTTCTCGCCAGGTAATAGTTAAATAAACTAATATTGGCTTACTTATACATAAGCAACACGTAGTCCAACTGGTTAAGTAGTCATGGTTGTACCTTCAAGTTGCTGGTTCAAATCTTGGTGGTGAATACATTTTTTTTATCACATCAGAATCTGTCAACGTCTGAGATCACTAGTTCGTATTTTCGCCCTTATCATAATTCATTCATGCCATATTTATTCTCTCGATTTATCACGTCTTTAATTGACGAGTACTCATAGTTCTTCCAAACCGGTAGAATTCATTTCAACTATTGTTGGTGTTCTTTGTTCCAACGTAGAACCGGTTCGATGTGAGATTTAACCTAGATACGGGATGTTACAAGAACCATCATGTGTCCTCATCCTGACGGAGCCTCTTCCAACAATCTTACAGATAGCACCATTGGCCATAGAAACATGTCCTCCATCTATCTACTCATAAGTTGAAAAACACTCCCTGCTTGGACACATATGATAATCAGTTGCAGTATCTAAATACCACACATCCTAATGATGTACTTGTTCATTCACTGCTAAGGCCAAACCATCTTCAGAATCAGAGTTAGTTTCTTCCGCCACAGCAGCAGATGATTCCTTCTTCTCCTGATATTTCTTTAGTTTAGGACAATCAAATTTCCAATGTCCTTTCTCTTTACAGTAATGACAGATATCATCTTTCAAACCAGCATAATTCGTATTTGTATTCGTCTTCCTATTACCAGATTGTTGTCTCCTACTACTCGTAGCAGCCAACCCAGATGTCTGATTTTTCGAACCTGAACCAGACGCCTTATGTCGAACCTCTCTAGTATGTAGAGCAGATCTGACATCTTCCAAAGACAAACTATCTTTCCCAACAATAAAAGAATCCACAAAATTCTCATACGACCGTGGCAAAGATACTAACAGAATTAAGGCAGCATCCTCATCATCTATTTTAACATCAATATTCTGCAGATCTAACAAGATAGTATTGAGTTGATCTAGATGATTCCTGAGAGACGTACCTTCCTCCATACGCAAACTGAACAAACGTTGCTTCATATGCAACTTGTTGGTTAAAGACTTTGTCATGTATAGACTTTCAAGCTTCAACCACAAAGCCGCGGCAGTCTTCTCAGCAGCAACCTCAGTGATGATATCATTAGCCAAACAAAGCAAGATTGTAGAGTGAGCTTTCTCCTCCAAAGTATTCCACTCTTCTTCATCTATGCTTTCCTTCTTCGATTTTCCAGACAACGGAGCCCACAAACCCTGTTGTTTCAACAGTGCTTGCATCTTGATCTGCCACAAACTAAAACTTTTTCCCCCGGTGAACTTATCAATCTTCATACTAATAGTAGCCATCCTTACTATTAAACAAACTCCAACCAAACTCCACAAATCAAAACTTCAGTCCAGCGCCAAATTCCAAAAACCGCAATCAGGCTCTGATACCACTTGTCAGAACAGAAGCGTGCAATCGATAATTCAGATGAACACAAACGAACACGAATTTAACATGGCTCACTAACACAATGTGTGCTAGCTAATCCACGGACAGGGGAGAACAAATTTCACTGATTTGAGGAGAGTACAGGTTACAAACCAAATTCTGGACGGACAAACCAAACAAACTAACCTGACTAACCTTACTACATACTAGGGTGATGAAGAGTATTTATAGAACTCTTCTCCTAATCCCAAACAGAAAACCAAACACCTTTTCCAAACATACAAGGAAAAGGCCAAAACAAAACTCAAACACAAACCCAAACAAAACTGGCCCAAAACACAAAACAAACCCAAATCAAATTCAACTCATATTCTAACAAAATGGATCATTTATCCCTTCATACCATTTGCCAAAAACAAAGAGAATATTATTGATGCTTGGAAGTGGAACCCTACAAAGCCAATGCTTCCTCCTCGATCTCGTTTAGCCGCCCCATCGAACCAAACAGAAATTGCATTTGCGGGGATTCCATTTCCAGCAGCCAGGGTTCTGGCAGTAGGGTTGTGTGTTTGGCTGTTGTCCCTGCGACGCAGACTAGGTGGAGTTTGACCCACTGACCTCCACTTGCCTATGGTATTGGCGGAGTAAAGTGTGAGGAAGATATTGGATATGGCCATGTACCGACCAACACCTGCCCTTCCAAATTCGCCAGAGAATAAAGATCATATCAGCTAGCTCTAGCTTGGAGAGGTTCATGGAGATGAAGAGAAATTTACACGCATCATCCGAGGTCATGCCACTGAGAATAATTATCCTGTCATCAAGGTTCGCCAGGCGCCATAGTCCTCAAGCAACCCTGCAGGTGAAAAAGCAGTCAAGCAAAAATCTATCTCCAGTAGCCTCTCTTGGTTGTTCGAGTACAAGTTTAACCATTCAATGAATGGTTGATTCTGCAACTGTGGGCTTGTTGTGCCTTTTGGTGGGGTTGATGTTTTTGCTTTCTTCTCTGGTCCATACACATTCTTCACCACTATCCTTCTTTTGCGCGGTTCTTCTGGTTGTTGTGGTGATGTTGATATTTGGTGGTGGTGATGGGTGATTGAGTGGGCTTATGTCAAAAGATGGTATGTCACTGTCCTTTGCAACTTTGGGGTTTCCTGTAGTCTTTAGTGGTGGTTGTATAGCTTCTTCTTCATTGTTCTTCACATGTTCTCCCTTCTTTGAAACAAGCACATCTGAATGTGTCTTTTCACTATCATCTCCTTCATGATCTTGATGAATTTCATTTCTCTTTCGGTCTTTCCTTCATCTCCTTTTTGTTGCCCTCCTGGTTTACATGCTTTGGAACTGACTTTCCTTGGTTCTTCTCAGCAGTTTCAGCAGGATTCTCTATTGTTGGTGCTTCTGATTCTTTTGAAGAACCATCTTGATTATTTTTTTCTTACATTATGTTGGTGTAGCTGGATCAATTGTTGTTTGTTGAGAATCATCATTTTCTTGAGATTCATTGACTGTGTTTGCTTTCCTTTTGCTTGATTGTGCATTGTCAAAATTCTCTTCGGAGTTTCTTCCAGGTTGGTGTCTGCTTCTTTATCTTCATCTCCAGATTCAGTTCTTTCATTTTGTTCGACAATCACGTTATCGGATCTTTCTCCTTCTACACCATCAAAGTTCTCATCAGAAGTTTGTTGCTCCAACTTTTCCTTGTGTTTGACAAGCTCATCCATTTGAGCTTTGAATTGCATCTTGATTGATTGCAACATAGCTTTAATTGATGTTTTCACCAGATTTATTGCTTTCTCAGCCCGCATTAGTGATTTTTGGTTTGTAAGTTAATATTTACAGTAGAATACCACATGTTACCATGGTGGTAATGGATGGTATGTCCATTATAGAGTACAATATCATATGTTACCACCATGGTTCATGTGTGGTATTAGTTATATGAATTGCACAATTGTAACATAGGGTAATTTATACTTATTTGGGTGATAGTCTTGATCATCTTCAAATCAAATATGAGTGACGTTGATGGTTGTTGTTCTGTGTTGTTGTCATCATCATCATCATTGTTGGTGCCATTGATCTTGTCTTCTTTATCTTGTATCTTCATCAGCTCCTTAATTACTTCTCCACTGTAGTAGTTGATTATGTTTTCAAAGTTTCTTTGCACAACAAGGTCGTCGTGATAGCTTGTTGCTGGGATTTGAAACTGGGTGGAGAAGGCAATTTCATCCAACTTGTACATGAAGCATACCTTTTATTTGTTTGTGGAAAGGAGAAACAGTTGTATTAGTTTTTTTAAGTACTAGGATTGGTAATGCTTTAGGGTAATACTAATTGAAATGATATTATTGAGGGTATAGATACTTACTGTTAAGAAATGAAGATCTGCATTGACGTATAACTTTCTTGATTTCAACCCCTCATTCATATAGTCGAAGAAGAACTTGCACGAGTTATATTCTTTGAAATGCTTGATTTTTCTTTGCTGTAAGTACTCAACCATAATCAACTCAGCAGTAGGGTTTGAAAATGGGGACAGTGAACCTCCAGTAACCAGCAACCAGAACAGTTTGATCCATATTTCAATGGTACGAGCTTAAGAAATGTCATGCTCTACGTTAAGTAATTTCACCCTTACATTTTCAGCTGGAAGTTCTAGTTCTAGTAGGACTTGTAGCGCATAGTCTACTGCTTCGTCCAGTGATAATTTCTTGAGCGTCACTTCCTTTTTACCCATTGGTAGACCATAAACTCTATGAAAGTCAATTGGTGATATCTTCATGTAGTTTCCATCAAACAGCTTGAATGATTGCTTTGCTGGATTGTACTTGCTCATTGTGGATAGAGCAAAGTTCTTGCATATCTTTGTTTGCTGGATGGTTGTTAAGCCGTCAAGGCCTAGGGGTGGGCAAGGAAAAATCGGTATTTGGATATACCCATATCCGTCCCGTTTTTTGAGGGTTACGGGTACCCAAATACCCGTTTATTTTTAACGGGATGGGATTTGGGATCAATGATTTCTACAACGAGTACCCACGAGTTACCCGTTAATACCCGTTTGGGTAATACGAGTACCCGTTAGCAAAAATTCCTACAATAAACATTACATAACCAACCCCAATCCCCCAACCTGAGCCCAATTCCACCCCACCCATACGTACGATTGATTAAACCATAAATCCAGCTGGTGGTTCATTTCATTTCTCATTCCACCCCTTTCCAGTGTAAACTCTGCTTCCTCCTTTTATTTAATCAATTCAGCACAACATGATTGTGCGTTACACAGACACTAAATGACTACTGAAAGCAAAAGGCCGTGTACATTCTATTTCACATTGTATCTCTGCATCTGTCGTGTCGAATGAAGATAGTATGTTCAATAGTATCCGTTAACCCTAATATGAACTTCTCAGCCTTGTAATTATCACTAAATGACTACTGATACATCCAGCTTCCGAAAGAATCCAGTGTTATGCATGTTCATTGAACTGAAATTCACACGTTCATTGAGATGTACGTTAGCTCTATAGAACTTTTCCCTTATCATTTGGAGGGGTATGTACGGGTAGTTTGGGTACCCGTTATCCATCCCGTACGGGTAACTAGTACTCGTTAACCCTTATGTGTTTGGGATATGGGATGCACTTTGCTCTTCAAACGGGACTTGGTTGCCCACCCCTATCAATGCCTAATTCCTGCATTTTTTTCCTCTGTTAAGCTGTTAATGCCCTTGACAGTGTGCTGATTCTTGTTGGGCTACACCTTGTGCGAAAATCGTCCCTTGGTTTTGACATGATGTACCCGAATATAGAATAGAAGGTTTGCTATATCATACCATACCATACCATATTCTACCAGTAAGCAATACAACGTACAACACATCAAGGGTTATTGAAAAGGTTTTCAAGTGATCTTACCTCACCATACCATATGGTATTATGATAAATGGAAGCGTAGCAGCGGGTTTTTTGTGGTTTTTTATACATTTTTAGAAAATCTTCTTCATTGTAAGTGCTTTGAGCACTACTCGAACAATTACTCCTTATTATACCATATGGTACCAGTGTGGTATTATGAAAAAAATGAGAGCATAGCATAGGGTTTTTTTTTGTCATTTTTATACTTTTCTATAAAATGTATTTCACTGTAAGTACTTTGACCACTACTCGGACGGTTTATCCTTATATTAGCATATGGTATTAGTGTGGTATTTTAAAAAAATCAGAGCATAGCATAGGTTTTTTGTCGTTTTTATACTTTTCTATAAAATGTATTTCACTATAAGTACTTTGACCACTACTTGAACGGTATCTCCTTAGAATACCATATGCTATCAGTGTGGTATTGTAAAAAAATTAAAGCATAGTAGAGGTTTCTGTTTGGTTTTTTTATCATCTCTTTAAAACAGTATGGTTAACATTGTGCAAGAACAAAAATCGAGTGGTGAAAACGATTTGCATTGTGAAGTCTCTACTTGAAATTAGACATTCAGAATCACGAATCTAGATTTTGAAGAAAGAAGTGATGATTTACCTTGATCGTTGAAGACGTCGAAGTTGAAAACCCTCACTTGATCGCTGAAGAACTGATATCAGTATCCTTTGCTAACGTTATGAAAATTCGAGTTTGCAGTTTCTCGTCAGTATTCTTTGTGAGCGGAGATAAAAATGTGACAGAGAGAATGGATATCGTAAATGGAGAGAATGTATAGCATAAATGTATACCGAAAAAGCAGAGATGGAACGCGAACCGTCTGTGATGCTTTTTGTTTTCGCAGAGTTTGTAGAGGTGACAATTAGGATCCAAATCCATGAATCCAATCCAATCCATCCACCAAACTATCCACCTAATCCAATCCATTTAAATCCAATCCGTTTGATCCAAATCCAATTGGATTGGTGGATTCATGGATCAATCCATGGATCCAAATGACAAATTATGATTTGGTACCTATATTTTTTATATTTTACATTTTGGTACCTAAAATTTATATTTTTATACGAAAAATAACATTGGAAAATTACATTTTGGTACCTAATATTTTTCATCATGACATTTTAGTATGTAAACTTTTAAAAAATTATATTTGGTCCAAGCCTTGGATGTCATTTGGATTCATGGATCAATCCACCAATCTATTTGATCCAATCCATAAATCCACCAATTCATTGGATCCAATCCATTTGATCCATTGATCCACCAATCCAATCCACGAATCCGATCCAATTGCCACCTTTAAGAGTTGGTGATGATGATGGCTGGGAAGGGTCGCGTCTTTCTTTTTCAAATTATCAGAAGGATTGTCAGGTTACTATTTTACCACTGCGTGTATTTAATATCCCACATCTAAAGGTCATCTATGGACGGCGAATCGATTGGTTACGGAGAGTTACTCACCTGATGGTTATTGATCGAATGTGGACCCCTTCCCTCCTCTCCCTCTCTCTCAAGTCTCACCTTCATCCGGTATCTATTTTAATTCCCATATCCCAACCAGCGCTATATAACTAATACCTTTCCACTCTAGATCTTGTCGTCCCAGAAATCAGTCATTGGCCAATCCGAATTGCGAGCACACAACCCAAGACGACAATGGCATCATCGTCGGACGACAAGGCTGCTGCTATTTCTTCCACGGCTGTGCGTCCTCCTCCAGCACTTCCCTGGAAGGTGAAGCTCTTCGTCAAGCTCATGTCCTTCGCGGTGGACCTCAGCTGTCGACCTGACGGCACCGTCAACCGCCGGGTCATGTCCTTGTTCGACATCAAATCCCGTCCCCGCCGCTCCAAAGGCGTCTCCTCCACCGACGTCACCGTCGATCCCAGCCGCAACCTCTGGTTCCGTCTCTACACCCCAACTTTTTCCACCGCCAACCCCTTGCCGCTCATCTTCTTCTTCCACGGCGGCGGCTTCGCATTCTTGGCTCCCGACTCCAAGCCTTACGACGACTCCTGCCGCCGCCTCGCCGCCGAAATCCCTGCCGTTGTCATCTCCGTCAACTACCGCCTCGCCCCGGAGCATCGCTGTCCGTGCCAGTACGAGGACGGCCTCGACGTCCTTAAGTTCATCGACGGCGGCAAGTGCAATGAAGTCGCCAGGCTGTGCCAGGTCGGTAGTATTATTATTATTAATTGATATCATCGAATATTGATCGATCTTCTATTTTAATTAATTAATATCTCAGATTTTCCTATTTTCTCATCCACCAGTAATGTACTGCACTATTAATTATCAAAAAATTATGCATACCCCACCCACCCACCCTAATAAATTAATTAAACCTGCAGGCTGGCACAGTGGAGCTGAAAAGGAGCTTCGTGGCGGGAGACAGCGCGGGAGGCAACCTTGCCCACCACGTGGCGATGAGAGGTGGGTCCCACAAGTTCTCTTCCTTGGATCTGATAGGCAACATATCCATCCAGCCCTTCTTCGGCGGGGAGGAGCGGACGGCGTCGGAGCTGGAGCTAGCCGACGCGCCCTTCTCCACGTGGAAGCGCACGGACATTATGTGGAAGCTGTTTATGCCGGTGGGGTCGGACAGGGACCACCCGGCGGTGAACGTGTTCGGGCCGAACGGCGAGGATGTGAGCACGGTGAAGTTCCCGGCGACGGTGGTGTTCGTGGGCGGGTACGACCCGCTGAAGGACTGGCAGAGGAGGTACTGTGAAGGGCTGAAGAGAGCAGGGAAGGAGGCGAGGGTGGTGGAGTACGAGAATGCGATTCATACCTTCTACGCCTACCCGGAGGTGCCGGAGTCGGACCGCTTTGTGGAGGAGGTCCGGAATTTCATCCGCGACCCAATCGGGTTCTGTACTCAGCCGACCAACAGTAGTGGTCATTAATTAGTTATGAGACTTAATTATCACTTATGGCCTATGGGTAGAGAATTGGGCAGCCTAGCTCTCTCGATCGTGGCGTGCGTGCTGATGTAGTTTTTAATCACATAAAATTAATAACAAGTTTAATGAATTACAATCTGAATTGGTGCGGGGCTCTTTTAATTATGCATTAGGCGCACATGATCCGGCAATTCCATGTGTTGCCTTAAATTGCTCTGAATAATGAAGATAGATAGCTAGCAAGGGCATGAGATGAGGTGTTGTGGAGCCGATGGGTATACTAAATAGATGTGGTCTCTAAAGTCTAAACTCCACAATCCACATGCATATTCAATTGCTCTATTTATGAATTTGGCAATTTGCCAACCCTTTATATAGGCGGGCCTTTTTATAATGAATGTCACATGAGTTTTTTTATAATGAATGTCACATGAAGTTTGGATACCCCTTCAATGTCGTACACTTTCCAGTAATACAGTATAGGATAAGAAATTGATGTTGGGATTTTTTATTATGTGAATGGAAATTAAAAGGAAAAGAGATTCAAGAGAATCTCTTGAAGTATCATGTTGGTAAGATGTGGAAAGGCACGGTCTCGAATTTGATCGATTTGATGTAATATGTGGTTAATTAGTTAAATTGGTTTTGTGTAATCAAACGGACCAAACCAAATCGAGTTGAACCAAATCAAATCAAACTGATATGGCGGTTGGAACAACCAAATCGGTTCAACTTCCATAGGCCGAATCAATGCAATGGTTGAGAACTTTTAAATCAACTAATGCAATGGTTGGTGGTGTAACCACCCACACGAAGAGTTGCCCCTTCGTACGCACCCCTTCATTGTCTATAAGTAGCACCGAACCCCTCTGGTTTTTATATATGTTTTCCATACAAAAAACTCTGCAAATCTAAAGTGGTTTTTCTGCATTGTTTTCCAAAAGAAAAATTGAGTCAAAGTTGTTCTTGTTGGTTCGCTACGTTCGATGATTTCCGGGGTTTGAGGTTTGAGGTACCATTACGCTGGAAAATGTACGTCATGTCTATCCTGTGAGGAATCATTCCATAACCTTGGGTACTAGAGGGGAATAAGATTCCTTAAGTAGAGACATTGAATTATGTCGGCTAGGACGTTTGTATGTGTCTTTGTATGTTTTCTTAATCTTATGTGTTTTCTTGTGTTGCAAGAAAATAGTATACGTGAACAATTTCAACTACAGGTGAAACCAAATAATGCAAACCCAAAGGTACATCATGCCCTCTAGGACTAGGATACAGTCCAATTCGGTTTCAACCGAATCAGATTGACCCATTTTTTAAAACCGTATTGGACAACCCCATGACTAGAAACGGGATTGGATTGTTATCCGGTTCTGACCAAACCGGATTGGATGCAATACGGTTTTAACCGGAAAACCATACACTCAAATAAACTAAAACACAACAACATTTGAACTGACCTGAGGAAAAAAAAATTAAAATCGTCGACCTCCATCTCGGCCCCAAAACCCAATTCCTATCTATCTCTTCCCAAATCTCGCATCTCTCTGCCAAATCCCAATCCCTATATATCTCTTTCCCCAATCTTGATTCCTTCTCAATCTTATATATCCTTCTCCTCCTCCTCCTCCTCTCACTTCTTCAGGACTCGACGATGGCTCTTGATGAACGATTCCTAATGGCTGGTGGGCGACTGGGCGACGAACGATGATGAAGATCTCAATGACCGGCGGTACATAGGTAGAACAGAACAGAGACTGAGATACCTCTGTTGCGACTAGCGTGATTCGCTGCCGGCCAACAGGAGTCAGTGAGTCAATTAATGGGGATGTAGGGAAGCGATTTGCGACGGGATGGGGTCTTCTTCTTCTTCTTCGCAGTTCTTGTTTGTGTTTCAGAGGAAAATGAGAGGGGATAGAATGAGGAGGCGAGGCGGCGTTGATTTGGAGGATCATGAGGGGTCTCTAGAAAAGTAGAAATTAGGGATCAGGATTGGGGCTCGGTGGGCCTTGGCTGCCAATTGTTTTGGGTTTGGTTTGGGCTATCCATATTTTTCGGTTTTAACTGAATTGGACCGCTTAGTGTGCACTACAACAGAAAATTGGATTGGGTTGATGGTAATCCGATTTTCGGTTGCAATTGGGACGATTTTAACTGCCCGATTTCTAGTTTGACCAAAAAATTAGATTCAGATTCCCACCCCTAATGCCCTCGACTAATGAGAAAATCGAGGCACTTATCACCCTCTTTAGATACGTGGAAAATATAAATGACTCATTCTCGCTACAACAGCTCAGTTGCTCTGACTAGAATGGCTACATGCTGATGTAGGGCTGCAAATGAGCCAAGCCGCTCACGAGCAACTCGGCGTTCGAATCGGAAAAAACTCGTTTGACACTCGGCTCGTTATTTAGTAAGCTAGCTCATGATCCGACTCGTTAGTAAACTAGCTAAGCTTTGAGCTAGACCATGCTAAGCTTGATAAGCTCGTGAGCTAGCTTGACTCGGTGGCTTGTTGAGCTGGCTTGTTTAGAGCTTGTAGAAGGATTAATTATTCTTATAAACATGAACTTTATCTTGTTAATCTATATATGTATGAAAGTTAGCTGTTCTTTTTAGTTTATAGTGCTCTTTTTATCATTTAAATTATTATTTGTGCACATTTTTCAGCAAGAATGATTTCAAATCGAGCTCATCTTGAGCTAAACTTGTACTCAGCTTGACAAGCTGTGTTAATGACCATTTATCGAGCTCTACCGAGTCGAGCTCGAGCTAAATCATTTTTAATCGAGCCGGGTTTGAGCTCGAGCTGAATCATTTTTAATCGAGCCGAGCTCGAGCTCGAGCTGGATTATCAAAATTCGAGTTCGAGCCGAGCTCGAGTTGAAATATTTTTAAACGAGTCGAGCTCAAGCTAAGCAAAAACTCGACTTGACTCGACTCGACTCGTTTGCAGCCCTAGAGTGATGCTCTCCTAAATCGTGTACTCACAAGTAGAGGTGGCAATTGGATTGGTAGATCCATGGATCAAATAGATTGGTGGATTCATGAATTAGATCAATTGAATCGGTGGATTAATCAAGTCTTGGAGTAATATGTAAATTTTGAAAAGTTTAGGTACTAAAATGTCATAATGAAAAATTTTAGGCACCAAAACATAATTTTTCAATGATATTTTTTGTATAAAAATAGACTTTGTGTACCAAATAGTAAAGTACAAAAAGTGTAGGTACCAAAGTGTAATTTACTAATGATGCATGAATCCACCAATCTAATTGAATTTAGATCAAATGAATTGAATATAAATAAATTGGATTAGTTGGATATTTTAGTGAAAATGGCGTTGAGGTGTCAATCAATAGAATAATAGATAGTGGAGTTTTACAAACTTTTTATCATTAAAAATTCCAAGTCTCCCCTTAATTTTTTGCCCGGGGAATTTGTGTCTATTTTTCCAATAATTGTTTCCTTGTCCCGCCCAAATGCTCTCCTCTCCTGCCGTTAAATTTTTTTTTTAATTAACTGCAGTCTATAGAAGCCAGAGCCTACGGCCCATGATCCACTTTATATTATGTTAATTAAACTCCATAAACGTAAGACTCATAATAATTTTAAAGAAATTAGCCTATGATCTCTCAAGTCCCAATATTGACCCAAATCTTCTTCTCATTTAATTCTCTTCTCTGTATACAGAATCTTCAAGTGACAATGTTGTAAGTAAGGGTGACAGGTCGGGTTCGATTTTTCGGGTTAACCCAAAACCAACCCGATAATTGTCTGTTCAGGTTTCGATTTTTCAGGTTCAACCCGAACTGTTTTGCGGCAGTTTCGGTTTCGCTGAAACCCAAAAACCCGAACTGCTGAATTGGTCTTACGCTGCCATTTTGGAGAGACAATGCGATGCTATAATCCCTAGCTTCGCCTTCGACTTCGCCGCTTCGCCTTGCCCACAGCGAAACAGAGCCTCTACCATCATCGTCCTCGCCGCCACCAACCTTGTGGGGATCTCCGACTTCATCTTCATCGTCTCTCTCAATCAATCCATTGGTGTCCGTCCCTGTCTCGCCACTGTTTCGCATGCGTAATCATCATCGACCTTCCTGGCTGCTTTGGGGACTAGAACAGCGATCCCATTGGACTTAGAGATGGTCAGCCCTGCATGCGTTGCGATCTCGCCAAGATAAGCATCAACCGTCTTAGCCACTTTTTGGGTAGCAGTGGAATAAAATTCCGTGAAATCACCGCCATAAAAAACCCCATATTCGTTTCTCCAACTCGTTCTTGCAAGCGATTGTCTTTTTAAGGAAGATTGCAGATCAGAGGAGGCCGCAGAGGAAATGAACAAAGAAAGCGACGTTTTCAGAGGGTAACAACGAGACGATCGATTGGAGAAGCTCCAACTCGTGATCGGGAAGATCAGGGTCAAATGATTTTGACCCGCTTCCCAAATGGTCATGGCGAAATCCCAGATATAATCGACAAGTATCATTGCTCGAAAGGCTTGTTTTGCCACGATATGGAAACCTTATTATACATTTGGGAATTGAAATTGAACATTGCACGTATGAAAGAAGCCCACAACACCTGAATCTCTTGCATGGAAGCTCTATCCACCGCATGCGACGAATCTCTCGCGTTGATCATCTTGATAATCATCTGCCCATTCCTACAAAATAAGACATTAGTGGAAGAGTGAGTCAGACACTATCATCGTAAAGAGTCACGAAGAACCCAAAACTCTGCGAGAAAAGAATACGGATAGAAACACCAAATTAAAGCAGGAAGTTCTTTGAAGAACATGATAAAATTGGGATGGAATCAGGGAGTTGGACAGTTGGTTGCTCTATAAAAAGGATACTAAGAATCAATGAACTAAAGTCTAAACTCGAAAAATGAACTCAATAACAAATAGGTCAAATATATATCGACAGTAAGCTGTAACTGACAAAAGAAATAACGAAAAAATAAAAGTAAAGAAAGTAATGAAAGAAAATTAATTTTAATACTTCAGAGATTACAAGTTACATATACATCTAAAGATTAAGAGCACGATTAGGTTAAGGAAAATTATTTTCGTATTTTACTTCTACAGAATCCTGCCGAGTGCCGAGTAGTTGACGAAGGGAGGGAAAATCCAGAGTGGCAAAGGCGAGCTCTCAAACAACAATGGCGACAATCAGCATCAAAGATCATCGTCTCCCCTACGATACCTATAATCTGTACGACGTCACCTGTTAGGAACGGAACAACAACAGGAACGAGGTTACCGAATCTGGAGCTGAGTCGCGGACTAGGTCGCTCTCTTTAAGACGTTCGCGGCACTGCCCTCGATGCGCACGGCAGACTATCAACCGGTCGTCTCCAGGATAAAACAGCTCCTCTGTGTACTCGCGGTTTTGTGCGAAAACCGGAGCTCTCTGAACACTCTCTCTATTGTGTTTATGCTCGTTGTTGTGTCTTTAGAGGGGCTGGGGAGGCGGCTATTTATAGGAGCCGAACCCCTAGGAATATACCCTCTTGCTTGGGGAATAAGTCGGATTAATTAAGGAAGATAATTACTTCCTTAATTAAAACCGTCGGTTAGGATAAATCCTGCGGAGATTATCCTTCGAATATTTCTTTTCAATCGATTATCCCTTGGAATATTCCTCAGAGTAACCGATTAATAATTAATTATTAAATAATTAATTTCGTTCGGAATTTCTCCAAAAAATATGTATATAGTCTCAAGCCATCCATCCATCCAACCGACCGACCGGCCGGTCGGACGGACGGACGGCGCGCGCGTGTGTGGTGGTCCGTTAGGTCCTCCCTCTCCCACAAAAGTGGGTCACCCCAAGGGGCATGCCCTTAGGAGAGAGGCTCCTATCTTTATAATCACTTCACCAAGTAAAACTACCAATGTGGTAGTTTTTCCACTTGAGACTCTATAGCTTTCAAAGCTATTCATACACATTTCCAACAATCCCCCACTTGAATAGTTTTGAAACTATCTCTGAGCATCAACAGTTCCATAAGATCGGGCATAAGCTAAGGTATCGCGAAGATTTGAACCTTAGCGTAGTGGTTACACTTCCGATTTCATAAGGGTGACTCGTAGTCTTGAACCCTATCTCAGACAGTGTAGCACACCGGATCTTTTCATTGAGTTGTGTTCTCTTCTTAGCCCGTGCGTTTATGGCCTTGCACGTTACCCTGGTTTAGTGAACGCTCTAGCAACTTTGTGCCTCTCAAAGTTCCATAGGGAGCGGCCCCACTCCCACATTCACATAGGTGAGTCTATCAGGAGTACCCCCAAAGTAAAGTACTCCACCCCACATAGGGTATAGATCTCATTAAGAGTTATTAACTCAACCTCCATTGCTTTGGGATTCATGCTTCATTATGCATGAACTTTTCGCATACTACTCATGACTTGTTATTACCCATTGAACCCATTTCTTGGGATCTCCAGTCTATTGGGTCGGGTTACCATCACTTGTAGTCCGTGGTTCGGTAGGCATAAGTCCCATACCCTTGGCGGTATTCTGGACTTTCTCTCTAGGTAATCCTTTCGTCAAAGGATCAGCTAGATTCTGTTCGGATCTTATATGATCCACCCTCACTGCTCCTATCGTTAGGAGTTCTCTAACAGTACTGTGCTTACGACGAATCTGTCGTTTCTTTCCGTTATAGAACCGGTTCTCAACTTTAGCGATAGCTGCGGTACTATCACAATGTATCAATACCGGAGGGACCGGGCTTTCCCATAGGGGAATCTCTGACAACAATCCTCTCAACCAACTTGCTTCTTCACTAGCCGTTGCTAGTGCTATCATCTCTGATTCCATAGTTGATTGAGCTAGGATTGTTTGTTTCTTTGACTTCCAAGACACAGCTCCACCAGCGATGTTAAAAACATATCCGCTGGTTGCCTTGGAGTCATCTGATAGGGTATTCCAATCCGCATCACTATACCCTTCTAGTACAGCGGGAAACCTTTGATAGTGTATACCAAGGTTTGCTGTTCTCTTGAGGTATCTCATGACCCTCTCTATAGCATTCCAATGCTCTCTACTAGGACAGCTGTTAAACCTGCCAAGCAATCCCACGACATATGCAATGTCTGGTCGAGTGTAATCCGCAGCATAACGGAGACTGCCAATGATGCTAGCATATTCTGTTTGTCTTACACTGTCTCCAGTGTTCTTGAATAGCTTTACACTAGCATCATACGGAGTACACGCAGGTTTACAGTCGAAATAGTTATACTTCTTCAAGATCTTCTCTATGTAACTAGATTGATCTAGAGAATAACCATTTGCTGTTCTAGTTATCTGGATTCCAAGCATAAACTTTGCTTCTCCCAGATCTTTCACCTCAAAGCTCTCTTTTAACATGGCTTTCGCTTCATTGACCACGTGAATATTTGTACCAAATATCAACATGTCATCTACATACAAACATATGATAGTGCAAGTGCTATTCTCTGTCTTGCAGTAAATACACTTGTCACTTTCATTCACCTTAAAGCCATGTGAGAGAACGAGAGTGTCAAACTTCTCATGCCACTGTTTTGGAGCCTGTTTCAAACCATATAGTGATTTGTCCAACTTACAGACTTTCGAGGCATGTTCAGGGATAACAAACCCTTCTGGTTGTTCCATATAGATTTCTTCATCTAGATCACCGTTCAAAAAAGCAGTCTTAACATCCATTTGGTGTACCACGAGATTGTTCAAGGCAGCAAGAGCAATCATGACACGAATGGATGTTATTCTAGATACTGGTGAATAGGTGTCGAAGAAATCTATATTCTCTCTCTGCCTGTAGCCCTTGACTACTAGGCGAGCTCGGAACCTTTCGATTGCACCATCAGGTTTCCGTTTCGTTTTTAGAACCCATTTATTACCTAAGACTTTGCAGCCAGGAGGTAAGTCTGTTAGATGCCAAGTCTTATTAGCCTCTAACGATTCCATTTCATCTATAACGGCCTCATTCCAAAAGTCTGCATCTATGGAAGTTAGTGCTTCCTGCAAACTTTTTGGATCCTCTAGGGTGTATACTGTAGTAAAGTCATCACCAAAATCTTTAGAGATTCTAGCTCTTTTACTTCTTCTGAGTTCATCCTCAGATCCAACACCCCCACTTGTTCCGTTATCTCTAATAGCGGGTAGTACATTACCCCCACTATTTCTCGTTTTAAATGGAAATCGTGTCTCAAAGAAATCAGCATCAATGGATTCTATTACTGTACGAGCATTCAAATCATAGAATCTATATGCCTTACTATTGGCCGCATAGCCAACGAAGACACATTCATATGCTCGACTAGCCAACTTAACCCTCTTAGGATCAGGAATTCTTACGTAGGCCAAACAGCCCCACGTTCTTAAATAGGACAGATTAGGTGGCTTATTCTTCAAGATCTCATAGGGTGATTCTTTTCTATTTGTTTTTGGAAGACGATTTAGCACATAGCAAACCGTCAACAAAATATCACCCCACCAAGAAGAAGCAGCTCCAGAATTGAGCATAATAGCCACAACTAATTCTGTAAATGTCCTATTTTTCCGCTCAGCTTTACCATTCATCTCTGGTGAATATGGTGCCGTGGTTTCATGAATGATACCATGTGAGCTATAGAATTCCTTGAAGGGATTAGAGTCATACTCTGATCCTCTATCGCTCCTAAGTCTTTTTATCTTTCGATTGCACTGATTTTCGAATTCAACCACAAATACCTTGAACATGTCAAGGGCTTCACTTTTGTTTTTCATCAAATAAACAAAGCAATAATCAGAGCAATCATCTATGAAAGTGATAAAGTATCTCTTGCCAGACCTAGTTAACGTCCCATCTAGTTCACAAATATCAGAATGAATCAGATCTAAGGGTTCTGATTCTCTACTCACAGATTTATGGGGCGTTTTCGTTATTTTAGCTTGGCTACAGAAATCACATTTATCAAATTCATTCATTGAGAGTTTAGGGATATGTCCTAGCTTGCTTAAATTCTTCACTATTCGTGTGTTCACATGACAAAGACGAGCATGCCATACATTCAAATCACACACCATGTAAACGGAAGAATTCATCTTATTAATTTCGACATTCAACTTGAACATCCCATTACATGCATATCCCTTTCCCACAAAACTCCCATTCTTAGTAAGAGTATACAAGTCTGCCCCAATAGATTGATTAAACCCAGCCTTATTAAGAAGATATCCAGAAACAAGATTCTTTCTTATCTCTGGAGTGTGCAACACATCCTTGAGCACCATCTTCTTCCCAGAGGTGAAGTTCAGCTCCACTTCACCAGAACCAGCAACCATAGTGGTGTGAGTAGTCCCCAACAACACTTTCTTGTCAGCAGGTGCTTCTTCGTATGTTTTAAACATAGCACGATTGTTGCATACATGCTTCGATGCACCTGTATCCAGCCACCATCCTTCTGAGTCACCGGTGAGGTTAACTTCAGCGATCATCTCTGTGATCATGGCTACCAAATCCTCTTCTGTCAAGTTAACCCTGGCCGCAGCGGCGGGGTTAGGCTTGTTCCTGCACTTTTTTGCCATATGACCCGGTTTTCCGCAATTAAAGCAGATAAACGGTGGGTCATTCTTAGAGGTTTGGGCCATGACTCTTTGGTTACCTCGAGAGGCACCATTCTGATGGGGGCGGACCTGCTGGTTCTTACCCTTAAACCCTTTCTGGTTAGGTTTAAGAGCTCTAGGGGTGGGTCGTTTAGCAGTGACGACCATCACCTCTTCTTTCATATCCTGCTTGCGGGACTCTTCCTCAATCCTTAGGCGAGTAATCAAACTTTCCAGTGAAAATTCTTTGGTTTTATGTCTAAGCATATTCTTAAAATCTTTCCACGAAGGGGGCAGCTTATCAATAATGCAAGCAACTTGAAATTGATCGTCCAGAGGCATACCTTCAGAGACGATCTCGTGAGCTATTTTCTGAAGTTCGTGGGACTGAACTTCGACAGACTTGTCGTCCACCATCTGGTAGCGCAGGTAACGGCTGACAGCATACTTCTTAGCTCCAGCCTCCTCCGTGTCGTACTTCTTTTGGAGCGCATCCCAGACCATCATTGCGGTGTTCTTGCTGTCCGCATAGTAGTCGTAGAGGTCGTCTGCCAGGCCGTTGAGGATGTAGCCCTTGCATAGGAAGTCATGCTCCCTTTCCTTAGCAGCAGCAGTCCTCTCCTCATCGGTCGCTTCTTCCGGCAGCTCGACGGGCATGCTAGTGAGGCAATGTGCCAACTTCTTGGTCGTCAGGTAAAACTCCATCTTTTGTTTCCAGCGACGAAAGTTGACTCCAACGAAGCGAAACGGTCGATTGATATCGACAGCACCAGATCCGGCCATGTTGTTCTGTTCAGTCGACATTGCAGCAGCCGAACGTCTTAAAATTGTTAGGAACGGAACAACAACAGGAACGAGGTTACCGAATCTGGAGCTGAGTCGCGGACTAGGTCGCTCTCTTTAAGACGTTCGCGGCACTGCCCTCGATGCGCACGGCAGACTATCAACCGGTCGTCTCCAGGATAAAACAGCTCCTCTGTGTACTCGCGGTTTTGTGCGAAAACCGGAGCTATCTGAACACTCTCTCTATTGTGTTTATGCTCGTTGTTGTGTCTTTAGAGGGGCTGGGGAGGCGGCTATTTATAGGAGCCGAACCCCTAGGAATATACCCTCTTGCTTGGGGAATAAGTCGGATTAATTAAGGAAGATAATTACTTCCTTAATTAAAACCGTCGGTTATAAATCCTGCGGAGATTATCCTTCGAATATTTCTTTTCAATCGATTATCCCTTGGAATATTCCTCAGAGTAACCGATTAATAATTAATTATTAAATAATTAATTTCGTTCGGAATTTCTCCAAAAAATATGTATATAGTCTCAAGCCATCCATCCATCCAACCGACCGACCGACCGGCCGGTCGGACGGACGGCGCGCGCGTGTGTGGTGGTCCGTTAGGTCCTCCCTCTCCCACAAAAGTGGGTCACCCCAAGGGGCATGCCCTTAGGAGAGAGGCTCCTATCTTTATAATCACTTCACCAAGTAAAACTACCAATGTGGTAGTTTTTCCACTTGAGACTCTATAGCTTTCAAAGCTATTCATACACATTTCCAACATCACCTTCTTCACCGACGAAATCCACACCCTCGTCACCCAAATCCCCGGTCCCCTCCACCAATGGATCCTCGAAACCACCCACCAGCAGCAGCAGCGGACCTCCAACTCATCTGCCGCTGCAGCCGTGCAAGTGGTGGTTGGCCTGGACGTGGAGTGGCGCCCCAACTTCAGCCGCAACAGCGACAACCCAATCGCGACCCTCCAGCTTTGCATCGGCAACAGGTGCGTTATCTTCCAGCTCATCCACTCCCCCTCCATCCCGCAATCCCTCTTCGATTTCCTCCGGAGCAAGGACTATGTCTTCGCTGGCGTCGGAATCCACAGCGACGCGAGGAAGCTGTTGAAGGATTACGGGCTGAAAGTGGCGAACGTGGTTGACCTGAGGCTACTGGCGGCGAAAACGCTTGGAGTGAAGGCGCTGAAGAACGCGGGACTGAAGCAGCTGACGAAGGAGGTGCTGGGGAAAGATATCGCGAAGCTCAAGACAGTACAGATGAGCAGGTGGGACAACTTTTGGCTCACTCCTCCCCAAGTTCAGTATGCCTGCCTTGATGCCTTCTTGTCTTGTAAGATTGGGGAAACTCTCATGGCTACCGCAGCTGGTAGTGGTGGTGCTTAGTCCCGTTTTTTCTACTGGAATTTGAGGTTAAATATGACGTGGGGCTTAGGGTTTTCCAATGCCGTGATTGTGAATGAATTCGAATCATGATTGAAGTGTGAATGAATGTGTGTGAATTTTTCTTACTTCACAGTTCACTGGATGCAGTTTGGGAGGGTTTTGTTTGTTCTTCCATAAGCTTTCTCGAGTCATTAATTAATTGTCTTGGCGGTCCAATCATAACACAAACACTTTGTCAGTAACTTGCTTTCGTGCGATGATCACTCTATGAAGATCTTGCTCGAGTTCTGATAATCTTCCCGTTTGAAGTAAATAAAGAATAAGGGTTGTCTTCGATCAAGAAAAAGAAGAAGGGCTATCCCCATTGGCTTACCTACATCACATATTGATGCTGAAGAATCCGTTTTTTTTTTTTGGTTGGCGTTCCCTCCCTTGGCTTGCAGTGCATGCATAATTTTCTTTTGGGGAAGCCCAACCGCTTCCTCTTCCACTTATGAAAAAAGGGCAGAGAGCCGGAACTGCTTGCCTCTTCCACTACTTATCTCTCAACTGATACAAGGAAGTAGTATCCGTTTAGTATTGAGGATAATCGTCTTCTCTGTCACAATCTCCTTCGTTTAACCACTCTCTCTCTTCTATCCTCTGCCTTTCTCTTCAGTACATCTCTCATTTTGCTATACATATTATCTGAGCTCTATTCGTAAGAGAAAGGAGAAACAGAGGAAGAAGAAGGTATGAGTTGAAGGTTTGGACTTGATAGACAACTAATGTAGAATTCCTTTTTGCTCTTCTTCTGAGTTTTAACTGCTTTATGCAGGAAGAACCACGACCTGCAGTGGACTACTTTTTATGTAACGAGATAGCAAATACAGTAAAGACTTTTTTGTGAGGATGAGGCAGGTAAGTACCTCTAAAAAAGGTGTCATCCATGAAGATCTTGCTCGAGTTCTGGCACAAGTTGAAGCTGAGCTTGACAAGTTTAAGGATTTACCTGATGGTGACACCATTCTCTTTGAGAAAGCGAAATGGAAGGTATACTTATTTTGTTTCCTATGTTTTTGGTTTCTCACTTCTCCACGGGTTATGAGCTGGATACATCTAACTCATTTATGTGTTCTGTGTTCTCTGTATTCCTACGTTTCCTTTCGACAACAATACCAGATTCTTCTTAGTGAGAACTTTAGGACCTCATTTAAGAAGCTGGACTCTTCTGAGATGAAGAAGTTGGTGCTCAATCTATTGCTGAGGCTTTCCTTTGGGTTGAGGCCTAGAAAAAGAAAAATAGATATAGTCTGTGAGAACTCAAAGCAGATTCTCAAACATTTCCGTGTTAGAGATGTGTATGTTTTATGCTCAATTGACATCGTAAAGGACTCGGGCTTGTGTAACCAAGTCCTCAAGATCTGGGATATAATGCCGTTGGTGGACGTGCCGGTTTTGGTTAAGCGACTTGATGCTATCTACGCATTGCACTCTGAGGAGTATTTGAGTCGTTGTAAGGAAAAGTCCTTTGAAGGGTAAGCATGTATTAACGGTATAAAGTGATATTTTTTTTATCTCTCAGTTTTCCACTCTTCAGCGTTTTAAATGTTACTCTTGGTAACAGCTTTCTGGAGGTTCCCAAGAGTTGGGATTGTGACGTTGCTCATTACAAGAGCACTACTAATGCCGAAACTGGAGGTCATCACAGGGGCGATGCATTTTCTGAGAATTACAGTAGTGATAGTTTGATGCTTATGAAATTCTATTCTTTATCTTCTGGCATCATCTGGCACTTGCTTTCTGGATGTGATGGTCAGGAAGTGGATTTCCCATTTGAGCTCTCAGACCAAGAGAAGGAAATAGTTCAATTTGGTAAGAGCTCCTTCGTACTTGGTAGGTCAGGCAGCGGGAAAACCACAGTGTTGGTTATGAAGTTATTTCAAAGGGAACAGCTTCATCACATTGCACTTCGAGGATATCATGAGCAAAGTGATGCAGTAGAAACGGATGAACAAAATGTGCTGAAACAACTGTTTGTGACAGTAAATCCAAGGTTGTGCCACTTCGTCAAGCAGAATATTTCTCGCCTGAAAAGGTAAAGATGATTGTTACTGCACAGGGTACAGATTTAAATGTGTGTTCTGTGATCTTGACCCTCTTCTTTCTTGTTGGCTTTTGTGCATACAGGTCCACTTGCGGATGGAACCTGTCTGCTGAAAGCTGTGAATTTGATCTGGAGGAAATTGATGAGACATTCCTTTCTTCGGACTTCCCAGATTCTTTTGTTGATATTCCATCAAGTTTCTTCCCCCTCGTTTTAACTTTTAAGAAATTCTTACTAATGCTCGACTGCACGATGGGAGTCTCCTTTTTTGATAGATTTCCTGAAGCCAGGGCATGTCAACCTGAGAAAAGGAAGAACTCTAAGTCCTTGACTTTGCAAACTTTTATCAGGACAAGGGAGGTCAATTATGAGAAATTTAGTTCATCGTATTGGCCCTACATGAACGTGAAACTAACCAAGAGGGTTGAGCCATTCCTTTGTTTCACTGAGATAACTTCTCATATCAAGGGTGGATTACTAGCTTTAGAGGCGGCTGGTGGTCATTTGAGCCGTGAGGATTATCTATCACATTCTGAGCGTAGGTTATCTTATCTCACTGAGCAGGAAAGATGCAGGATATATGATATTTACCTTGAATATGAGAAGAGTAAAGTAAAAAATGGTGAGTTTGATTTGGCTGATTTTGTCAGCGATATACATGTCCGGCTCAGAGTGGAAGGGTATAATTTTGCTGAAATGGACTTTGTATACATTGATGAAATTCAAGATTTAACAATGAAGCAAATTGCTGTTTTCAAGCATGTTTGCAGAAACTACGAGGAGGGTTTTCTCTTCGCCGGAGATACTGCTCAGGCGATTTCAAAAGGAGTTGAGTTCAGATTCAAGGATATAAGGTCCCTGTTCTATAAAACCTTCGCAATGGATTCCGGTCGTTTTGGAAGTACCAGCACCAATACAAAGCGAGAAATCTCTGATGTTTTACATTTGAGTCAGAACTTTCGAACACATGCTGGGGTTCTTAGGCTAGCTCAAAGTGTTATTGATCTGATATACCATTTCTTCCCTAATTCCATTGACGAATTGAACCCTGAAACCAGTCATGTGAATGGGGTAAGACCTGTTCTGCTTAAGTCTGTGGACAATAGGAGCGTATTCAAGTCGATGTCTGAGGTCCTTTTTGCTGGGCAGAAGAAAAGTGTTGAGTTTGGGGCTGAACAGGTGGTACTTGTTAGAAATGAAGAAGTCAAGAATGATGTTCTTGGTCAAGTGGGGTGCTGTGCACTTGTTTTGACAATATTGGAGTGCAAAGGCTTAGAGTTTGAGGTTAGAGCACACTCTTGTTACGTGCATATATTACTACCCTTTTGCAGTTTTCATATCGATTCTTTTCATAGTATTATATGAACGTGCCATGAGATTTGACAGGTGCTCCAATATTCATACATCTTTATACAGGATGTTCTGCTCTACAACTTTTTTGGTTCCTCGCCCGTCGTAGATCAATGGGAGTTACTCCATGGATACATGAGGACACTGAACATTTCATCACCTCATGATGAATGTCATTTTCGGCACTTCAGTGATGAGAAGCTGAAGTTATTGTGTCATGAGCTGAAGCTACTATATGTAGCTATAACTCGCACAAGGCAAAGGTTCTGGATATTTGATGAAAGCTGGAGCCCAATGCTGGAATTGTGGAAGTGTAAGGGGATCGTCCAGCTTCAGCACTTGGATAATGAATTTTTAGCATCGATGCGAGTTCCTTCAACTCCAGAGGCATGGAAGAAGCGCGGAAGGAAGGTCCGATTGATCTCTGCTTAGAAGATATGCCTCTGTTTTGTTCCATCAACTCAGTTCTAAAAAGGTGTTTTTTGCTGTTATCCAGTTCCTTCATGTACAGAACTATGAAATGGCAAGAATCTGCTTCAAGAATGCAGCTGAACCATACTGGGAAACATATTGTCAAGCTTCCGAGTTGAGAGCCAAGGCTGATCGATTGAGGATTTTGAATCCTCAAATTTCCCAACATCATCTGTTTGAAGCTGCTGAACTATTTGACTCAATTGGAAAGGATGAATCTGCAGCCCAATGCTACTTCGAGTTGGAAGAATACAAAAAAGCAGGTAGGACTAATTTCTCCTCTCTTAATCTCTCTCTGTGCATAATCCATGATTTCCACCTGTTTTATCCCTAGTTTCAAGTTGAAACTGCATCTATAACACCCATAATTTGCAGGTGAAATTTTCTTGGCGTCCTCAAAACTAGAGGAAGCAGGTGAATGCTTCCATCTTGCAAGGTCTTACGAAAAAGCTGCAGCAGTCTATTCTAAGTGCAACTCATATGGTAAGTGCTTATCTGCATGCCTGGACGGCAGATTATTTGAAACTGGATATGACTACATTCAACGCTGGAGGAAGGATAAAACTTTCGATAGTGTGGAATTCGAGAGATTCTTAGAGAAAGGTGCAGTTCATTTTCGTAGGGTGGAAGACTATGAAACCATGATGATGTTTGTTGGAGCTTTCACTTCCAATGACCTAATGCGCACATTTTTAGTGGTCAGAAATGAACTTGATTGTCTTCTCGATTTGGAGGAGGAATGGGGCAACCATCCCGAAGCAGCGAATATTGCAGGGCAATTAGGTCTTGTCACAGTATCAGCGGATCATCTTAAGAGTCTAGGAAAATACCTAGAAGCTTGCCATGCTGTTCTGCGTCATGTACTTGGTGAGTCACTTTGGGGAGATGGAAATAACGGTTGGCCGATCAAAGATTTCAAGGGCAAGAAGCAGTTATTGGGCCAAGCTAAAACCTGTGCTGAGCATGTTTCAGAAGCTTACGTGGGATTTGTTCGTGAAGAGGCGGCCTTTTTATCCTGTGAAAACAGTAATAGCTTGTCACTGCTGAGAAATCGTTTTGAATTTTTTCAGGGGCATGGCAGCTTACGAAATGAAATTCTTTGTGCTAGAAAGATTATTGATGTGTTATCCCACGATGTTTTGGTTGCTGACATAGTGAACTATACCAGATATGGCCGCCCGTGGCAAATGCTTTCTTTCCGGGATCTGGTGTTCTATTGGAAGTCGTGGAAGGGGAGCATGGGCCAAATTATTTCCCACTGTAAAAAAGACGGTAGTTCTTATAATGAGTTTTGTCTGGATTACCTAGGTGTTAGGGAGCTACTGAGTGGCAGCTTATCTCGATACCATGTTCTTTATCCTGATGCACCATGGTTGAGTGGTTCTGTCATCTCCAGAAGCTTTCAGAACCAAAAGAAACGAGTTATTATTGACAGTCGCACATTCTGGAGAGCTGCTAAAGCCTACTGGTCTTCTGAAATTCGTGTGGTTGGTTCAGAGGTGCTGCAAAGACTTGAAACTGTATATGAGTATTGTGTCCAGAATCGTCTGTCGATATACTGCAGAAGCATGCTACTAGTACATATGCTCGATCTTTCCAGTCTCTTTCCACCCAAACTCACAGACATGGCAAGAAGGTTTGCTGAGCATTATATAGAGAATGTACTGAACATTCATTTTCTTGAGTGGCATGATTCATGGAGGAATGATATGATCAACACAAGAGGGGTAGAAGAATTCAGAGTCCCATTGGAGGAAATCATGCATCTTTACTTGGAAAATTCTCTCACAACATGTCGTATTGCAGAGGTTACAACAATTGCCCTCTCGACAAAGCTGTCTCGTCCGAATCTAGAGATGCTTCTCATTAACTTGAAGGAAAAGGCAGTTGGCTCATTGCACGTTGATCAAATTGTGGGACCTCTGGAAGTTGGAATTATGCCCGAGGTAGATGAAATCGTAGCAGAGCAGTGTATGGTTTGGAAACTGCAGCAAACAGTTCTACGCATGTACTACAACATGTTTGAAAATGCAGAAGAGACCCTGTCTCCAAGTTGTCTAGTGTATCTGCTAGACCGATTGCTAATGATGACATTGGCTTGGAACGGCTGTTTCTACGCTCCAAGATCTTCTGTGGTTGAATGGCTGATGTACAACAGATGGAAGAATCCCTCCTCAACATCCATTATTGCCGAAGAAACCCAGCCTACTGTGGATGCAGCTACAGGACTGGTATCCTGCATAGTCAAAGACCTCTTTAACAATGAGGTTCTAGTCTTGGAATGCCATCCAGCAGTGGTGCTAAGGCTGGTGGTCCTAGTCGGCATGCTTAGCATCAACACTGGCAAGAGTTGCGATCTGGTTCCCCGCATCTTGGGAAAAATAGGTATTACTTCAATGTTACCTTCAGAGTTTTACAACCGTTTGAGCTCCTTGTGGAATCGCGAGGAAGCAAGCCATGGAGGTGTTGAAGCTTTTTCGGACGCACTACATTTGGTTGGCAACCCTCTTGTATGTGTGGACTTGAAGGGAAGCGGATGCCCCAAATCTAAACCCTCGAGTGCCATTTTCTTGGACATGAAAAAGCTGTGTGATCAGAAGCAAGAAATTTTAATGACGCTCAGCCCAAGGAGAAACAAGGCAGCATCAAGTAGCAGACGAGGAAAGGAATGAATTCGAAGCAGTAGGGTAGAGGTTCATGCTGCTGTTCTTTTGTGAAACAAACGTTATCTGAAGAACGTTACAAAGTTAATGGACTTTTACATTATGTTTGTTAATTGTTCTCTGCTTGAATGTGAATATGCAGCTAGCGTATGCTCAATGACGATGAGGAACAGGACTAAAAACAGCCGGCCCAGGTAATTAGTCACGTGGTATTAGTGTGATATTTCTGGTGGCACAGAAATAGAATAGCTGAGATGAGAGTCGAACGATGCATATACAGAGAGATCGCCCACCAAATTGAGCACCTTTTTATTGTGCTCATTGCAAGAGAGAGTTGTATCCATCGAAGCAAGCTAAGGAAGGCAACATGGATTGGTAGTATAAGACAGGCAAAAACCAGATGAATAGATACGTACGTCGGTAACCATACCCTCTTCGCCGGTTGCATACACAAACAGAACTCACACCTGGCTGCAGCCGGGACTTCTCCGTGAATGATAATCCGGCCAGCAAAAACACAAGCAATGCCCTTGGGCATGGGCACAGGCTCTTTCCTTTCCTATAATCCACCCAAATGATGATTAATAATATATATTAGATTAGGTGTCTACACACTGTTGTCGCCTCTGTAGACTTTGAAGCTCATGTCCTATATATATATACTAGTTCTTATTTGCCCGCGCTCCGCGCTGGGACATGAGACATCAAAATATACATAGTGATGTAGAAAAAAATATTCTGCATTATGAATATCAAAATTCACAACAAACACCTGCATATATCATAGATAAAATGTTGGTCACTTTAACATCACAACGATTACTTTCAAAACCCATTCAAATAGAGTGAGTCCTGTTTATTTGACAGACTGGCAACTAAAGTAAACAAAAATGGAATCTATAAGTGAAAATACAACACCCGTGCAAATAGAGTGAGTCCTGATTTATAGGTTGTGTTTTACATTGATTTAAAGGTAACGCAAACTAAAGCTAACTTGATAACAGAAAGGAATTGTATATGGTAATTATCCGAAGCAACAAAATTGTCCTTGGCATTTTCTTAGAGAAAGAAAAATAAAAATGGATAAGATTCGATTGACCACAATGCAAAACGATACATTGGTTCACCCATGTTTCATTGGTCGTGCTAAAGAATGGCCATGGTTTCATCAACGCAAACGCTTAAGATAAACCCAAGAAATAAAATAAAAAGTAACTTTGGGAATTCCTCAAACATTATCTAGCACATCATATATTAGAGAAAAAATTATATCGTTACAGCACCATTACAACTCAGCGTATGACAATTTGTATAAAAAATACATATTAGCAGCACTAAATATGCCCTGGATAAAATCCCAAGCAGCCTATTTCAATGCATTCAGACAATTTGTTTACCTAGAATCCGCAGTTCATCCTTTGTTGGCATCTTAAACCTTCTGAACGGATCTTCTAGTGATGTTGTTAACTCCAACTGCAAACAGATTTCTAGTTCATAGTCTCTCTCACCCCGTGGCAGTAGGTGTCATCCATGGCAGAAAATTATAGGCACTCGATTGAATACTTGCATCCTGATGGTCTCACTTTCAATTTAGAGTTACAACCCCTACCAAATCCGTGGTCTCATATACAAACGTTGTGCTAAACTGAAAGAGGTTACAATCTCAATGAAACATCACAGTTAGCAGATTCAAAAGCAAATCTACCACATTGCAGAGGTTTAGGACCATAAGAAGAGAAGGATAGGGGGCTGGTGAGAGAGAGATGATGACAAAGACCCACAGCATTATATCATGGATGCTCTAAGAATCACGCATAGGCTTTCCTTTTGCAGATTTATATCCTTGTAGTACAAAACCCAGCTGCACAAATCAAAATATTGAAGACAAACCAGGGTGTGTCAACGACAAATTATAATCATTGAGATGAACTTTAGTTAAGAGAACAAAAAACTGAGGGCGCTAAATCTTTAAAAGCCCAGAAAGTAATTGCATAATTTTCAAACGCAAACCTGCAGATTTGATGTGTCTGAACTTTCATAAAAACACATATCCATTGATCAACCTTGAGTTCCATTCGTCTCCAAGTGTAAGGTGGAAGAAAATAGGACAAATAAGTGAACCTTCATTTTGAATTGACCGACAGGAAAAAGCGAGAAAGGATACAGACCGGCGACCATGAGGGCGGATACGATTCCCCTTTCGAGCGAACATGCATCTTCTCGAATCCACTTTCCAGATCCCTTCTACTTTTAATTAGTTCTCTTCTTTCCGAAAGATCCATTGCAATCAACCACCAGGCTCTGAGATAAATAAATAAAAAAGAGAAGTTGGATTATGAAGCCTGATGTTAGGAAGAAGAGAAGTCATTGTAAATTTGTAATATTACCCTGATTTATGAGCAAGTCCATGATCACCCAGCCTCCTAGCATTGACGGCTAGATCTGAATACTCCTTCACCTTGACAGTCCTTATCTACACAACAACCACAAACCCATAATCATCAAAAATAAATCTGAATTTAAATAGAAATTGAGCTGATTTGGGTTGTCCGTCAAACACATGACTCGACGACCACCAGCACCAGTGAAAGCTGAACAGTTTCAAACTCTTTTAACTCATCGCTGGCCTCGCAGATCTGAGAAAAAAGGGAAGATAAACGTGAGTTAATTGCAAGCAAAGCCAATAAGAACAAATCGAGACTACTTTTCTTTGGGTTCCTCGGAGAGAAACTGATTCCCCAAAACCGCCACGGATCTACAGTTTACGATTGTCTTCTTTACCAAATGAGGCGGTCGAGCGACCTGTGTTACTGTGGCTTCATCTAGGCAGAAACGGATTCCCGAACAATCATAGTCCCCGCAGGCGATCATAGTTCCCGACGGGCGATCGACGACTCTGAGATCAGTCAGATCACTGCTCAAAGCGGTGGAGTATAGAGTAGCGAGAGGAGAGTGAGAAAGAGAGAGAGAGAGAGAGAAAGGCATGCCTGAGTTGTTTTCGGCCTCGCCGACCTTATTTCAGTACAGAGAGAGAGAAAGGTAAACATCGAGGGTTGTGCCGGGTAGGTTAAATGAGTGGATCAAACGGAAAGACAAACGTAGCGCATAGATTCACCAAGTAACCCCAACAAAATATCTGTAGCCCACTCCCCAGCTACCTCAGCGGTTCAGCCTCTCCCTAACTGGACACAGTTCTCGATAAAAGCAGCAAAAGGTAGTGGCCTTCCTAGTTGCGTGAAGGGTAAAATAGTTTGATGAGCGATCAATGCGGGCGAGGGTAAAGAGAGGGCCCACAAGCGATCAAAATCGCCTCCAACCAGCAGTCCAAACGTAACTAACCTACCGCAATCCCATCAGGAACCAATCAGTGCTCCCCTGCACCTGTCCACACCCAAGCCCCATCCCAGTTGTAACAGAAACTATGAGTCACAATGTGCAGTGAAAGGTCTCTGCATGTACAGTAAATGATCCATTAGTGGGTTTTCTTCTTTCAATATATATAATATATATAAAAAAGGGGATTTTCCATGGTTGGTTTTCCTAGGGTGGATGGAAGAAATTACGAGGAAACTTTGTCCTGTCTCATCATACACCATCGATATTTATCAAAACATGTGCCTGGGAAAATAAAAATGTTCATATTCATATCCAACCAGATACTCATTGGGCAATTGTATAGGATCGACCAAAACTACCTTCTTCTATATGTAACTTAGCTAAGGGGTTAAGTGCTACAACCAAAACCCCAGGAAAAAATGTCAACCATATGTATTTTCCCACATACATTTCATTAGCTTGTTTGTATGATGGATTTGGTGAGGGATTTGGGTCATCTTCCTCCACGCCTTTCCCCTGTGCCTTCACCCTTCAATATATTTAATAAGAGTGTTAAATTCTACAGGTTGCATTGAATACCAGAGGTTTCATTTTTTCCAACGCTTATGAGGTTAGCAAGCTAATGCACCCTGTTATTGGGATTGAACTCGGATTTTGGATGAGGGGATTAATAGCCTACCATCTTATCATTCACTACCTAATTACCATATATGATCCACACTTTATAAGCTAAAACCAAATATTTAGGAGGGGGTTAATTGCATGGTTGGTCACTAAGATTACAAAAAACGTTCATGTTTGGTCACTAGAAATATTTAAATCCACTTTTGGTCACTAACTTTACAAAACCCGTTCACTTATGGTCACTCTCCGTTAGCTGCCGTCCAACGCCGTTAACGGCGTCCGTTAAGTGATGACGTGGCTGACGGATTCGCCTAATAAGCACCTTTTGACCCTAAAATTGACTTACCTGACCCGTCACGTCATTTAAACCCTCCATGTCAGATAAACCTAACCAAACCAGACCCGACCCAACCCACCAACAGAAATGACCCACCCGCCACTAAACAAAACCTAATTTCTAAAACTCTTCAGGCCGCTTCTCCATCCCGCGCCGCCTTCATCTTTCCCATTTTTCTTCCTCTCCACTCGTTTCATCGGCGACGAAGGAGGAATGGAGCCCGCCGATGAAACCTCTTCACACCATCACTGTTCCATTTCTCTCTCGATCGCCTCTGTTTTCTCTTCCCCCTGTTCTGTCCTTGGACAAAACAGAGTGAAAGAAGAAAAAAAAAGCTCCAACACCCAAGTAGATTGGAATGAATTTCCCCTCTTCCACACTTGTCTCTGGTTCGAGTTTCCCATTTTCGATTCCAACCCATCAAAGTATGAAGGATTTCACCTTCTGGGTTTTCATTTTTCTTGGGACTTAATAGTTAAGAACCATGGAAGATCAATGTTCAAAAGTGTCCAACTTTTTTCTCTCCCCTGTTTTTCACCGTACCCCATTGAAGGAAGCAAGCAGCTCCTTTTTTGCTAATGAACAATTGAGTTTCCCGAAACCAATCACCCAAAGGCCAAAACACACAAAAGGCGCTACCTTTTTATGCTTTTTGGAAAGACAAAGTTTCATTTTACAAGTCGGAGCTTTCTGAGTTCGCAAAACCCTTACATGCCAAATTGGATAGAGAATCCAGCATCAGAAAGTCATTGGTCCAATTCATCACCGAATGATTCAGTTCCATTCAGTCGTGGATTCTCCACTCGTTCCATTCAGTCATTGTAGTCAACCACACTGTGTGGCGGGCTCCATTCCTCCTTCGTCGCCGATGAAACGAGTGGAAAGGAAGAAAAATGGGAAAGATGAAGGCGGCGCGGGATGGAGAAGCAGCCTGAAGAGTTTTAGAAATTAGGTTTTTTTAGTGGCGGGTGGGTCGTTTCTGTTGGTGGGTTGGGTCGGGTCTGGTTTGGTTAGAGGTTTGGTTAGGTTTAGCTGACATGGAGGGTTTAAATGACGTGGCGGGTCGGGTCAGTTAATTTTAGGGTCAAAAGGTGCTGATTAGGCGAATCCGTCAGCCACGTCATCACTTAACGGACGCAATTAACGGCGTTGGACGGCAGCTAACGGAGAGTGACCATAAGTGAACGGGTTTTGTAAAGTTAGTGACCAAAAGTGGATTTAAATATTTCTAGTGACCAAACATGAACGTTTTTGGTAATCTCAGTGACCAACCATGCAATTAACCCATTTAGGAGGATATATATAACTCACCCTAGTGTACACACTAGCTCCACCACTGATCATTATGCTATGTTAACCTATTCAATGCAGCCAAAATCGTAATTTTATATATGAGCATTTTGGTGACTAGAAGCGTACGTAAAACAAAAGCTATTAATCTTTAAAGCGTGGAATTTGACTGCAATTGTATGTGTAAAGCGCGATTCTACATAGAAGTGTTTTGGTGATTTAAAAAAGTTTAAGTGTAATCTTTTAAAATGTAAAACGCGAGTTTGACCTAAAGTTGGCTTGTTCCGTTTCATAAGAGAATGAGGCCGGCCGGTCTTCTACCCATTAAACTAAGCTAACCTGAACCAAACCGATCTCGTTAGGAGGTTGGCTATTTAATTAAGTATGGCAACCGAACCAATTTTCTAGTTTCTTGGCGCTGTAATGTAATTACCTCATCAATTGGTTGTTGATATTTACAAAGCGGCCGGGATCATCTTAATTTACTTTAATTAAAATCAATTGCAATTAGAAGTTAGGAGGCTTTCGATCTGCTGATGCATATATTTGTCGGGTTATTTTTGTCAAAATCCTTTAACCCCTTGCAAGACTAGTGCTTATATATAGCTTGTTAATCATTCATTCATTCATTCTTTCTTTCCTCCGTCGACATATTGTCTTAATCAATATATAAAAGGGAGAGAGAGGGTGTGGTTTATTATTTTGTTGGGGAGGGGATGTTGTTTTCATCCATACTAATTAATTTTCTGCGCAGTTGCCAAAATCCATCCCCGGCCGCATAATTATATAATTGTGTATTATTGCAATACAGTACTAGCTAGCTAGCTAGCTAGCTCCTTAATTTGTTATATAATCTAAGCAATCTGAGACACCTATGGGTACCCAAGCAGTGTCAAACCAGGCTGCAGCAGGCCATCGTCATCACCAGCACCAGCAGCAAGAACAAATTGTGGTTGATCCTTTCACAAGTTACTCAAACTACTTATTGCTGCCTGAGAAGCATCCACCTAATTCATCATCTTCCCTTGTCATCACTACTACTGCCAAGCTCCACCGGATGGACTGCCACGATCTTCATCATGATCATCAGTACTTGTCTTCGGAGGAAGTGATCCGAATCGCCGGAGCAAGGTACCTCAGCAGATCTACTTCATCATCATCTTCTCATGATGACTTGTCCAACATGTTGACTTGTAATTCTGACGACGAGGTTTCCCAAGAAGCCATGAAAATGGTGGATCTGGTGGAGAACCTTGTAGCCGCCTCCGATAGAGTAGCCCGCAACGACTACGACCAAGCCGCCGCGCTTCTCAAGGAGTGCAAGAGGTCCTGTTCCGCAGCAGGAAACGCCATCCAGAGGTTGGTTTTCTATTTCTCGGAAGCCCTGCAAGAAAGGATGATCAATTCGCAAACCCCACGCCCACCAGCTGGAGGTTGGTCTTCATCTTCATCTAGTGTAGATAGGCACATCCATCAGCTAGCGAGTTGCCTTCCGATGGGCGTAGCATCACAATTCGCCGGGGTACAATCCATCGTGGACGAGGTCACCACCGGGGGGCCCAAAAGGAAAAGGGTTCACATCATCGACCTCTCCCTCAGAAACGGTGCTCAATGGACCATCCTCATGTCGGCCCTAGCTGCTTCTTCCTCTCCACCTCAACGTCTCAAGATTACTGCCGTCGGGTCTCAGCTGGATGATTCTAGTTCTAGTTCTAGGCAGAAGCAGATGATGGAGGAAACGGGGAACAGGCTAGCCAGTTTCGCCGCGACCTTGAACATGCCCTTCTCCTTTCACATAGTCATGGTATCAGAGCTCTCCGATCTCAAGGTCCACATGTTAGGCCTGCATGCTGACTACGACGATGAAGAAGAGGAGGAAGCCGTGGCGGTGTACTTGGATTACGTGCCGAGGAAGCTGATTAGGTCACCAACCGAATTCGACAAACTCATGGGAACGATCAAGAGCATAGATCCTGATGTGGTGGTGGTGACCGAGGTGGAGGCCAACCACAACTCCCCGGCGTTTGGGTCCCGCTTCATGGAGGCGCTCTACTTCTTCAACGCCTACTTGGACGCGACCCAGGCCTACTTCGATCATGACTGCAACTGCAGGATGGCTGTGGAGTCGGTGTACTGTGGGGAGAGCATAAGGAACATTGTGGCCTGCGAGGGGGAAGAGAGGGTCGTGAGGAACGTGCCACTTCGAGCCTGGAGGCTCTTCTTCAAGAGGTTTGGAATGGTGGAAGTTGAGATGAGCTCGTCTTGCTTCCACCAGGCCAGGCTTGTCATTCACAATCACAATATTATTAATGCTGGGTGCCGGGATTTGTGTACGGTGGAGAGGGATGGTGACAAGAGCTTGGTTCTTGGATGGAAAGGCACTCGCCTGCATTCGGTTTCTGCTTGGAAGTTCACCACATAGATCCAACACGTACGGAGGGAGGATTAATTAGTCATGCATGTACGTGTTTTAAATTTGGTAATTAGCTAGAGATCAACATCATATGCATTCATGCATATATGTCGAGTTAATTAAGCTAGCGGAGAAGATGAATAAAATGTAGCTAGCTAGGTTTATGTTATATAGGTAATATATCTATACGTAACGTATGAATTTACATACTGAGTGGAGTTTTTCTGAAGATGAAGAAGAAGCAAGGGTTTATGATTTGTGCAATATTGGCAAAGGGAGACAACGTAGTGAACCAGTTGATGTTGGTAATTAAGCCATATGGATGATGAATGTTGATTTTATTAATCACGAGTTTGATGGATAAATTCTATATTGCCTTTTTCATTTTGAAAAAAAAGCTCCTCAAATTTAAGAAAAATCCACAAACGAATACACATGTATAAAAAATTAAACCTTATCAAACCACTCTCCAAATCACATGCCCGCGCGCCTTGATAATGGTACATATGGATATTGTAAATGAAAGAAATCTTCAATTCTAATATTGAAATATATGTCTCCTTCATCCCCTCCCCCGATTACCTCAATTTTTAAGCTGATTATTAGATTGTTAAATCTTTTATTTTAGAATATGAGATGTCTAAAGGACATCTCGAGCTGGTATATATGGAATACTATAAGGCCAATGACTATAGTATCATACAATAACCAATAATGCATCTTAATCTCATGGAGACCTAAAGCTTATTGCATTCCCAATAGACATGAGAGATATCAACCTCCCATTGTTGTTGCATGAGCTTGTGAAACTCTTGTATCAAATTGTGGTATCTGCTATTACTTTCTGTTTGCTTTGTCATTAAGAGTGAGCGGGTTTAAGGAGTCAATCCGGAGTTGGATTTTCCTGTGGCCTTAACTCCATGCTAGCTGCAATTCGTAGAGTACTCTTTTTTGACTTTGTCCTTGTAATAGTACATGTTCCAAGATTCGTCATGAAGGGTCACAAGCATCGACCCAAATGGTCTCTAATTAGTAAAAGATTTAGTAATTGTACATTAGTTGGACTAATTAGAGACCACATGTGGACTTTGAACTGTGTTGTAAAACAGAGCCATCAGTGTTGGTCGTAACCCATCCGAGCATAGGGGGCACGATTAATTACTAAATCTTTTATACATCAATGAATCTACCAATAAATGGTTCATATTTTGAATATCTCCATAACTTGTTGTAATTTTGATGAATAAAAGCTCATTGTTATATGGTTGACTTCGATGAGCTTGTCGATCACATAATTGATTAGATCTAAAACTCCCAGCAGGTGAACAAGAATAGCCCTTTTGTAGAGGAGACATGAATTGTCTCCTTTCAATCAACAGAATTGCTAGATCCAAAGCGATCATATGTATAAGTAACAAACAAAACCACACACCGGCAAAAGAAAATGTATATGTTTGACAATTGGCACAACGTATTTAACCCTTCTTTTGTATATTTAGCGTTGACATTAATGGAAAAGGTCAACTGGAGATAGATCGCTAAGCTAGCTACTATATTATATTATATTATATTATATTATATTATATATTGATGGACGTGATGATTTAGGATATCAGCCATATAGCGAGGAACTCGTTTGACTTGCCAAATTATTATTCTCGTTTCTTGTTCCTATTCTTCTGCTATTGTTTTGATAGTTAATTAATTAGATGCATTAGTTCCATCGAAGAAATTAAGTCAAATAATATTGTATCCCCTATACATGCATGTGTGTAATTTGTTTATACTACAAAAATATATAGTCCAAATGAAAGCAAAATTGGTTTTGTCTAATTGCGACAATAGCATAATTTAGGGTTAGTGATGATGATGATGAGTTGTATATAAGGTAAGGTAGACACTTGTGGGCACCAGCTACAGCTAGCTAGCTGCAATGCAGGACGACCATTGGAAAAACTTGTTACAGTAATCTTTTGTTGGGTTTAGGTTGAAGTAGTATTTTATTGATTTGCTCATTTTTTTTATACGATACGATACGAGTAGAGTAGGTAAGAAAACATACAATATGAAAATTTTGAAAATATAATATTATATGGATCGAAATGGAGGGGTATTATTTACTTAAAAGAATCTTCATCTACCTAACCAAATATTTGATCATGAAAGTTTTGATTCAATTGAGAAGAGTAAGTGTCCACATAAACGTACTGGACTTAATTTATTACTAGCCTGTCTGGAAAGCCCAACCCAAATTGATATTCAGTTTTAACTACACTGGACGTCGTGGGCCCAAAAGGTTGAGCCCACATAAACGGTTGACGGCTTCTTTATTCCCCAAAAACAGACCTCACATTACGGGTCCGTTGCTCCATTCCCAATATTCACGGCCCAATTGATCCATTTTTGCTCTCTAATTTATTTTTCCAACAAGTTTTATTTTCATAGATGGGCTAAAACATAGATACTACAAGACACTTAATGATCAGACGCAACAGTCGTTAACTAGTCGAATTTTCAATGAAAGTGCATTAGTAGGAACTAAAAAAAGGACAAGCCTGTTGTACAATTTATAAGTAATTAAAACTGCAAGCAAAAGAAACAAAAGACGTCGCATCCAAGCATATCTCCTCCATGAGCAACAACTCGCTCATGGATAATGACTCCATGATAAATAGATCAGTAATACGTAACTGGGCAATGCTTGCTGAAAGCAAAGAGGAGCTCACTGTGTTAATTAAAAGAAACCAGCAAAGCCAATGCCACCTATATATCCTGCGGTCGAATCCTTGGCTGGCATGCATGTGTCGTTGATCTGCAGGGGAACTAGAAGCCTCATTACCCAGCTCTATGAACTATGAAGAGTCAGGGGAGTGGGAGCAGCAATTACCCAGCTCTATGAACTATGAAGAGTCAGGGGAGTCGAAGCATATATGCTGCTCCCACTCCTCAACCTCAACCTGTGCCATGAACTGCCGAAATAGTGCAGGCCCTCTGTATTGAATGTGTTTGTGTAACAACTCCTAAATCCTAAATTTCTAATGGCTAACACTAAAAGAGAGGGGCTGAAAACTCTTTTTTATGATATCCAGTTCCGTGCAAAGTTGCCCACACTACAACATCATAGTTGAGATCGTTAGCGTTGGATTATAGAGTATCTCGATCTTCATAGAATCTAATGTTATCATCGGTGGGCCATTCGTTATCTATAGGTTTACACGTGATTCACGCGCCAAATACTACACTTTATATATCTTACTTGTATGACAACATTGGGGTTACAAGTTTTTGAATTAAGGCTGAGGTGCAATTGAGCGACGAGTTGGGGTGAGGGTGGGGCTCACTTCAGAATTTGATGTGGATGGAATAAATGACTCATATATTGTATATAACTCTAGGTGAGTAGGGTTCCGTGAGTAGTGATTGAATAATTGATTTTGTTGATTAATTACGATCGGTAGAAGCTTATATAGGTCATAGTAGAAGGTAGGTTTAATAAACGGGGTGGATTCATAATGTTAACTAACAACTTACAACTAATAACGTCATACTAAATGAATCGTTTAAGAATCACCTACTCGTAAAAACTTACTAGAGATGAATTAGGACCAGTTTGATGAGTTCAATCATCCACTATACCTCCCATCCCATGTCAAATCCACCGCATAAAAATTATGTTGTTGCCTAAAATACCACCAACGAACCAAACGTTTTCCACCCACCATTTGTTCAAGCAATAATCCATAATGATATCCACTGAATAATTTCACTGCAACTTAGTGAATGATAATCATTACATGTATTGAATATATATATAAGATTAAAGGTCCACTGTCCACACGTATCATTTCACAGTTGATATAATTAATTTAATCACAAGTGTGTGTGATCCTTAATAAATGTCTCCTTTGATTCAATAGGGCTTTTCCGTGGTCAAACATGATTCATGAGCTCTTAATCTCCAACTGCACCATATATACTCTAGCGCTACGTTTCTTCTTCGATGGCGTCCTTTGATCTGTTCTTCATTGGGCTTGTGGATCAATTCATGATAATGATAATTATAAATTATTCCATTTGCGGGCCCAAATGAGAATAAAATCTCATGAAATCTTCACAAAGGACAAGAATGATAATAGTAATATATTGCCAAGTCAACCTTTTAATTTGGGTTCCCATCAATTTTTTGCTTAAAGTAATTATACATTATTATTATTATTATAGTGATATTAATTAATTAGTAAAACATTTGTTGTTGGAAGCCAAAGATGCAAAAGATTTGCGAGATCTTGATCCCATGCATACTAGTATTAGACGGTAATATAGAAACGGAGGGTTGGAGTTGTCAAAGCGCACACATGCATGAACCTTATCAGCCTATCTTGGAATTGGAATCAAGTACTATATATTTAATCTAATTTAATTTATGTGTAAAAAAACTTACAACACACACAAGTTAGTTAACTACTAATAATGTTGGGGATGGTGATGGCTTATCATCTTGCCAAATCGAGACAATAGTAAAATTAAAGATATGATATATTCTTAGTAAAGAAAATATAGATCTTAAATTGCCTAGACTTTGGGACATATTAATATATCGTAATCCTTAAAGGTTAAAAACTAGATCTTAATTATATAAATCTCATACACTAAGATACATTTAATTAGAAACAATAATCGACGGTCATGATTCGTCAAAATATACACAACAAATTATGCATCATCTTTGTGTTTAGGATCTATGATTTAGATAATTAAGACATAAGGTTCAGTCATCAAGGGTTATGGTATAATATGATTTTCAAAATTTTGGTTCATCCGAGGTCTAGATAGTGTTTTCTTACCAAAGATATGTGATGCCCTAGATTTACTCTGTTGTACGCTAAAAGTCAGCATGACAATTTTGAATAGACCAACAACAATTTTGACCCACTCATATTGTTCCTAAAAGTTGGACATTCAAATTCAATCAAAATAACATAGTACAACATATATGTATATAATATATTGGTTAATTGGTTTGAGTGATTAACATGTTCTTTAACGCATCAAATCATCTAAATTAAACTAGCCGGGAATTTCAATCAAGTAAATCCAATTAACCAAATAAAATGCTTAGCATGAGTTTTCATATGTTTGAATGGAAAGCAATAATAGTTTTGGTATATGAAACCTAAACATGAAATCCAAAGTGAAAAGTGGCAATGGTTCAAAATTGTAGCATGTAACAAAATGGTAACAAAAAGGTTTAAAACGTTTAAAATATAAAAACAGCCATATAAGTATCATCACATAACAAAACAACACTTTTATCTCTTTTCGTCCATATTTTCATTCAAAATGCTCAATTAGTTTGCTTACTCCATATAAGAATTAGGGACCTCCTGGCTCCTACAATAACTTGGGTATAATTTCAAGTTAAGTAACTTGTATAGATCTAAATCGTTAAATCGATCAAACTTAATGTAAACCATTGATTAAAAAAATAAGTAAATAAGCAACGGCAACAAGGGTTGCCGGTCACCACATTGTCAATTTACATATTTTATTTTTTTCTTTCCTTTTTCACATTTGGTTGGTTTCCTTATTTTATCCTTTCCTTTTTTTAATTCTTATGGAATTAGAAGCGTTACGTAAGGCTTCCATAATAACTTAGCTCTTTACGTAACACGACGTTAATACTCATTATGTAAAGAGACCTTCCATTACGTAAGGCTTTCGTAATGACATTTTACAACTGTTACGTATAATACACATTCATTACGTAAATGTTACGAAACCATAATTATTTCTTACGTAACAGTTAAATCAGAGGAATAGTAGTCAAAATCTACTGTTTAAAGCTTAATAGCTTATTTTTTTACGATTAATTAAGTTACCAAAACGCTTCCAGATAAAATCGCTTTTTGTACATTGCCCATGGACAGGGGCAGACCAAAAGGATGTCGAGCGACCCCCACCGGGGGGGGGGGGGGGGGGGCATTAACGAACCCTCGAAAGTAGTTTGAGTATTGGAAGAAAAAAATGGATAGTAGTCTATGTGATCTAAAATCGATCGTGACCCTATAATTATTAGTGAATATTTTGTCTATTAGACTAAAATTCATTTCTTATTGTAATTTTAACATAAACATAATTATAAAATACTACCCCATATTCCCAAATTTTCAAAAACCTAAAAATCAAACCAATCCACCTAAGGGCTACCCTTATCCTCACTATATTCTAACATACAAACCAACAAACTTTGAGCATTCAACCTCCTTCCTTTGAGAATTCAGTCATCCAATCCTCCTTGCTCCTTCGAAAATACGATAGTGGCTGACCTCGACCAACGAGAGGTGATGACTTAATCGACTAGGCGGTTAGTTCATGAATGATTAATTATCTAGTAAGAAATATTGAAAGAGATTTGTTGAGTACCATAGACAATGAGTGTATTTTAAAAGTTTGGGTATGCCTATGGTGACTTTCAAGTCACCATAACTTGGAGAAAGTTGTTGACCTATTTCATTAAGTGGTCGACCACTTTCCAAGAAAATGGTCGACCTCCTCCACCAAGTGGTCTACCACTTGAGTCATCCGGTCTACCACTTTCGAAAATGGGTCGACCTTATGACACACTTACCTTCAAGTGGTCAACATCTTCCACCAAGTGGTCAACCACTTTCCAAGAAAATGGTTGACATCTTCCACCATGTGGTGTACCACTTGAGTCAACTGGTCTATCGCTTCTTGAAATGGGTGGAGTTGATGACACAATTACTTTTAAGTGGTCGACCGCTTCCACAAAGTGGTCAACCACTTTCCAAACAAATGGTTTACCACTTCCACGAAGCAGTCTACCACTTGAGTCAACCAGTATACCGCTTCTAACAATGGGTCGACCTATGACGCACTTACCTTCAACTTACACTTGCTTGTTGGAGGAGGTAGACCGCTTTCGCCAAAATAACCCACCGATTCCGCAAAATGGTTTACAAACCTCTTTCAGCGTACGATCGCTGTTGTCGGCGAACAGTCGACCAGATGACACGGTTACCTTATACTTACATTAGAAAAATAATGGGCAATAAGAGACCAACAATATAAAATTGTTTTGTAGTAACGCAACATTCTATCACCTGTGGCAACCAAATCCCTAGGCAGATTATAGGCCAGGATAAAAAGAAACACCGTCTTTAAACTCTTCTGGAATAAAAATTCACAAAACGATAATATGAGATTTATGGACGTTGAAGATGACACAATTGTGTAACAAATATACTCTACTTTTTTTAGCATCTTCATAACAACAATAGCAACAAATCAACGAAGTTGATCCATCATCCATCACAAGACAACTATAGGATAGAACAAGCTAACTTAGAATTTGAAGGAAAGATGAAAGTCTCTATAAAGTAAGTCAAATATAAGAAATAAATATGCGAAACATTATTCAAATCTACGGGAGTTCAATCACTCGAGAAACTTATCATTTATGCTTGCAGCCTTTGTACTAATTTAAATATCTTACTAGCAAGCATATCTATTGTTATTGTACTCTAATTATATACGATGATATCACTAATAATGGTTCATCAGGTGGACCAATTATTGAAAGAGGTGGACCTCTTGGGGAAAGATGAGACCACTTGATGGAAGTGGTAGACCACTTTTCTGTATAGTGGACGACTTTTTAGTGAAAGAGGTTGATCGTTTGTTGAACATAGGAAAATGGAAAATAGTACATCTGGTCGACCATTTCAAAAATGAGGTCCATCATTTTGTCCAAATAGGCCGACCATATCAGTGAAAAGGTCGACTTGTTTGTCCAAATAGGTCAACCAAATCAATGGACATGTCAACGGTTTTGTGCAAGTCACAGTCACTTGCAAGTCACCGTAGCAAAATTCTAAAAAAAATTCATAATAGAAAATATATCATGGACATTATTATAATTTGGACTAGTTAGATATTTTCTTATTTAATAATATTTTTTTAATGACTATTTTAATTTAATAGAACTTTGGGAAAGAGACATCCCTATATAAAAATTCGAGATCCTTTACTGTCGGGGGTATTCGAAAACTGCGGATACAAAAATGGGATTGCAAAATGTTCATTCGCATGAGTATGGAATGAATATAGACTTGAGTATTTAAAAATCAGAATTCGGATGATTTAGCGAAATCAGTCCCAAACCTGCCATTCATTGCAACAATTATTATTTGTTTACCAACATTCATTGTAACAATTAGAATTGAGATTATTTTGATCAATTAGCCGTCAAAAAGGAGAAATGGAAAATGAAGGTGGTGGTGGTGGTGGTGGTGGACCGGTGGTGGGTGCGGACTGCGGACGACGGAGGAGGGGAGGGAACAAAGTCAGGATCAAGGGTGGGGCGGTCCGTCCGTCCACCCAGACCCAGGGACAAATCACAAAAAGATTCCCCCAATCTCTACCTTATTACTTATAAAGATGGTCTCTTTTTCTCTTTCCATTCCCATCTCCGCTGGACCCATTTCGCCATTTCCCTCCATTCCTCTACCTCTGACCCCTCTTTCAGATCCCCTCTCTCTCTCTCTCTCTCTCTCTCTCTCTCTCTCTCTCATAGTCTCGCATATCATGATCTTCAGCCAGTGTGATAATTAGTAACAGCCCCCACATTTCCTTTGGGCTTTCCCAATTCCTTCTCTGCCTTGTTGACCCAGGAAAAGAGTAAGTAATGGGGGAGGCGGAGGCGGAACGGAGTCCGGTGGAGATGCCGGCGACGGAGGATGAGAAGGTGAAGAAGGAGGAGGCAGTGGCTGTGGATGATGAGTTACAGAAGCGGCCCATTCACGTCCTTGTGGTTGATGACTGCTCTCTTGACCGCAGAATTGTTGGCAAGCTCCTTCAAAAAGCATCCTTCAAAGGTTTCTCCATTCTGCTAATTGCAATTTTGTTAATGACCATGTTTCCATCATTTATGAGCTGTCTGTGTTCCCTGTGTAGTAGTTGTTTCTCTTGATTTTTGGGTATTTTTGTGTGGGTACTGTGCTGCGATTTTGAATCTGAATGAAAGAAGGAATTTTTTGGCAGTGACCAGTGTTGAAAGCGGGAAGAAGGCTATGGAGGTTCTTGGGTTGGATATTGTTGATGTTCATCAAACAACAACAGAAACTGCTAATGCTGACTCAGTGGTGGATGATTGCAGCTCTACTCTTAACAATGTGAGCCTCCCAAGTTCCAGACCCCAAACTGTCTTATTGTGCTTGCCTTACAATACCTGGTCTTAGCAAATGGTTCAACACTGAATTTGAGCTGATCTTTTGTTTCCACATGTGATGGAAAAGAGAGAATGTTCTTGATCCCCTTAAAGTTGTAAGCTTTATGGCCCAAGGCTGCCTCTGTCCAAGCTACTTTGTTTCATGGTTGGAAAATAGGGCATTTGTGAGAGTGAACTGCATATGAAATAAATGTAATACCATGTGATCTGTGGAGTGTGGAAAGAAACATTGTGGTCTTTTGCAGCTGTATGACTAGCTAATTCATATGAATGCACCTGTTCTTGTTAGATGTTACTGTATCTGGATGGTTGATCAGTATGATTTTCTGCTTTGTCAGGACAATAAGATTGATTTGATCCTCACAGACTATTGCATGCCTGAGATGAATGGCTATGATCTTCTAGTGGCAGTCAAGGTAAAAGAAACTGAAGCAATGTCCATTCCCCTTTCGGTTATTAATGAAAGTCAGCTATCTTTGCTACTTATCTGTGAGAAATATACAATTCTTCATCTTGATTGACAGAAACACAGTGAAAGGAAGGCTACTCCTCCTGTTGTGATATTGTCATCCGAGTATAATCCACAGAGAATCAGCAGGTAATATTTATAATTATCTGGAGTACTTTGGAGGGTAATAAGCTCGTAAAAGTTTTATGATTGGTGTCTGAACATAAAATGCATTCCTTTTTACTGAATCTAAGATACTTAGCCTCATGAAAGTTTTGTAAGCTATGCAATGGCTGTGGCAGAGAGCAAAAAGAAGGGGATACTAGAACTCTCTGTAGTCGAGCTAAAACTGGCTCCAAATATGTTTCTTTCTAGTGATACTAGAGCATTTGAACGTGCTTTTGTTGCATTTATGTGGTTTAATCTTATCTTCTTTTTCGGCAGTTGTCTTGAGAGTGGCGCAGAAGAATTTCTGCAGAAGCCTCTGAAGCCAAAAGACATGGAAAAGTTCCGAACTTACGTTGCATCAGCAGCAGCCACATTAACAAGGTCAGGCACAAAGAGGAAAGCCGTAATGGAGTTGACATCAGAGAACAATTCCAATGAAAGGCTGCCTCGAATGGCTGGAGTGACTGTCGCTTAACAAGATTTTCCTGAAAACCCCTTTATTGAGCATCTGTCTCTCCTTAGAAGCAAAAGAGGTGACTAACTATGCTGCATACGGAGGACAGAAGCTTTGCTTCTGCAAACATTTAGTTTAGAATTGTGGTCTGGGTTTTGTGTCTGGCTGGGAAAAGACCACATCTTTCTGCGAGCTTTGTTTGTGTTTATGGTTTGTCACGATCACATTGTTGTCTGTATTAGACTGATTGTCAATCATATGTGTTCATAGTAATTTACTCTTACATGGTGAAAGAAGTATCTTTTCTTTTTTACAGTAGTGCTGTATATATAGAGCACCAATTCAGTTCAAAGCAGTGATGTTTTGGTACAAACCCACTATGAAATTTAGCAATATGAACATGGCAGCATCTTCCCCAGTCACTTCTATTATCTTCCTTCATAAAGTCGCAATGAGGTTGACTCAGAAGGTGAGCTAGGATGGCCCAAGGGCAGAGAAATGCAGCTCCTTTCAATCTCTCCTCCAGCATAAAGAAGATGAACACCACACTTCTGCACAGGAAACCAAGCCGAGAAGTATCTGGAATCAGTCTGCTCAGGATAGAACTTGAATGTGGCAGTCCGGTAAACACGAGAGTCATTCTTGTTCTGCTTCTGATGATGGTCTCTTCCCCGGAGTAGTCTATAGCACATGCTGAAGTCATATCGTATCACCACATGATCAGCACAAGTGAATTCCCTCTTGCCATGTATCGTCGAGAACCCCAACCTGCAGCAGAGAATGTCATGGCTATCTCGACCATTTGCTGTTATCAAACTGCATTGGCAACCGACATCCGTTGCGCCAAAGATCTTGCGGTCCTTGGTTGTAATGACTGCGCTTAGTGCAAATCCCAAGAACTCGGAGTTAAGCCAGTCTGGAGGGAGATTTATGGTTATAGAAGAGCCATTTGTTTGGTATCTAAACCACCTTGGAATCTTTCTTGCAGGGTAGCAGATGCTGTTTGAAGGCAATGAATGAATCCCCTGCAGCAAATATACAAAAAATTCGGACAAACTTTCAAAAAATCGACCCATTAGGAATAAACTACATAATAAATGGGGCTTGTTTACATAATAAAGGGGGCTTGTTTATTAGAACAACATAGTACAGGACTAAAACTCTATTACCCAGAAAGGAAAGAACAGACTGAGGCAGAGAGGATACCTGCTGATAATTTATCACAGCTGCTACCGCCGCATGATGAATCCTAACAAATGAGTCAGCCTCGATATTACTATTATTGTTTTCATATAACTTTGAACAATTGGCGAATGAGAACATTTGAAGATGACAACTGTTTACAAACACTTTCCCCATTGGAATGGCATATGGAGAAGGCATCCTTTCGAGCGAAACACAATCATTGGCATTCAACATATTGACGGCCAAAGGAAGCTCAGGCAAAGATCTAATCCGTCTGCAATTGCTCAGCACGAGCTTCTGCAGCTGAGTTAGCAACTTAATGCTGGAAGGTAAAGCCTCAAGCTTTGAGCACCCTGAGATAGAAAGGGTTTTCAAAGATTTCATCTTCCCAATGTTACTTGGAAGATACTTGAGCCTTTTACAACGGTTCATCCCCCAAAAGTTGAGTCTCGAAAGACTCTCGATCGATTCAGGAAGCTTGCGTATGGCAGTCGAGTTTAAGCTCAGATGTTCTAAGCTCCATGGAATGTCTTGCAGGTATCTTAATTTGGAGCATCCAGAAAGGTTTAGCTTCTTGAGTGTCTGCAAATGAGCACAACTTGGCATGCATCTTAAGGTTTTGCAATTTTCCATTGTCAGGACAACAAGCTCTCTTAGGAACTTGATGGATGATGGAACTCTAACCAGCCTTGAACAGCCTTCGAGGTTCAAACTCTGCAGATTTGGTGCTGATGAGAGGTTCGGGAAGCTGGTTAGATAACGGGAATTGCTGAGGTCAATTGTATGCAATTTTTCCAGACGCTGGTGAAAAGAAATGGAACCACAAACTTGAGCAGGCAATCAAGGAAAGAACAGAATGCAAGCTTCTGAGTGCAATAAATACCTGGTTTCTCTCCCAAAGCGCCTCAACATGACTCGATGGCAAGCTAAGTTCAACGAGGTTAGCTGTTCTACCACTGGATGGCAAAGACTTCAGAGGGCATCCATCCCAGTATAGATAGCTCAATTTGTCAGAAATAGACTCCAACCCTTCTGGTAGAAAAACTTTGCTAACGCCCCTGCTGTCAGAATTGTAAAACTTCAGCAGTCTCAAGTTATGCATTCTTGCAAATGCATTATGACTCAACTTCACCCTCTTTATCTTGGCCATGTCCAAGAATATCCCTTCAATCACTTCAGTTCCCTGACAAACAACAGAAATGGTAGAACTAAATTCAACAAAGTTATGCCGAAAACTTCTGTCTTTTTTTTTCAAAAAAATTGTTGCTCTTACTGTATTTTCGGTGAGCACATGGTAGACATCTTCAGGATTCCAGAGCCTAGTGCGTTTACCAGGCTCCTTAAGAGATTCCTGTCGAACGATTTCCCTACCCATTTGCTGCAACAAACTATGCATCCTTAGCTTGTTGTCCAAGACAGTGATGAGAGACTTATCAATAAGAACTCGTATACCAATATCCGCAGAGAAGCCGCAGCCAAACAGGACACGTGTAACAAAAGCCTTATGTTCCCCAACAAAGAAGCAAGCAATGTCAAGGAATATATCCTTCTCTTCATCATCCAAACCATCATAACTCGTCCTTAAGACACTCTGAATTTCCGGTCTCGGAATTCTATCTATCTTCTGCAAGAAAGATATCCATTCGGTCTTGGTCTTGCGAAACAAGGACGATCCCAGAACTTTCAGTGCCAATGGGTTGCCACGTGCATAGTTAGCTGCTCTTCTCAATGTCTCCATATGATCAGTCCTATCAAACTTTCTTCTTCTAAATGCTTTTGAACTGAAGAGTTGAAGAGCTTCATGGTCATTCAACCCCTCAACATTGTACATCTCATCTACTGCAGTGTCAAGTACTTCCATGTCTCTACTGGTTATGATGATTCTACTCCCTGGTCCAAACCAATCATGGTCTCCAGCTAAACTCTCCACCTGCCTTGAATCACTCACATCGTCAAGAACAATGAGCACCTTCATTCGACTAAGCCTGCTCCTAATGAAACGACTTCCTACATTCACATGTTGCTCTTCTTCCAGTAACCTGGAGAGGAGCTCCACATTCAACCTGGCGAGTCCATGGTTTTCACACTCTTCTTTCACATTGGTGAGAAAGCAGGAAGCATCGAATTCAGATTTGATTTTGTCAAACAACAATTCTGCGAGGGTCGTTTTCCCAATCCCTCCCATGCCCCAAATCCCTATAAATTGAACAGTGTGTGGTGACGAACCAGTGCAGAGCAATGATTCAATTCTCTCGATCCGTGAGTGGACTCCCACAAAACCCCTTGATTCCCATGAAGATATGCAATCCAGCCTCTTCATTACATGCTTGACTATCTCCTGAATGAGTCTGCATTCTGGCCTACCAAAACAGTTCGGGAAACAAATGGATTACTACGATGGTGGATCAAGAAAAGAAAAAAGAATCGACATTTGATTCATGCAAAATCGAGATTTACCTAATGTCAAGGGAACTCCAACCAGACAAATCAGCAGCTTCAACCAAAGCAGCTCGCCACCTCTGAACCTTAACCTTGTCCTTACACCCCTCCTCTAACAACCGAAATCCATCCCCAAAGCTTCCAGTTTGTGAAGCTACATCCGAAGGATCGACACAGTAGAAAACAGGCAAAACAATTGCGCCCATTACCTTCTTGCAGTCGAGGATCTTCACCAGCTCGTCCAAGCACCAAGGGGAAGCCGCGTAGTCCGGAGAGAAAACAACGATTGAGATCATCGAGGTCTCGATCACTCGCAAAAGGGCAGGCGAGATTTCTTCCCCTCGACTGAGCTGGTCGTCGATGAAGGTCCTGATCTGTTTATGAACCAGAGCAGCAAAGAGATGGCTGGTGAAGCTTTCCCGGGTATCGGAACCTCTGAAACTGAGGAAAACGTCGTGCTTGAATAGGGAAGCCATGGAACAAGAGGAGGATAAGATGGGGTGATCCCAAATCCCAATTCTGAAATTGATAACCAACAATGGAGTGGCTTGTTTTTCAGAGTTTTGACTTTGAGGGAACAAGTAGGTGGGTCTAGTTCGATTGAAATTTCCCGCGGTTGACTCGCCAAGTCAAAGTCCACGCCATTTGGTTTACACGGGAAAATCTATCACCTTTGGACACATTTTGGATGTATCAATTGCAGCCATTTCTTTCACTCGACGCGTCGAGTTCCTCTTCTTCTTCTTCTTCTCCATGCCAATCACTTGACTTATTTATGAATTATGATCCTAATGCCGCGTGCGTTCATAAGATAGCGATACAAGATACATACAGGGTTGATTATGGTTATGTACTTACGTTGGGTCGTCAAAGTAACTAAGAAAGAAATGGCAATGATAATGATGAGTTCTTTATTTTACATCCCATATTATGATGTTTTTAACAAATACATTCCTAGACTATTAGTTAAATGAATTTATGAGTGCTTGTTCTTGGCTTGGAATCACTATTAGTTAAATGAATTCGAATGTGTATACGAAAAGATAATCTATTCTCAATTCTATCCTAATGAATTTAGAATTCATTATTAATTAATTGGATTTGAATGTGTATAGGTGTACATACGTATTCATTCGGAGTTCAATTCTAATGAATTTTGAATTATAATGGATTGAAGGCTTCATACTTTTCTTTAGTAAACATGAAAATTATCTAAACTTGTTATCTAGTTCCTCCATGACAACTTGACATACAAGGGTAACTTTGCTATGAAGCCCAAATACAAATATAGACATTGGCCCACGGGGTGGCATACTCAAAAGAAGGGTTTGTTGGATCGTCGCCAGCAGTCGAAGATGAGGCCTTCGACAAGGCCCATATCAGGTCGCGATCTGGGATCCTCGCCCAGACAATACAGCCCCAAACGCATCGCCTCCTTCGCGACCTCCACTGGGAACAACCCATTCAGCCTCCCGTCCACCCAACCCCGCACCATCTCCTCGTCGCCGGCCTCCGCCGCCCTCGCCGTCTCCATGATCGACTTCCGCACGTAAACCTTGTCGACGTCATCATAACGGTAAGTCACCGGCTCCGCACCCGAAATCAGCTCCAACAGCAGCACCCCGAATGCGTACACATCCGATTTCCGCGTCGCCAACGACCCCCCTCGCCGAACCTCCGGCGACATGTAGGGGTTCTCTTCCTCGTCTACTTCTTCAATCCCCTCTCCTCCGCCCCATCCAACGTTGTCGTCGGCAGCCTCCCCTGCAACATGAGCGAGGCCGAATTTGCAGATCAAGGGTTTGACGGCGGCGCCGCCGCTCAAAGGTAGGAGGATGATGTTGGAGGTCTTGATACGGTTGTGGACGAGGAGGGCTTCGAATCCGGTCATGTGGTGGATGTAATTCAGGCCGCGAGCCACTCCCACCGCGATGTCCATCCTCGATTGCCACCTACCGAGGTAGAGGCTGTAGAGATCGGTCGTAGTCGTACTCCTGCTGGTCAAACAATCGGAGAGGGTTGCGCCGTTGACGAAGGGGTACATGAGGTTGACGCACGGCTCCTTCTCGGACATGGAAGCCCCGATGAGCTGGACCACGTTGGCGTGGCGGATGCTGCCGATGACTGACAAGTGCTGTTTCAGCTTCTCCCGGGTGATGGTGGGAGGGAACACCCGGCGGAAGCCGATCGCGTCCTTGCCGCGGAAAGTGCAGCGATAGGAAGAGGATGAGGAGGAGGATTGTGGGATGGATAGGGAGTGGGAGGAGGATGATGAAGAAGAAGAGGAAGAGATGGTGAAGAAGAAGCTGGAAGTGTCAGAGGAGGAAGCCCTGGACCTGGAGGAGAGATCGGAGTTGGAAGGAGTGGCGCCGGAAGCTGCTGCTATCGCCCTGGGAGTGGCCGGAATGTATTGTGTTTGGGTTGGGCGGGGTCTGGGGCAGTATCGCGGGAAAGTACGGGATTGGAACACTGACGCGTTGGGATCCTCCTGCTGCTGATCACCCTCAGAGTCAGAGACCTCAACTCGAATCTCGGCCATTCCCTTTTCCCCCAAATTTCGGTCAAACTCTACCTCTGCCTTGTGGTTAGGTTCAAAAGGACCAAAGACTGATGGATAAAATATAACAGAGCAAGCTGCGAAAAATTGCTGCTTTATAGTGGAGAATGTGAAGAGAGCTGAGCTGGGTTAATTTAACAGTGGCCTGCTAGGAACCTGCGTTTTGTTTTGGCGAGTTAAATTCTGGAATGCCGACCATATTTAAGTTGGAAAGATACAGACACGGTTTCCATCATAGTCTACTCTTTGTTGTGTTAAGGCAAGGGAGACTTTTCAGTTCAAGTGTGTCCAGTGTCCTGTTAAGGAAGTTGCCTTTCGCCAAGGACACTTATAGACGGCATAGAAACAAATAACTGAGCCTGCATTGACAAGATCAAATAATATGGAAAACAAAGCAAGCAAACTGAACTTTGCAGGCCTACTTTCTGCTGCTGCTGAGGAGCTGAAAGATGCGATCATTGATGGGGAACAAGTATTTGCCCCTCCAATTAGCGTCCAGGGCGCTGAGAAGGACACTCGCGACCTGTCTGCTGATCTCGACCTAGTGCCTCCTGCTGCTGCTGGAAAGAACGAAAGGGGTGCTGCAATCGAGGCTAGCAGCCGCTGCCACTGCGACACCGTGATCCCTGAGTGAAGATTGAAGAAAGCAGTGGGAACATCAGATTGAGCTTGAGCCTGTTCCCTCAAGTTGGCTTCATACTCGACTAGTGTGTCAAGAAGATCCTTCACCCAGACCGGTTTCCCTTTTGCTCAAACGGCTGCAGAGAACTAGTTAAACTCGAGTCCAAGACCATGAAGACAAAAAAGAAATAAACAACAAGATCCAAGTCAGAGACAAGAGGGTCAATCAAAGCAAGCTCGGCTGCCAAGAGCTTCATCTCGTGGATATAGGAGGTTACATCACGGTTACCCTTATTGGTTCGAGCCAATCTGTCCTTAAGATTGACAATACGAGACTGGCAATGAAACCAAGGTGGTCCAGACCCATTAGCAACGTATCGATCTGAGAAGCACAAGAAGGAAGGTTGTTTGGTGTCAGCTTCAAAGGGCAGCTGGGTTGCTGGATTGAAGGTAATCAATGAATCTTCTGTCGACGAAGAACCATCGTCACCAGAAACATTGGAGCCTGAACTCATGATTTCAGGTGGTCAGACTCTAGCTGTATGTGACTAGCTCCGATACCATTTTTTGTATTAGATTTGAACGTACATTACTACACTCCATTGATACAGTAATATGAATTTATACATCTTTATACAGGAATTATAGCTAGACAAAAATACTGAAACGCAGCTGGTATACGAGAAGATAAGTACATAAATACAGACATAAAAGAACAGAGGAATAAAATTCTTTATTCCTCATCTCTAACAGAGGGTACGTCCAACGGAAGGCGATGGCTTCTTTGCGATGGAAGGTGGAGCGGTAGGAATGTTGCTGAAGGTTTTGGGCCAAGAACATGGTGGTCGAGGATAAATAAGATGAAGAGATGGTGAAAAAGAAGCTGGATGCGTCCGACGAGGAGGAAGTCCTTGACCTTTCGTAGTCGGATGGCGTGCTGCCGGACAGGATGTAGTTCCTGACAGCCCTGGGAGTCGCTGGAATGTATTGGGTTTGGTTTGGCCGGGGTCTGGGTAAGTATCGTGGGAAAGTGCGACATCGGAACAATGAATCATCAATGGCATTCTGATGCTCATCGTCGAGATCCATCGCCATTACCTCTGGCGGGCAAACTCTACCTAGCTGGTGGTTATTCTGCCAGAGGATACTCGCCAAGGTTTTTAAGGGGTAGAGTTGGGGTCACGCGGCCCCTGGAAATTTAAGGCAAGGGAGACTTTTGTAGTTCCACACTACACTAGCGCTACTAACTTCCAAGTCAAGTCAAGTCAAGTCAAGTGTGTCCCGCACTCCCGCTAAGGAGTGTTAAATGAGAGGTCTAGACAGGGAATAGAAACAAATACTGAGCCCACATTGACAAGACAAAATCAACAACGAGGGAAAGACTGAAGATGGAAAAGTAACACAGCAAGCAAAGCAAACACGCGGTTTTCCTATTAACTATCACGATCCTATTTGCGTCTTTATGCAGGCCAATAAGCAACAGCCAACTCTCACTATCACCAGTTCACCACTACAAGGATCGACAGCTTAATCTGGTGCCTGCCACAACATCAGTCTACCGTATTCTACAAGGAAGATTCTTCCTACTTCCCCCTTAGGCAATGCCCTCAGACGTGAAGTTTCTGAGAAGAAATACCTTGAATGGGAAAATTCAAGGACAAATGTAAAGAGGCTGGAAAATCCAGAAAGGCATCAGAACTTCAGAAGACAGGTTCAGAGAACATGCGAAATGGGCACCACCCATTTGCACTTTAGATGTTGAGAAAGGATCGATGTTCTGGCATGCATGCAGCATATCAAGGGCTCATATGCTATAAGGCACTTCCATTGGCAATGAAACCACAAGAGCATTTCACATTCTTACCAAAACTTTCACTGGTGAAACAATTGCGACAGCATTCTGATATAACAGGAACCACACATCAACCAGCATAATACCATGACTATGTATTCATATGGACTGACGTCTGAAAACTATGTCTTTTTGGAGCTATGCAAATGCAGACAAACAAGACAAGTTCCAATGCACTTATTGATGGGAATTGGACTGCAACACTCAGGATTTCCAAATTTACCCGAGTCGGGATCTTCAGATTATTACTCTTTCTTTGCTGGTTCCCAGGACTGGTACCTAGTCCAGTTTTTCTGCCCCGGATTGAGTGCATGTCCTTTAGAGTGGTAAATCTGATCTTCACCTTCTCCAGAGAGATTCTCCCTGTGAGCCACGCCATACCTCTTTGGCCTTAGCATCAAAAGCTGAAAGAACAAGAACTACTTAGTAAAAGCAAAAATCAGACCAGCACTTCCTTTAAACTTAGAAAAGATGACCGATGCTTACCTCATCTCCAGTATGATCAGTTATAAAATGAAGCCAACCATGCCATTCTGGTGGCACCTGAGAAGCATTATATCGACCTTTCTCTGCATATTCAACCCAACGGTGCCTCCCTATAAAATTACACCATCGCATAAGTTATGAGAAATACACACGAGGAGGCTTAAATATGAGCAGTTCTGAACACTAACTAGATAATGCGTGTCTCTCACAATCTAAAATCTCACTATTCTAAATCTAGGAAAACTTGCAGAAAGACAACATACAGAATTCCTGAGCAATAACTTTAGCTTATGCAGATGATAGATAAGGAACAATAAGTACAGACCATATTGGGTATCTCCCAGCTTCTCATAGTACTTGTTGCCGAATTTGTCGACCCCAACAACTGTTGCCCCTATATTGTGGATTTTGGTTTGCCTATCAACAAATTCCCAGTATAGACAGGCATATGAGTTTGCATAGCAACAGAAGGACAGGTGCTGAAAAATAAGGGGTCCATCAACATACAAGATGACCTTGCACATCGAGAACCATAACAAAATTCAAACGAGCAAAATTTAACTTACAAAAGGTTCCCATCCAAAATGCACTTCCTGTCCAACAATAGCATCGTGAGTAAGAGTGAAAAACAAACAAGTAGAGTAAGCATGTACCTCAGAAAATCATTGAATACGGGTGTCAAGAAATGAAATCCAAATATCCTGGAAAAGAAAAAGAAAGATCTGGGAGTGGAGTGAGACATACAAGTAGCCTTCGCCTCTCAGCTCCCGCAAGAAGCCACCAACGCCTTTCTCTTTGATAGCATTCACCACACCCTTCACCACTGAAGCCATTTCCAAGCCTGTCCTGCTCCTTTTATGTGTATCTCTCTAGTCTTCACTTCCTGAGCTCTCTTTACAATCTCTGTACCCAACGAAAGAAACAAACAAGTAGAGATCATCATTACCCAAATTTGAATCAACTCATTGATTGATCAAGTGGGAACAAAGCTATCTCAACCAAATGCCCAAAGGGACTCTATGTTAATGCAGTCGAATCAATCTACAAGCTCCATCCAACGTGGCCATCTAACAACAGTATTCATCTTGAAAGGCATAACAAGAATTTCTCACGCTTCAATCTTCGCTCACCTCTTACCTTTCCTTAAATGTTAAATAGATTGAACCCCATATTAGATATCACAGAAAAACAGAACCATCAGAAGACGCCCTACCCAGAATCGGCATTAATCGATTATTGTGTATATTAACAACCACAGCTAAAACCGAGCAGCATTTGTTCCCTTGCAGTTCCGGATCAATCTCAGCCTAACGAATTTTATAAGTAGATTTTAATTCCAAACCCCACAGCCCTTCACCTCGGTATCATTAGGCAGTCACAGCGCTATGCTTTGGAACTCGAAAAGATATTGACTAGCTCCCGAACCAAAAATGAGAGCTAGAAAATCCCAAATTTCCCATCTCTCACAGAACGAAACACCCCGCGCAAACATGAATCAGAACACGACTGATTGTAAAGGCAATCTCGCCACATCTAATTCATAGTTTCAGCTACGTAATTTTGTTTAGGGATGGAGGAGGAAACGTCGACTCTCTTCCAATGATGGAGGGACAGAAATCATATGGAAAGATCTCACGTCCGACGAGAAATTACAGAAGCGGTTCGAGGAAATCAGCAGATTATGAAAGAGTAGAGAAATCGATATCGTACCAGAAATTGCGCCCAGAAACCAATCGATCTACGTAAGGAGAGGATGAGGAATCGCCCGGGATAGCCAGGAGCCGAAAGACTCCGCTTTGACAGGTTAAAATGAAACAGAGAACCAGGATGGACGAGACGAGACGATAAATTAACGATATATCGCATAAAGAACAAATAATCGCGACATGGCCATACGAAACGCGATACCTAAGAGTGAAACGTCGAAGCGCAAAACGTTTCAAATTAGCAAAACCAAAAACGAAAAGCATTAAATTGCCAAAAATTTGAACGACCGGAAAAATGAACGGGAGTGGCCGAAAACTATGTCTTTTCGTTGATTAATGATCAGAGAAGGTCCAGTAACAAAAAGAAGAGCTCATGTAAGAAGTGAATATAAGAAATCATAATGATAAGTGAAAGAAGGAAGAGAAATCAATCGTCCGGAACCTTGAACGACGCTGGTCGGAGCAGTGGCGGAGCCACTTAAAGAGGAAGAGGGGTGCTTGCACCCCCTTGAGTTTGGAGAAAATCAGTGACCATTCAGTTGGTCGGAGCCACTTGGAAAGGACAAAGGAGGGGGTTGCTTGCAAGTTGCACTCCTTTGGTTTGGAAAAAAAATTCCCAGAATAGGAGTATATATAAATTCGAACGAGTGACCATTCAGTTGCAAGAAGAATTTGTTATCATCTTGGCCGAGTGAGTTTTATTATGCAATGCACTTTCGTCTTTATTTATAGTAATAAATTGTAGTCTTTTGTTTAAACTCGCTCATTTCTTTTGTAGCTCTACAACAGAGAATTTATTGTCATTTGTTTAAACAAAACTGAAAGTGAAGAAGTACCAATTGAAGTTCACTTGTTTGTTTCACAAAATCAATTCTAAGGTACTTCTGAGTTCTAATTTGTAATATTTGATGAATGGGAGTCTTGACTTGTATGCAGGGGCGGAGCTACACTATGGCTCGGGGGGGCCTCGGCCCCCCCGAGAATTTTGGAACTGACGTATAAGTTGTTCACGATTTGGGGAAATTACGTATTAATAAAGTATATGATATATGACATAAGTTGAAAATTATGTCACAATTGTTGTTATAGTCTAGCGGAGTGGCATACGAGCATTAGGAGGTGCTTAGTGGTGGTCTGGGTTCGAAACTCCATAAAGAATATTTTGTTCATTTTTTGTAAATATAATTGTCTCAAGCATGTAGCTAGGAAAATTATAATGATCAAAATAATTAGTTTTCTTAACTTTGACAAATTGTTTTTTTAGTTTGTTTATCTTTTTCGATAATACGAACAAAAAAAAATTCGGCCCCCCCGAAGCTTGAATCCTAGCTCCGCCCCTGCTTGTATGTACTGAACTTATTTGTTTGACGTTATAACCGGTGTACGTGAAACTATTTTAATGTAATTGTATGAATTTAGAGTATTGCGTTGTTGACTTTTTGTTTCATTTAAAGTTGACTTTTCTATTGTATATGTGATTTTTATGATATGATAAAAGATATCCTTTGGCCAATTTTCTGGCTTCGTCACTATGCGGAGGGAGACAGGGTTGAAAATGGGAGGTTGACGACGAGTAAGAGCACTTAACCGGCAAAGATATTTAGGGGTCGTTTGCTTGTTGGATTTGAAAAATGAGGGTTTTGGCCAATAAAAACCTTGGGATTTATGATGGATTTATTGGATTATGGATTTGAAGAGTCTAACGTTTGCATGATAGATTTGATGATGGATTTGTTAAATAAATAACTAACCATCAAGGATTTGCAAATACAAAATCAATATGTGGGATTTACAAGTCCGTGGGGTCCACGAATTTGGTTCTAAAATAAAGACCAAATTCGTGGACCCCACAGATTTAACACCCTTCAACAAACAATGGACTTGTGTTAAATCCATCAAGCATGGGATTTGGGTACCAAATCCACGACTCAAATCCAACAAGCAAACGACCCCTTAGTTATTTACCGTTTCAGTTCCGAGCACCTATCAGCAATTGCTCCGTCGCCCCTCTCCGGCCGGCGGCGCCGAGCTATCTTCTTATCAAGATGATAAGTCAATACTCAATACCAATCGGTTCATTTTGTCAAACCACACATTCCCAGAAATTTCCCTGTAATCCTCCACTCCACAAAGTCAAGTCACTTCTCATCTCTGTCCACACCATCTCTGTCCACACCGTCCTTAATTAACACATCACTTTATATATCAGATTCTCGGTAGAATTTCTATCCTTGTGAGAGTTATATCCCACCACCATCCCAATGGAGTTCGACGAATTACATGAGTATGCGAGCTTCCGATCTTTCCCGGGCTACTCGCGCCGGATTCGAGGGACTCGTCTCCAACGAATTCCGGCGACGCCAAGGCTGCTTATTGGCTTCACCACTGGAACCTCTCTCAGCAGCATCGACCCTTCCGCAGACTCTTCAGCCTCCGACACTCCAAACGTCGATTACAGCAACCCGACCACAGCGACATCCTCCTCGACCGGAACGCCGAGTGTCGGGTACAGCTACCCGACCACGGCGACCTCCTCCTCAGGCATAACGCCGGACTCTGCTCCCGACACCACCTCCCCCGTCGACAACAACAACAACAACTTAATGTGCTGGCACAACAGTTCCCTGCACGGAATGGGAATCGCCTTGGGAGTCTTCCAATCTTGTCGCCAAGGGACTCCGAATTTCGGAGGACTGCCATCGGTGGTTTCCAGGTGCGACCATGTCGCCGTTATCGAACTTCCGGGAGCTTCAGTTGCTGGCGTCAGAATCTTACTCGTTCACGAATTCGTTAATGGCGACCCGAATTTGAGCGCGGTAGATCTCTTGAGGAGGTCGATGACGACGGATCCCAATTTCACCGCTCTTTCTACTTGGATTTCCCGATTGAACATCGCCGCCGATGTGGCGCGAGGGCTCGACCACATCCACAACACCAACGGACTTCGCTCCATCCTCCTCGGCTCCGAAACTGTTAAATCCAGTAGCATCATCGTCTCCGTGGGCGGCGAATTAACGGGCGAGTTTGGAGATCGCCCGAATCAGTTAGGTATCTCGCCAATCGATGGAATTAGGTCGTCGTCAATGAACCACGACGAAGCAATCGCAGCGGTGGCGGAGACGAACCAAAGATCCGACGTGTACGCATACGGCGGTTTGATACTGGAGCTGATGTCGGGGGAAGCGCCAAGGGCGGCGGTGATTGAGGTGGCGAGAGCGGTGGTGGACGGGAGAGTGCTCAAGTGGATGTGGAAGGACAGGCGGATGGAAGACTGGTTCCCGGATAAGTTAGTCGAGAAGCTGCTGCAGATCGCGGTGAATTGTCTGGAGGAGGACCCTGGGAAGCGACCGTCAATTGCCGCCGTCGCTGGGAACATTTACAGGTTGTGCTTGGAATCGAGGGAATGGAGTAACGGAAGTGGAGATTTGTGGCAGGGCCTGCACCAGCGGCCGGTGGTTCCGGGCGTTTCTTTGGCGGCGATGCGGGACATCCACGGGCTTATCTATTGAAAATTGGCGGGCTCGACTATAATAAGCCCAGGAGTGTCTCTGTTAGGCCGCTAATACGAGAGGGTAAATTGGGCCTCCGCTGGGCCTAGGTAAGCTTGCACTAAATCTCTTGAGTAGGATTTTATTTATTTCTTCTATTTGTCAAACTTTATCAATTATCACATGTTGTTAGATTGTACAATCTCAGCTTATAAATAAATATATGATTTATCTACTCAAACTTCTTAACCACCAAACTATGTTGTACAATTGTGTACTTGATGTGAGATGGTAACTTCTCGTTGTATGCGTTGTCATGTCAGCTATTATTCTTATGAATCAAAGTTAACCTTTAATGATGTGTATGATTGAAAGAAATTTGAGATAACCTTCCTATGAATAGAAGTTACTAAACAAAAAAATTATCAAATTTAGAGAATAACAAAATATTATAACAAGATCTGTTTGATAATGCCTTAACAAGAGTTGTCAAACTTATAATCGGCAGGTGACAAGCCTTCTTCCAATCCTAATTCCAAACAAGATTTTTATTTGTTGTTTTCAAATATCCTTTCAACCATCCAAGTCCAACACCACGTCATCTAGATATAGAGGAGAACGATGTAAATGGACTGATGGTAGCCCTGAAGTCCTGAACAAATATATAATCACGACAATTGATAACACATTCACAACAGATCTAGAGTGAGATAAGGTTCTAGATTCTAACTCCAATAAAGTGTTTCATGAATCAAAAATACCAATCAATCAAATAATTCATTAAATACACCATTATCTGAAATATGTATTTGAAGAAAGTAGACAGACAACTCCAAGAGGGAGCGAACGAAACAATTAACACAAATAATCGATGACTTTCTCCTTCGTAGCTGTTGGCTAGGTGGGGTTTCAATAGTTGGAAGGTGAGATCCATAAAGGTAGTGGCAAAATGAGTGAAGGGTTCTTATGGACTGAGGGAGTAGAGTAGAATCGGTTAATGGTACGAGTAGTGAGGTTATAAACGCCCATGTCAGCACCCGCATGCTTTCGCTCACAATCGACTTCTATCTTATCATCGGTGAAATAAATGGAGTTGGAAGCAAGTTCAGGGTGTTCTGTGATGGAAATCCAAGTAGCGGTGTTGGACCCCAAAAAGAGAGCAAAATTGCCGATGCTATCAACTTCATCCCATCCCTTCTTATCCTCCTTCGCCACAAAAACTTTGAATTCACAAGTCAACAATTGACTCTCCCTAACATACTCCCGTTGTTGCCGCCTACCATCGGTGGCCAACTGATCATCATCATCCGACTCATTATCAATATTAGAATGGTGGACTTCATCGTGGGGATCAAGTTCAGACACATCCTCATCATAATCATCATCGTCATAGTCATCATCATCTGTCCACTCATCGTCATCATTATTGTCATTGTCATCATCGTCATCGTCCTTGTCGTCTGGGTCCCTCACATACCTATTCACCATCATCAACTCGTTGTGGTTTGAGCTGGTTAATAAGTAGTACTTGCTACCTTTAACATCCAGAAGTTTATGCCCGTCAAGAAACAACGACAACGTTGGACAATGTGGGAGGGAAAGATCACAAACATAAACTTTCTCATCTTGAGAAAGGGCATAGAATTGACCTCTCCAAAACACAACATCCAGAAAATGAATCTGTTTGGGTAGATCAACATCATTCCCTCCGGGAATCAACGTCCATTTCTGATCACCATTAACCTTGCAAAACACCAGTGTACCGACAAGGGAGGGGATGACCATCACAACACTGTCCTCTGAGGTCGGCTCAGCCGAAAGGCAAACCCTATCTATGTAGTTAGACTCAAATTCCTTCTTCCCCCACGTTACTTGCAAACCTTCAAAATCTAGATGCAAGTATTCTCTCCCCACACTCTCAGACCGAAACTCCAACACATTAGGAAAACCCGTAGCTGGAGGTAGAGGGATTTGACACTTGGTAAAAGGGTTGAGCAACACCAACGATGGGGAGCTCTCCATCATAAACAGCCACCCAAATGCAGAGCCACGACCAGTCTTGTTCAAACCCTGGGGTAGCTCAATATGTTGAAACCTTTTCTCCTCGAGATCATAGAGACACCTGCAATATTCGGTGTTTTTACAGCCAACCGCGGCAGCACAAGTGTCGTTGTTGACGATACTGTTACGGCAGTAAGGAAGCATCAACCAAGGGATGGATTGGGAGAACCTTGACTGAGCCAAAGCTCGGCGCCAGGGGTTGCAAACCGCTTGGAGTCGGATGAAATCCTTCATTTTAGTTACGCGATTGCTAATCAAATGCAAAATCTCACCGGACAAATCCGACCAATTTGGTTCGTCCCGGGAGATCATCGTCGCATTACCACTCATCGTATAAAGTTGCTAGAGATCGACTGAGATGGTGGTGGTAATGGTATTCTGGCCAAGTAACGAACAGAGGAGGCCTCCCTCTGCCTATTTATATAGAGGGCCTTCATCGGTCAGTGATATCCGAGACCCAAAAGGAAGCGGTAACCCATTCTTTACTCCGTCGCTGTTTGGAGTTCCCACTCCTAAAAGAAATAGGACAAGACGGCGTGAAGGCGAGATTTGGATTGTTCCACTCTTTTTTGTGTTCTGAATTATACGCCTCAGAGATCCGGATTCCGAAGTCAATATATCAGCACTGAAAACCGGTGATGCGTACTGTGCCGTACAGAGAGGGGCTGGGCCTGGCTTGCGAAATACCCACGAAGTTCGGTCCTACACTGCGCGTAGGGAGTGAAGTGCTCAATTCCAAGAGCTACTCATGTAAATGACGAGGATTAGGAGAGTTGTGGGTTTATGGGGTTATCAATATGTTTTGTTCCCTACACCTCCTTCTACCTAGCCCGTGCCAGCCTCGGTCTCGCCATCTGTTGATATGACTTGAATCGGACTATCAGCCGCTACGACTTGTAATCGGGGTGTATGGGCTCAATGTTATTTGGGTTCGGGTTCTGGGCCTGGTCTGTAAACCGTTTCCTTTGGCAGATTGGATTAGGTTTAGACCCACATGGAGAAGTACTATAAATACTTCTCATACTCCTCTGTAATCTGTAATCTACTCAATATAGTGAAACTGGCTCTCTCTCGCCCGTGGACTAGCTAACACACATCGTGTTAGTGAACCACGTAAATCGTGTGTTTGTGTCTTTCGATTCTCGCTTTCGTATTCTTGCTTTGTCGATTCCGGCGATTTCCCGATCCGTAGCATCTTTGGATGAACAGGGCGCTGCAACGATGTTCATTCCGCCGATAGCGAGCAAGCCCATTCTCGTCTCTCTACCTTGCCGGCGTGGCGCCATAGCGATGTCGATTACGCAGTGAGGTTGATTCTACCTCAGCAATGCCGATGTCGCCGGCGTCTCTCTACATTGGTGGCTGGATCTCCACCCCTTGACAACTTGGATCTCCACCCTTATCGTCTCTCTTGTCTCTTCATTAAGCGGTGATGAAGATGAAGATTGTTACAAAGGGAATTGTTACAAAGGGAAGCAAAATGGCAATGAGAATTGTTACAGATATGTAGCAGTAATTTTCAAATCTGTAGTTCTAATATTTCCAAATTGTGGTAGTTATCCTCAATGACAATGGTTTATAGTAGTATTGATTTTGCAGATCTGATAAAAGGATTATGGCGCAGTATTGGTTCTTAGGTAAATTTTTTTTTTTAAGATAAGTGCACAGAAAATATAAATGATACAAGAAAATTCATAAACCACCACTAATAACAGTTACATCACTACAAGAAAATTGCTAAATCACTATAGGTAATAGTTAAATGGTCACTAAAAAGAATCTAAAATCGCTACTATATAACCATCAAAACAACTACTAATTTAATTAGTAGTAATTCTTGAGCAGTAAGATTTTTCATGTAATAAATATGATAAATACAATATAATAGTCAAATATTTTATTTCAAATAAAATAATAGCTAAATTTGTTCGAAAATAATTTAATAGCCAAACCGTTAACTTTCCGTTCGGTTGACTGTTAGTTGACTTTGACGTGACAAATTAATGATGACGTGACAAAAAATTTATTTGACTGTTCCACATTGATATATATTAATTTTAATTAATTAAATATTTAAAATAAAATTAAAAAGAATTCGGAACCCTGGTATCACTTCTCTTCCCCTCCCTCCCTCTCCTCCATCCAACAAGACTACATATTTCTCTTCCACTCTCTCCCATAACTCGAATCCATATATGGAGATTGAACCCTCCGGCGAATCCTCCCCTCATATCCAAGTGTTTGATTCCGTTCCACAAGCTTTGATTAGAGAATCTCTCTTGAGACATAGACATGTAGTAGCCAGCGAAACAGGGCAGGATTGGCGGTGGAGGCTCTTAGCGGCGGAGCCAGAAAATTGATCAAGAAGTGTCTTTGTTCATACCTAAAAAAAATTAACTCTTAAAAAAAATAAAAACTAACAATATAATACTCAAAATTCGTATTATTACATAATAATAGTACAACGCACACTGTTTACATCTAACCGTGATTAAATTTCTTATTATGAAAGCATTGTATAACACATTTCTTGTCTAAACTAGCACACAAATCTTGTTCAATGTATGTCACCGGACACCATCGCATCATTCAACCACTTCATTTAGTTTGGAAGATCGTTCTTGATACGTTGCTCAAATCTCTCTCAGACTTAGTCCAATATATTCGCTCCTAGGTAATCGAAAGCAAGTCATAAAGAGAAATTTTAAGAATGCAAATCTACCCTTAAAAAAGACTAAAGAAGGGTGTAGAGCTGCCTAAAAGGGAGTAATCCAACGATGTTGCGGCCATCAAATACAAACATCAATTCATCGAATAATTTAAATTATAACTTAGAAGTACCATGAAATTGATTATGTGAAACAAACCAAAGTTCATGAACGAGGGTGCTGAATCACTGCTCTGCTTGGCGTGTGCACTGAAATTGACTATTGTATACGGGGTTATATCATCGGCATAGGGAAAAGAAGGGTAAGGAATGGGATCCTTGGATACGTCAAGTTAAATGATACATAATATTTAATCATAAAACTTAGCTAGTTGCTCTGATAAGGAGGATTGTAATGTGTGATGGGTCAGCGTTTCCATTCCGTTAGTTACCTTCCCTGGTTGAATTTTTTCCACTCTCCTCCAAGGGGGCTGCAAGCACCCCCAAGTGTGGGAGTAGCTCCGCCACTCGAGGCTCTAGAGACGAGGGATTCAGTGCATTTCCGTGGGATGCCTAGGATTTTGGCCAGCGGTAACAATTGCACCATCGCCCGCCGATGCCTCCACGAGAACCCCCTGGACGGAGACCAAAATCAAGGATAAGGGAGAGCGCCAGTCTCTCTTGATGGAGACCAAAAGCAACGAGAACAAAGATATGAAACAGAGCTCCGACGAGGTGATGCAGAACTCATCCCTGAAACAAGGGTTGTCGATCTGTCTTCTTTCCTCTCTTTTCATCAAAACTCAAAAATCGATGATTTGTCTCCCTTCCCCTCATTCCTCTCTTTCCATATTTGGCGACAGCGGGATTGTGAACGAGAGAGCATAGGGTGACACCAGCAAGCGTATCTCCGACGAGCTCCCACTCGACTTACTGCTCGTTTCTTTACAGAGCAGAACCTTCCCCAACCAAGGCAGACCGGGAGTCGGCAGAGAGGGTAGAGCAGATGGATTTCTCTTTGCTCGGCGCGGATTTCACGGGCCTGGAGTCAATATGTCATAAACCTCAAGGACAAACGACTTCCTTACACGCCTCCTCAAACGAAAGCCGACTCATGGACTTGAAGTTTGCACAGGCCCGCCATACCATGTGCTTGATGACAACGGTTAATATTGGGGGTAGTGAGGACTTGAACACGTGACCTCAAGGACAAACCAGCTCTGATACCATGTCATAAACCAACTGGTCCCAATAATTCGAGTTGTTGGGAGAGACCCATGTAGGGTACTTAACCACTTCCTTACACGATCGTCCTCGAAATCACAACAATTGCAGGAGAAGATGTCGAGAGGAGGATTGACTGTAGGAACAGGGCATGGGTTTTTTGTCAGACTGGTTGTGAAGTCACTCGACATCGGCGAAGGACTGTGTTTACACCTAAAATATTTTTGGCCTAAATTCAATGCCGTAATAATGAGTCTCGGCATTTAATTTGATATCGCATGGCCAAAACGATGTTGTTTGGAGTCGAGCAATACCGCGGAGAATTTAAGCGAGACCGCGAAGAGCCTTGGCGGTACCGCGGTACTTGAAACGACATTGGTTGCAGACCATGTGTGAGTCATGCGCAGGGCATGTGTTGCTGTTGGACAAGGAATGTTTTTTATTTTATTTTTTCCTTGTCGGAGGAGGAGAGTAACAGCACCGTTTGGAGTCAAACAATGTCGCGAATAGGGAAAACGGTACCGCAAGGAAGCTCACCGGTACCGTGGACCAGAAAAACGGTACCGCAAGGAAGCTCACCGGTACCGCGGCATTGGAAACGACACTGTTTACCAGAAAACAGGATGGGGGCCGCGCGCGTAGTATTGGTGTTGGAAAAGGAGTTGTTATTATTATTATTATTATTATTTGTATTCCTTGTCGGAAGGGAAGAAGCGGTACCGCATGGAGACAAGCGGCATCGCGGAGAATTAAAACGGTATCGAGGATGTAAAAACGATGTCGCGGGAGGCTTTGATAAGCGGTGCCGATTAAATAAAAAAAAACCATATCGGGTAAGTGAAGGGCCTAAATTCCGCCCAGCCCAATGCGAGTGCAAACTCTCGGCGGTTCAATGAATTGGAATTTTTTGGCTATGTTAGCGGTGTCGTTTAATTAAAAACGGTACCGCGAGTAAGCCCAACGGTATCGCTGTATTAACAAACGACAGTGTTTAATATAAAACAATGTCGTGGAGTAAAAAAGCAAACAGAGCTGTTTGGGGAAGTAAACGACATCGCGTGAGATTCACACCAACCCGAGCGAGGAGGAGATCAAGACGGTTGAGACACGTGGGAGTTCACAACGGAGCAGTTGAGGAAGCGGTTCCACCTAGCGTGAAGACTACGAAGCGGTTTTTCGAATAAAAGTAGTGGAGCAAGGAGAAAGAAGAGGACAACCAAAAAAATCAACACAGAACAACTCTGTTCAAACTTTACCTTTTCTCTGTAACTCCTTCGCGGAGCTCTCCTTCCAGGAAGGATCTCTATAGTTGTAGTCTTAGTCGTAGTTGCGGAGCTCTCTACAGGAATCTCCATAGGAGTAGCGGTAGCGTAGATTCCTCAAAAACTCAAACACCCTCGTTCGAACGTAGTTTGAAGAGGTGCGAACCGTAGTAACGGTCGCGTTGGTTAGAAGTCAGAGGCGCATCGATCAAATCAACACCGCCTGGCGGTGGATATTTGACGGTCACGTTGATTTCACCATTTAGAGGTGCATCGATCAAATCAACGGCGCCGACATTCGGCGGCGGATATTTGACGGTCGTCTCGATTTCAGCAATCAGCGGTGCATTCGATCAAACGGCACCGCAAGAGTTTCCATCGAGAAACATCAAATCAACATCGCCGGAAACAAATTCGGCACCGGCGGTGGCATTTGGTTTTCCCGAGGAAACAGACTGGGCGTTGTATTACGATAAGGTTACGGAAAGAGGACGGATCGAGAAAAGCTTGATCGACGAGAAGGAGAATTGAGCCACGGAGAAGTTGGGTGGGTTATTGAAAGTGAACCCATTGAGAAATTTCACCTTTTCATTTAATTTACGCCTATTAAATATCTAGATTTGATTTTTTTAAAACAAAATTATTTTAATAATATTCATGTGGCATAGGTAAATGTTTGACTTCTTATCACATCAGCAAAAATTATCCAGCTCACTTAAAAGACTATTAAATTTTATCTAAAAGATTTGGCTATTATATCGTATTTACACTAATAAATATCTACTAAAAAATAAGAGACATATTCAAAATTTAACTTATTTATTAAATTTATTTACTGACATACCGAATAGACCCTCATTGCTCCACACCACCAAATTTAAGTTCAAAATAAGCAACAATAATTAAAATGGTTAGCATATAGAATTAGCACTCTAAGCTCTCCTATGGTCAAACGGCAGGATCAACTACGGTTAAGTCAAACACGAGCACACAATGGGTTGTCCGTAGGATAAGTCGACCGGGCCACCGAGAGACGGACGTTTCATTTGACCCAGCGGCGAAACGCGTTGGGGGCTTGGGACAGGTGTCTCCGTCAGTTACTTTCGGCTCTGCTCTATAATTCTTTTTTGTCTTTTACCTTTTTGGAAACCTCCTAATTCCATTCTTTCATAGAAAATTTAGCTCTAATTGTAAAAAAGAAAAAACGAGGCCCTAATTCTGTTAAGACTATCTAAAAACAAGGACCATTAAAGAAGCAAAGCAAAACCATTCAAGCAAATTTGTCACCCAAGTGAGAGTAACAATCCAACAACAACTTCTCTATTAACAAGAATTACCTCACAGCTTTTACATGCCTGAACTTCTCATTTTATACACCACAGATCACCTAATTTTCTACAAAAGTTTCATATATGCACAAAAATAGGCAAAAAGTTTCATATGCAAACCCAGGAGGGCTAAGAGTATGTGCATGCTGCTTACTGGGAACCAGTTATTATACTTGGACTGCTTCCTCTGCTCCAACGCGGATCTTCACTTATAGTGCTGCTTCAACCTGCACCGAAGCCTGCTCCAAAGTCAGCTCCAGAGCTTTTCTCGCTTGCATATCCTTCAGCATCTGCTGCTCCACACTCTGTATCTCCTTGCTGCTGCTCCACACTCTGTAGCTCCAGAGCTTTTCTTTGACATCTGCTTCTGCTTTCTCATACACATCCGCCAGCTCGCTCTGCAAGTTATCACAGTCTTCTCTCACTGCTGCTAGCTCGTTGGTCAAAGACTTCAACCCGTCAGTCGTTTTCTTCACTCGTCCCCTCTCATGAGCAAATATCTCGCTGCTTTGTTTTGCTGTCCCGAAGCTCCTCTGGAATGATGCTGCAGCTGCAGCATACCCCTCCTGAAGACTTGAGAGCTCGGTCTCAAGCTTTGTGCAGCTAGTTCTAGACTGCCTTAATAGAGTTTCCAGACCTGAAGCTTCGTGCCTCAACTTAGCAAGGGCTTCCTGGGTTGTTGGGAACTTGTGCTTCAATATCTTTCTACGTGTCGATTCTGTTTCGAGCACCCTCTTCACTGCTTCTCTTTCTTCGTTCAAATCTGCAGTCTCTCTATCTTTTCCATTCGCCTCCTTGATGGCGAGATAAAGGCTCTCAGTTAACCGCTGAATCTCTTCTTCTCTCTCTCCCAGCTCTAATTTATTCATAAGAGCATTCTTCAAATCCAGCTGCTGCTTAGTTAACAAGAGTCCATCTTTCAGCCCACTGATTTCTGTGTGTGCTCTAGTTAAGTCCTTCTTCATTTGACTGTAGGCATTCATCAGACTCTTCCACCCATTTTTCATCTCAACTAGTGAAGATGTGAGGTTTTGAGCAATATCTTCCTTTCGTTTTAGCTCTATCCCGAGCAGCTTAACTTGCACTTGTAAACCTTCGACAGAACTCAGCTTTCCCTTCGGTTCTTGTTCAAGAGCATTCTTCTGATGTCCAGCCTTCGATAAACTGTTCTCTAGATCCTCGATTTGAAGCTTAAGTTCCTCTATGGCCTTCCTCTCATTGGTCAGGTCGTTCCCTAAACCTTTATCTGTATTGTTGGCCAAGTTTAATTGATTTGTCAAAACCTGCTGCTCTTCTGTTGCCTTGTTGAGCTGGTTCTTTCGTTCTTCCAGTTCATTCAGTAGCTGTAGCTCATAGTTCTTCTCCAACGACCTGATGACGGTTTCCTTCTCGCTAGGTTTAGCGTTCATCTGTCCAAATACTTCTTCCATCAGTCACCAAGCAAACAGCAAGAAAAATACCAAAAGCATTCTGCACTTCCACGCTTCTAAAGACAAACTTATAGCAATCACCTAAGAGTTGCATCACTAAGCTATTGTACAAGAGTATACATGGGATGCAGATGAGCAGCTTAACAAAATTAATTATTGGGCAAAGGAAGTTGAAAAGAACATGTGCTAAGTAACTTACTGACTGTATTGTTGAATCAGCAGCTTTCTTTTCTTTCCGGGTCAAAGCACAGAGCTTGCCAAGAACACCGATGGCCACGCTTCCAAGTTCATTCAGGAGAGACAAAAAGGGCCCTGGAGCTGGATATGCTTGTACAGATACCTGCTGATCAAAGTATACTGTTAGGGACATTCAATACAAACAGGAAAAAAGAAAAACGGAGCGAGTCTGGAAACTGTGAACCATTTACCAGGGAAGATATCCAGACCTCTTCTTTGTGGTTATGTTCTGGTATCTCAAGCTCGTTTACTTCTGCAATGAGACAGAAAGACATTAGAGCGGTGGAGGTAGAAGTAGAACCAGTACATATGAACCCTTTATAAAGTAATTCAAGAGGCAGATACAAGATCTAAAGGACCGAATGCTCTTGTTTCTCAAACTCCATCCCCAATTTCCCACCACTACCAACACCATTCTCTTCAATGCTCTTTTGGTTTTGTTTACTATATTTTCCCCCCTCCACTACTTTTTTTAATCAAGAAAACTCCAAAGTGTCTTAACAAGCCCCTCTAAACAAGTAATCTCCTCATACTGTTCAAAAGTAATGATATAGCCATATAGGTTTCCTCTGCTATGAACCCTTTAGAAAGTAATTAAAGACACAAGATCTAAAGGACTGAATCTTGCGTGAAAATTATACAATCAGGACAAGAGCTGTTTGATTCAAGGAGCTTCTAAGTTATCCATGGAGATAATCTTGAAATGGGGTGAATTCTTGAGAAAAGAAATGCTATCCTGAACCAGACGCAAACCCTTAATGAAGAACAAACAGAACAAAGTCGATCCGGTTCACTAAAAAGGAAATAGTAACGGAGCCAGCCACTACTAACTAGAATAAGAACAGATAGAAATTATACAATGTTATATCTCTCAATTCATGAAGAGTAACGCAAGAAACGAATCCCTAAATTCACAAACAGATTTCCTCAACTGTCGAAGCAAGAAGTATGACAATCCAACTCGAGAATCATAAACCTAACGCTTTCCGACACCTAGAATTGATATGCAACCGACGATTAGAATTGATAACGGGATCAAGAATTTACTCACCCTGACCGAAGGGGCCTCCAAGAGCTCGGGCCCTGAGGTGCAGCAACAGACGAAGTAAGAAACCCACAAGAGCCGCTCTCCTTTTGCGGCGGAAGGCGTCATCGGGGTCCGCTTGCAAACAACTAACAACAGCCGCTACTCCATTGCCGCAGTTACTGGTAGAGAAGGAACGAATTGGAGGACTAGACGATGACAGAAAAAAAACTGAGGTGGAAGACCGAGGTTGCAGTAGGCAAGCACCGCTCGCCGGAAACCCCATAGCGGCAGGCGGGAGGAAGACCTCTGCAATAAGACAGGAAATTAGAGCTCAAGTAACAAAGAACCCTAGACTAGGCGAATTCCCTGGAACCAAATTAAGTACCGAAGAAAATAAACCTAAACCTTTAGTGTTTCGGGTGACGACGGCGGCGGCGGCGACGTTTGGGACGCTGGCGGTTGTGGCGGCGTTGGTGAGCGGGATGGAGGTGCGGTGCAGATGTATGCTCTTGGAATTCGCTTTCGTTGTCGAAGCTATGGCCGCAGAACTCGCATCGAAGTGGATAGTTGATTTTGTGGATGTCACGGTGATGATCCCAGATCGCATTGAATGTGTGGAATGATCTCTTGCATCGCTTGCATGGGAATGGTCGTTCGACCTCCATTCCATAGGAATCAAGAAAAAAGAAGTTTAGAAGCAAAAGGAGGTTTGGTGAAAGCGGAGAACTGGAGAAATCTTTGAGTTACTGGGGAATTTTTCTGGTTGCAGAGAAGAGAATTAGAGAAAGACTGGGAAGAGACGACGAGTAATTTCCCCTTAAATAATAAAATAAAAGCATTCTCCCGCCACTGGGGAATTGGGCCAATTGTATCTTCGTTCCGCCAAGAGAAAACTGGGCTTCAACTAGGCCCAAATTCAACTGGGTTGAACTTTTTAACAATTTGTCATAACTTTCATTAATTATTGGACGATTTCGTATAGGTTATATTATCGTTGTGCGCTAGAATGCTATATTGATTTTTCATTTTCTTTCAATCCACCATTTGATTTCGTATAGGTTATATTATCGTGGCTGATTAATGATAGTGAGTTATTTTAGGGCTTTGAAGTAGACGACGCGACCGAACATGTGTGTTAAAATTGATAGATGATTGATGTGTTGTGCTCGCTAGTGAGTATATGAATAATTAAAGTACTGGTGTATGAGGGGTTTTACTGTTTCTTCCTGTTTGGTGAGTCGATAATGTTTTCTATTTTATGAAGAACATGTGTGTTATTCTCCATAATGTTTGAACTCTTAATTTTACAATGAGACTCTCACGTGAGTGGCAATCGAGCATAGTGTTTGAGTTAAGTCGTCAAAGGGCTTTTCTCTTGGCTCAGAGTGCCCTTCGAAGATGTGTTTAGGGTTCAGATAACTTTATTACATCCCGATCATCTCTCCCTACTTACCATCCCCCAAACACCTCTCATCCTCACAGAATCGTATGCCAAGGTACAAAGTACCTTTTAGCGATTCAAGAAACCTCAAGCTCTCGTTTGTACCCGACATGTGGCAACTCAATGCGGAGTGCATGCTGGGAAGTGGTGCTCGGGCTAAGACGAATCTGCTCATCAAACTCCCCATATGTGACCTTAATAGGGAAGGCTATGATCCATCCGCTCTTGGTCGTGAGGGAGAGATGCTTTGCTTTCAAGGAAGCTTGCAAAAGTTCGGTGCAATGTGCATGAACGAGGAAAAATGAGACCAATAAACGACAACTCCTACATTGAAAGAAAAAATAAAGAGCACCCTCTAGAGTTCCCGTGCTTAATAGTATATGAGAAATCTCTCTGAGCACATCTTGAATGTTCGACCTAAGGTAGTAGGTATGATCATCACCAATGAGTTGTGCTTGCACTAGGGGTGGGAAACCGGTTCGGTAAACCCGACCCGAATTAAACCGACCCGAAACTGGATTAGTGCTATTTGGTTCGGAATTCGGAAGGAAAATATGGATAGTTCGGAAATCAGGGTTCTCTCAACCGAACCGAATTTCTGAATTTCCGACCAAAAAATCGAAATACTATAATTGCAAGCTTCATATGGTGGATTTTTATGTTTGCAGTTGTTTTTAACTTTTTATACTTAAATATTTGAAATGTTTTATGACTTATGTGTTGAAAAGTTTGATTTTATCATTGATGATGCATATAATTACATATTTATTGTTTATATTAGGGGTAAAAAATAATTAAAAAGTGAGAAGATACAAGTAGCTTCACAAATTTGGTTTTGTGTGCAAAACCGAACCAAACCGAATTATAATTCGGTTTAAACCGACCAAACTGAATTATAATCGGTTCGAATTTGGTTTGAGGTTTGGGAGAATTCGGGGACCCGATATTCATAATTTCGGTTCAGTAAAAACCGAACCGACTGAATGCCCACCCCTAGCTTGCACAGTAAGATAAGAGTAACTTTTTTTCGTCTTCGTTTTCTCTTATTTATGCAATGAAGAACTAGAGTGCACATCTCATTGATTTGTCTATTAGGTTGCCTTGGTTTGAGTAGGTTTGCTTGGGGACAAGCAAACACCTAAGTGTGCGGGAGTTTGATAACACTAGAAACAGTGTTATTTATCCTTCACATTTTAGATGATTTATTGATGAATTGATCTTTAATCGTCTTATAAAATGTTATTTGCATTCTCATTCCTTTCCTTTTCATTTGCGATGCTGTTTTGGGACGCATTTGACGTTAAGAGCAAGAATGAAGGAAAATGTGCAATAATGTTTAGGAACAAGGAGAAAAGGACAGAAAATGCAAAGATCACAGCTGAAAGGGGCAAGATCCCCTCCAAGAAGCGTGACCGCGAAGTTTCCAAAAAGATCTCAAGACAAGTATGAAAGATCCCAACCGCGAACAGGAGCGCTTTGTCCGCGAAATCTGGAAGAAGCATCGCCTGGAGAATAGAGAGTTTTCTCACTCGAGTCGCAGGCTACGTCAATTATGACTGTGAGAAAGATCACGACCGCTACACATAAGTTCGCGCCCGTGATCTTTTGCCTTCAGGCCGCAAACTTGCCAGAGAATTCGAGTGCTTATAAATAGCAGCTGCTGAGAAGAAGAGGAGTCGCCCTAGAGTGAGAAAATTAGGGTTTTGGGTTGTTATTAGAGAGGAAAACACCTTGGGAGAGCTTAATTGAAGATCCAATCCACCCAAGGAGCAAGAAGAAGGTGCAAGCAAGGAGAAGAAGTTTGATTCCATCACTCCCCTCTTCTAGTTTATGTTTTTTTTCTCTCTCTCTAATGACTTGAATCTCTCATGGTTGTTTAAAATAGATGAACCCTAGATTGTATGTTGGTATTTGAATGAGTTGTTATATGGGTATGTTGTTCTAGTGATTTTATGCCTCATGTGTAGGTAGTTACACTTGGGTAAGTCGCCCTAATCTTCCCTACTAGCCTACTTGAGCTACTACGTTGGGTTTGAAGTTTTTAGTGTTAGACGGGTATGTGTCATCCAACAGACTATTAATAGTGAGTTATTTCAGGGCTTTGAGGTAGACGAGGCCACCGAACCCCTACCTCTATAGCGCCTTCCTAGAACAATGCTTTGGGAGTTTCCGCAGAAGTGTGTGATAGGTTGAACCTATTTGAAGAAACTAAGAGAGCATCATTAGCGAGGAAACTTAGATCGAGGTGACATTGGGTCTTTGTGGGTAACACTAGAAGGTGGGAGAAATCCCTAGATCAAAGAGTCCTGCACAATATTCATTAACTCAATTTACCGGCTATACCTAGGGGAATTCGATTCTAGGCAACCATCTATCTCTAGCGACCTCCCAACCATCGGTTGGTTGTTTATTTTGCCTTTAGGAGTAGATAGGATTAGACTTTTCACCAAACCTTTGAACCGATTAGATAGTAGTTCGGAGTGAAGTAATAGTAAGCTTAGGGATACTTTGGAATACGACCGAGCCACTTTGCTACAACCCTAGTTGGGTTATACTTTGCTTAGTTAGGGTTGAATAGAGAGTGTGCATCGACTTATAAATTTAAAGTTCGATCACACAAGAGCGATCAACCCTTGGTCGCCCTAATAGGAACATTCATTTTAACATTGGGACCGAAAAGAAAAACATATACTGCTATTACTAGCATTTTACCCGGTCCGTTGGCCGGGTAATGTTTGTATGATATGGTCGTTGGACATGTTGTAAATTTTCAATGCACGTGGCACTTTATCAGTTTGTTTGAATTTCTTTAGTGTGTGATATCCCATGAGGTCGTGTACAGATATGGTATTTTAAGAAAATTGAAATTGCAATAGAAACATAAATAATATTACTTTCTTGGCAAGATTAATTAATATAATAGATGGATTTTACTAATTAATTTTACAATTAATGTTATCGAATAGAATTTGTTTTACTGGTTAGAATCTTTGCACTATAATGATCTATGCCTAGTATGTTGTGTGTTTAAATCCTAGCAATGCTTATTTATATGTTTATTTTTTTGTTAGTATCTAGTTTAAAATATAAAAAATAAAATAAATAAAAGTGACATTGAAATCAAGACTGACGTGGAAGCGTGAGAGGAGATGAAATTTGAATTCGTGAATTGTTTATTTGGAAAGTCCTTATTATATTATATAGATATAGATAGATAGATAGATAGGTATAATAGGCAACACACAAAAAAAATTCCCTCTCTCTCCAAGGCGCGGTAAAATAAAAAATTACGAGTTCCTGTTAGGGCTGGAAGTTTCGTACCGGTATTTGGTATATACATATCAAATACCGTACCGAACTTATCACTATTTGGTATTACCGAGTACCGATTTATTTTTTAGGGATCAGGATTGAGATTCATTTTGGAGTGCTAATCAACATTCGGGATTACGGGATTGAGATCGGTATATATCAAAATATACCAAAACACCGAGAAACAACAAAAATTAAAAATTAATGAATATATAGCACACAACTCTTGGTCATTTCCCACTCCTTGATAACTCACAAGTCCCCATCCAACTCGATTTTGGCTTTTCAGTTTCAGTCACTCTCGTCTCTCATCTAATCTCTTGTTATTTTCATAACATAAAAAAGAAAACGCTAGTATTAGTCGTCTCTCAGCCTTCAATTGAGTTGTCACCTCTCCTCTCTTATCTCTATCCATGTCCTAACTCTAGGTAAACTCAAGACCCTTTACGCAGTCTCATTGCCATAAATTAAACAATAAATTCTAATTTATATATTTAATCATTAATTGTAAATGTAATTAATTTCGTATTCGATAATATCGATTTATATACTGAAATACCGAGTAAGATATCAAAATATTTAGGGATTGAAATTGACATACTGAAATTATTTAAAAATTGAGATTGATTTTAGTGTGTAATTCAATATTCGAAATTTCAATACGTGGTATTGGTATACCGAATTCCACCCAACTCCCTGTGACGCCACCAGAAGGCAATAAGGTTAAAGTAAAGACATTACAAAATTCAAGAACAAAAGAGGTGGAGAGGAGACAGAATCGAACGAAAGAAAAAATAATTCAAAATGCAACGAACAGTGGGAAAGAGATAGCGAGCGAGCGAGCGAGCGGAAGTTATCATTTCTGCTTTCCTTCGGTTCTTTATCGCCCTGCTTCTCTGATACTTCTCCCCTTTGGAACTCAAATCCTGGTTTGAATCTTTCAAAATTGGCAGCCATTATTTCATCCGCCAGATCTTCCCGTCGACCTCACTAGGGTTTTTGAGGATTCGATCTTCCACTACGGATCGGGGTTTCCAGATCTGGTCGCTTGTTTGTTTCCCCCTTCACTGCTAGATTTTCCTCCAATCTCCGATCGTACCCGCGGCGGCCGTGCGTTTCAATTCCTCCGATTAAGACATGGACGCGATCGAGGAGCTCTCTCAGCTGTCCGACTCCATGCGGCAAGCGGCGGCGTTGCTCGCTGACGAGGACGTTGACGAGGCCGCCAGCTCGTCCTCTAGGCGCGCATCCACTTTCCTCAACGTTGTTGCCCTGGGCAATGTTGTGAGTCGTCCTCTTCTCTTCTCCTCTCCTTTTAGTATTCATTTCAATCTCTGGATCTAGATGAAGAATTGACTGGGCATGCTGGACCGTTTGTTTCCTTGTATATGTGAATTTGGCTACCGGATTCAGTTTGTTCTGAACTGCCCGACTGGGAGTTAACTCCTGGATTGTTTGAGATGTATAGGGGGGCGGCAGATCTTTGTATCTAACTAGTTAGCTATTAGTTATTGAACTTATGGCGAGAAATCAGACTTGCTGCTGATGCTGCTTCTGCATTGCACTCTAATTCTTGACCAGATGATATCAAATCCTGTCACTGCTTGGTTTTGCGTTAAAATCTAGGAGCCAGTTCGATCTTGGATTCCATGCTAACTATCTGATCTGAACTTCGGTTTCATTGTTGGCTTTGCATTTGTGTATCTTAGTTTACTTATTACTCACAATGCTTTATTTTTTTTATTTATGTTGTTGCCATGTCATAGGGTGCTGGTAAATCTGCTGTCTTGAACAGTTTAATTGGACATCCAGTTCTGGTGAGTTGCACATCCTACACCTTCTAAGTCTTTTGAATAGAAACAGTGAATGCTTAGTCCTATGTGTTTCTTTTGAAACTTCTCCTGTTAATTTTCCCAGCCAACTGGTGAAAATGGGGCAACTCGGTCTCCTATAAGCATCGACTTACAGAAGGATGGTTCATTAAGCAGCAAGTCAATTGTTCTGCAAATCGACAACAAGTCTCAACAAGTTTCTGCAAGTTAGTACCTACTACCTGCTGTTGGTTGTATGATTACACTGGGTGTTATTTTTTCTTGTATCTACTTGATTTTTGCTATGGTGAAGGGCCACAACCATAAATACCTTGAACTTCCTGTTTCCATGAACTGTGTAATTTTAAGTTTCTTCATTTATGATGCATGCTTGAGTCCTGCTTTTGATTTCTTATGCATTATGGCTAACATTTACCTATATATGAGGAACAGACTTGAGAATCTCTCCTGTGCTTTCTTCTGATTGTTCTTGTGCTTTAGGTGCTTTGCGGCACTCCTTGCAGGACCGCCTGAG